AAAATAAAGGTCTTGATTGTTAGAAAAATTTTCCCTGTTAGTATCATGGTAAATTTATAGAGAGCACTATGGAAAATATGCACACTGATCATGGTGTTAATCAAGTTTCGGAACTAGCACGCGAATGAAACGGTTCTTTTTCATTACCCTCTGTGATTGGCCATGAAAACTCGCAACAATCTCTCAACCGATCAGATGTAACTCGAAATTTCCCAAACTTCAGGCGAACTAACTGTATTTACTTGAAATTCTCAGTAGCGGCTTGTGAGATTTTATTTCGTTCTGACAAAGAGTTGTGATTAGTTTGGATTTTGTTTTGCGACATTCAAAACAACTTTCATGTCATTTCAGTTTCAAAAATGGCGGGTTGGAAATGCATTGTAACTAAACTGAGCAGATTTTGCTCTCTCCTCGAAACCATTGAAGCTTGTTTCAAAAGACTAACCTTATTTTCCCCGATCAGCTCGGTGATGAAGACCAGTGCCATGACGTACATAATAGACAGACCACCTCCTATCATAACCACTGGTGCATAAGTTGATTGTCTAGTGTAGAAGGTTTGAAAATAGCTCCAAACAGCACCACCCATTACTAATAAACTTGCCAGAAGGTAGTTCCACTATAATGTGCATACCAAGGAAAGTATGAAAGTTACTGAGACTAAGTTAACAATAAAGTTGTTCGTGGTTCTGTAACAAGCAAGACACCAAGAAAAGATATGAGTATCCTTTGAGTAATTGAACTCCTGACCATCGAAACTTGAGGAAAGATGGTTCATTTGTCGTATTAAGTTAAATAAAGCCATTAAGATGATCGTTGATTTATTGCCCCTCTCAGCCAATCATCATCAACAAGTAGATAAGCTGACGTTTGGCGTAATCAATGCATTTCCACTATCACAAACGTGGAATGACCAGCTAGAAGAAGCTGTTAATCTTGGTCTTACCTTACTTCCAATTTTCCTTTTCAGTTTCTTACACGTTGAACTCGCTAAAGAGCCACTGGTTAGGAGGACGAGTGGAAAATAAGCGATAGCTGCCTGATTCAGGAAAAAAATACGATGAGATTATTATAATTATCAATTAGTTTGCAAACAACTGAGCACTTCAGATTGAACTATACCTTGGGGAATGATAATCTCTCTGTGAGGAATAGCGGTAAATAGCTGTTTACAGAGTCCTGCGCAAGACGTGTACATGTAAAGATAATGGCTACCTAAGAATTAAAACACGAGAAAAACATCACAGAGAGTTAACTAAATCAACAAACCAGGATAGTTGGAAACACGAGGGTTTACCATGTACACGTTTGGATCTTTTAGCCAGTTTTTGATTCCTTTTGGACGTCTTCCCTCAGATGAAGAATTTGTTGATTGAACAGGGAGACCAAGAAGATCAGGATTATCCGCTGAAGTTGGCTTATTATTTGTGCCATCGCAACCTTCTATTCTTTCGATTTTTCTGACGTGTTGTTTTGGAAAATCCTGCATACTTTCATTCAGATTCGTTTTGTTGTCAGGCGTGTGATCGAGATTTAATCCCTGTCGTTCTGTTGCGTTCATTGACGGTATTTCCAGAAATCCAGAAGGATCGAAAGTCCCAGACTTTCTTTGCTTCTCAACTGATGTACCGCAAAGGCTTTCCTTCTTATCATCATCACCTCCATCATCTTCAAATCCAAAGTTAGAGAGACCAAATTTACCATCATCTGGAAAAAGCAAAATTCCATGTTTTCTTTGCTTATATACGGTACAAAAAGATGTTTTAGGGGTCGCGTTGTTGGTCACTTTTCCACAAATCTTTTTCAGTAGTGTTGTTGATCTCTTCGTGTCTGGTGTTCCACAACGCTTCATCAGTTGCATGTTCGTCGGCTTTACCGTCCATTGTAATAATAATATAAATAATAATAATATTTTTATAACAGGGGCAGGAGATATGTGGACCTTAACTTGTTTCGTATTTGTTCTACTTCTTTTCCCGTTGGAACTTGTTAGTGAAAAATCTGAGTGACCCACGCCAAGCTAGAGGTTTAATTTTGTGCTGCGCTGAAAAAAGAGTAATAGTAAAGTTGTCTAAAAAGACGATCCTTGAAGGCGGGGTTGACGGATGAAATTCCTTGCCTTATCCTCGCCATCTACTTGGCTGGTTCTTCGAAGTAAAACTCGAGCCACTGACATAGTCGACATTTAGCCTCTTGGCGGAATGCAGTCTAGAAATAACTGAAGAGAGTTTGAGGGTTGGATATCCTTACTGTGACCACTAATCTTAATCTCCAATTGACATGCGCTTCTGAACTAGATATTTTGCTTTAAAGAGGAGGTTGTCTAAACATTTCAAACAAAATTGGTGCTGTCTCCAGATTGGACCACCTGTATCAAACTTGTGGCATGCTTGCACACAGCCATGGTTAATAGATTCTCAAAAATACCGAGGCAACAATACACTCGATATTAAGAAGCTCCATGCAAAAATAAGACCTATCCCCCTTGGGATGAAGACGAGTAGCGTTTTTCATATTTTTAGTTTAGTTTGATGTCGGAAAGGACGTTACATCTGCAATTTAACAGAAACAACGACAGTTTTGAAATTATACACCACAGTACATATCGATAGACTTACTTGCATTTTCGGGTCCAGACTCTTCAATGAATTTTCCAGGAGCTTTCTGCAAAATAACGGGAAAGTGGCCAGAATGAATTACAGGTTGCTTTAGATAATGTGTAGACCATACCTCTATCCCTCTGGTCACGCGATGTAACTTCAAGACCCGTTCAGATTAATAGACCTCTTGTAGATAAATCAAATGAAGAACGAAGAAACAATCGCGCAAGTGCGTCGCTATTAGCTCCATGGTGTTGTCTGCTTTCCGAACGCAAAAATAAGCTTTTATATGACCTTTATCTGAAAAGGAAATATCTTTTTTGCTTCCTGTCTTACCGTTAGATCCATTGTGGTGCTTTCTTTACTCTGACATTTTCGAGGTTCCTTTGTACCAATGTGGAAGATGGCTGCAAAGAAGAGTCCTGTTCCAGTAGTAATCCACGAGAGGTGCTGTTTAGAAAAAAAAATTAATCAACTAGCACCTTAACCCTTTAACTCCCAGAAATGATTAACTTGTAACCTCTCCCTGTAGTAAACATCCATTCTCCGGCCAACAGCTGATGAGAATAGTCGTACTTATCAGATGGAAGTTTTTATCTTGATCTAACACTAAATTCTCAAAATTAATTTACAAGGGAATGCACAGCAGCTCCAGGAGAGAAGTGACAGTCAGATCTTGAAAGTTACAAGGTTAAGGACAAAAAAAAGATTTTTAATGCCAGCAGAGATGTGTGGAAGGAGACTGGCAGGCTGACAGGGAGAGAAAACCAAATTTCTCCAACTCGTTTTTTAATTGCGTTTTTTTTTTATTTCATTGTATTGAGCTTACGCCTGTTTGTAAAAGCTTATCGTAGCATAAAGTTATTAACGAAGCTGCGCTTACCGCAAAATCTGGAAGGCTCTGGGGTCCCAGAGTATCGCTATTGTCTTGTCCGAGAAGGCCCCAGGCGATCACGTATATGTAAATACCACTAAGGAAGCTGAACATTGTCCTTTTGAACAAGAAAAAGAGAAGAATAAGGAAAATTGTTCTTAGATGTCACGTTTATTATTCCTACAGAATAAGTTAGGAAAAAACAGCCTCAGATTGTCCGTACTTGAGTTGAGTTATATAAAAGTCATACAAGTGATTTATGACGACGTAAACTACGCGTCTGTCCTCCAGTAGATCTTTGGTAAGAGCCCAACAAAATGGGTGAACAGTTAAGTTTAATTTAATATAACACTTTTAAAAATAGCAAACCTGATGGCGCTTAAATCTGTTAGTTCTTCAACCGACACAGCTGAAGTTGTGATGAAAGCCAGGTGATTTATCTCCATCACGCTGAAACACATGTGATACATTGAGTACAAGAAACCGTAATAGACGGTGGGAAGCCAAGTTTGATGACTTCCACTACAGAGAATGCAACGGTTGCCCCAGAGAGGAACTACGATGACCATAAAAACCGTCGCCATGAGATGCCAAGATTTTCGCATTCCAATTTTCTGTGAAAGAACAGGTACTTTAACCATATCGCCGAGGTAACCAGAGATTACTGAGGTCAACGCGTTGACAATTTGTCCAATGAGTATTATAAGTCCAGTGTCCGCAGCTGAAAGTTCGACTACCTCCATCAAAAATAGGAGACGAAATGAAAACATGCACTTGCAGAGGTCATTGAATATACTTCCCGCTGAACACAGTAACCTTTCTCTTGTACGCATTGTAAAAAACAAGTCTCCTCCGGGTCTCCTCTTCACTTTCTATTAGACCTTTTTGCAGTTCCCAGCGCCATATTGGAAATGCAACCGCGCACACGTGAGAACGAGGCTGGGGTTGACTTGTGTTAAATCTCTGTGAGTGTACTTGGTGAAATTCATACTTAGGCAGTAACATTGTTCGATTTTTAAGGAAAATGGAAGGTCCTAGCCGAAATCTCGATAAAGCTAATTTTTCTCCCAAAAAGAAAGGAGAGTAGTGAGCCGCTTTTGGTTGTTCAAATACATTTTATGGCCCCAATGGTTTTCCTACGAGCTTTCACTTCTTCAAGTTTATGCAGGCATGTATTTTTGCTAAGTATTCATCGTTCTATACTTATCTTATTCTCTGTGGATTATGGATGAGGGTGACTATTGTTGCAAAATTAGTACAAATTTTTAATTAGGTAAGTTCGATAGAGTTTTTTTTGCATTGCCGCGGCAGTAAGTCAATAAGTTCAGTACTGCTCACCTGTTTACTACATGGCTTGCCTAAAACACTCCTAGCAGAGAAACTCTTGGAAAGTAATTGCTTTTAATAAAATAACCAAGATCTTCAGAGTTTTCACTTATTATGGCAGACCCAGAAAACCGACACAAATTTGGTAGCAATTGTGACAAAAGCAGTTTTCAGTAGTTGTTGTTTTTGTTTTTCATGATAGCATAGTGATCCACTATGGATGCCAAATGGAACTCTCAAAAAATATTTTGTGTGCTTTATGTATCAATCAATTTGATGCTTCAAATTGGAAAAAAGAAAAAGTGAGTTTCACCAACGAAAAGAGTTCTCAACACAAAGATGAACTGACACTAGATTTTAGTATTCGCAAAATTGTCCTTATAATAAGAAGTTTGATAGAAGTCTCGCAAAAAATAATTTCTCATACAATTCGATGGTCTGAAAGATTCTCTTTCAAACAAATCTTAAGGTAACTGTAACAGTATAAAATAAATATCTTGATTTGGATATATTTCTCAATCTTTTAAGTATCTCAAAATTATACTATCTTAACATTGGTTAACACAATGCAATAAGAACTAGTATAGCAAACCTTTTTGTCAGAAGGCCTCTGAGTGCTAAGAATGGGAATATCAATTCACTGAATGTTTATCACTGACAGAAACTTAAATGTGTGTGAAGGACTAGCATTGCTGAGATCAGTAGCTGAGAGGAAGCATTTCTGCTCTCTTCCTTTAACCCTTAAATACCCCAGATCTGATTGTTAATTCTCCCTTCTAATTGCTACACATTTACTTGTAAATAAGTTATGAGAATTTGATGTAAGATCAAGATAACTTCTGCCTGATAAGTTTCAGTATTATCGTTATCTGTTTGCTGGATAGTGTTTAGATATTATAGGGAGAAGTTACATGAATCAGTCACTTTTGGGAGTTTTTAAATTGTCTAATATTTTGGTCTGATCCTTTCAATGGTGTCTTGCCACCTAATAAATTACCATGAGTCACGAACTCAAATGGTTTTCAATGTATCACGAGCATAAGTTGTCCTGGGCCAGATGGGTTTCAAAATATTATGGCATCTGTTAGTTACAGTTTTCCCATTCTACCCCTCGCATTGTACCCCTCCCTACTCAGTGAAAGTCAAGATTAATTTCGATGAAGCTCAGAAACTTACGTGGAAAGAAATAAAACATCTGTATGGTCTAATAAAAATAATAACCTTAAATAACATTTCCGAACTTCTAAAAATGCAACTTGAGTCGAGAAGCCGAAATATTCACACTTAGGGGACCCGTAGCGGGTTCATTTCAACACATGTTGTGACTAGGAGGAAAAACAACAGAGGCAGTCATATTGATATGCCACGTATTTGCGTTCGTCTTCAGTTGGTATAAAGTAATCATTGCTCTATCATTGTGCTTTTCCTCAGGAGCTCTTCAACATACAGTCCACACATCAATCACAGCGGCCAAGATTGTTCTTTGTTTCTCCCGTCCAAGCTTCAGCGGATTGTTTGAAAGAGGATTACAAGGAGTTTTGAAATTATTTTCCCTTTATTTTATAACTTAACAAGGTTCTTTATTGGCCTCTTACATTTGAATATTTAATTTCAAAATTGGTTCAATTTACATACATCACACGAAACAGTTTTTGGCTGATCCTGTCACATGATGAATTTACGATCTCTTCTTTTCTTCTCGAGGACTTTGGTTAATTGTTTTTTCTGGCCGAGCCTTTTGATTGTATTTTTTTTAAACTAATTACTGCCGCAACATCTAAAAATAGTCGCGTGGTTATGGAAAAAATAGCAAAGTGGCTATGAAATTAATTCATAAGAATGTACAGAACTGAATCCTACCCCAGCCCTCACAATATTTTACTCTGACTAAAACGAATCAAGCTCGAAATGCATTGAGCTAATCTTTTGCGTCGTTTGAAGGCCTAGATACTACTGCCGTGCGCTTCTTTTCTTTGCGGTTTTACTGACCCTTTTAGCATAGATAATGTCTGCTGAAAAACACTGTAGATTGTGAAAGACCACAAAAATTTGGTTCGATGCCTGGTGCTATTCTTATCCTCTGTAAACGTTTTTGTTCTTATAAAACACACAATAAATTGACCTTGCTTAGACGAATTCGCTAAACCATAAACTGACGTTAGAACATGATCATAACTTCTTATTCTTGAGAGTCATCAAATTGATAAAGATCGAGGTTGATGATAAGGAGACTGATTACTGCAATTTCCATAATTAAAAGCAAGTTGATTGAAAAGCATTGATGTAGATTCGACTCAATCTCGTCCACCGCCACCTCCCATGACCTACATTTGGCCGATTATCAAGAAGTGCTTTTAAAACATTGACATTGGAAATGAATTTACCATCTCTTTGGATGAAGAAATTTGAATTGAATAACCTCCTTCGAATAAGAAATTATCGTCCCTTAGATATCCAAGTAGAGTGTTTTTATAGCCAGTGAACTGACCCTACGTAACTGAAAGAGCAAAAAACTAAAATGTTCACAATAATTACAGGCTCAAACGCGACTTATTTTGGCTGGGTTCGAGCCATTGATACAAATGATAATAATGTGGATTGCAAAGACAATTCCTTGAAGTGAAATGCAACTTCAAACCCTCTGCTCACTGTCAATTTTCTTTCATATGCTGGCATTTTAATCTCAAGCAAGACAAGGTTGTTAGACAAGGTAGTTCTGTTCGGGCAACCATTATCCGAGGTCTCCATCAGTGAAGATACTGCCGTCTCAGAACTAAAACATCCCGTAACCATTAACGTAACTCTACCATAACCTTGTGTATGGTCTGTGCAACAAAACCCACGCATATTATATTTCTGAAAAGAAATTATAGTTTTGTTTCCTCAGAAAAATAATGAACCGACGCGCTGTAAGAGTTTCGATTTGCATCTAACCACTTCTTTGGCGTTTCTTTGTTTCGGAGAGAAGCTGAGGAAGTGGAACATCAACCGATAATTGATCTGCTTGAGCCTCAACATCCTGTGTGTCTACAAAGGAGAAATGGCACACGTAAAGGTTATTAAAGCAGAGGAATTAGAACAAAAAGCAGAGAAAGTCTGCGTGGATATATGGTATCTTGTGTAAAAGAATAAATTTTTGTGACCATTAGCTTGGAGTCTGTGTATGTACAATCATTCTGTGTGATTATCAGTATGTTACACAGCCATGTGAATTTAGATGTAAATCAATGCTGTTGCCTTTCATTTCAAAAAAACCTTTTGACGGTTGGAGACGCAAAACCAGTAGGAATACCACCAAACAGAAGACTTCAGACGCCATTGCTAACACATTTTGCAAGTAGTTGCCAACAGCCTCGTTTGAGCTTATTTGAATCGAGTGTAGGAAATTGGGTACATCAGAATATAGTAGATTTAAAAAAGTTCAAAGCAGTAGAAAAAAATTGTAAAGGTAAACTCGAGCCAAAAGGGAACTTTTCTGTGCAAAGTGAACACGAAATTGAATTCATATTTCGAGTCCTCATAAATTCAATAAATTTGCATTGCAGCCATTAATTTTCAATTTGAGTAATGGCCAAACTAAAAGAGACTCCTGCCGGACGGTCGTTACATAACTACACCAACATTAGAAATTTACAGAGTGTTGTTCTATTATGGAAGAAAAAGAAAGGTTTTGGGAAATTTCGATTGATTGTTTTGTTTATTTTGCATCGGCTAGGAAATGGATGCGATTATAGAGAAAAAAAAATGGTGCGACTCGTGACCCCAATCAGATGGCAGGAATCACCAAGGATTTTCAAAGTGAATGTAATATGCGTATTTATTCTGCATACCCTGTCCGCTGATTCACAATATTTAACCCTTGGAATACGGTTGGAGGTGTTTAAGCGAGATCTCTCTGGAAATCTCTCTAGAAAAACGAGCGCTATGCGAATTGACCGTAAAAATTAAAGCTCTGTTGGAAAGTCTCTTTCAGTGGCCTGCACTCGAAAAATTGCTAAGGCAAGACAACTTTCTAAGCTATCTATGCGATGGACCAGTGTTGTAACAGATAAGAAATATCGGAAAGTATATGTTTGTTTTCAGTAATTGAGCTGTAAGTTTACTGTAAGTTTTGGCAGATTTTCTTTCCTTGGGTCACGTCTCCTGTGTGTAAACACATTCATGAACATATTCAGTCTGACAGGTCTACTCAATCAAGTAGAGTAGGCTTGAGGGACTAGGCAACTAGTCAATCAGGCTCTCTGAGACCTAGTCAGGTTTGGTAAATTGGAAATAGCAGTCACTCCTTGGATCATAACTAGCAAGGTCAACAAGTTCCAGCTACAGCTTTTATCCTTATGGAAAAAAAAGTAAAAAAAAAAAAATAATCTCAACAAAATACATGGGCGACTTCTGCTATTCTCACGTCATGGGAGTAAATGGCAAGACCATATCAATAGCCTTTCGGATGATTTAACATTCCTGAAAAAAATATTTGACATACACGTTCTTAAAAATTTCCACGCGGGCTTTGAATCCGTTTGTTTTATTATTACTCAAAGCTTTGCAAAAAATATTTTATCAGTCTGCTTCCTAAAAATCTCAATAACAAGACATAATCAATGCAAGTTTGAGCCTTTTGAAGTTGCTAACCATCATATCCAGAGCATGGCATTAACTTTATATATGGTAACTTTGTTTCAAACCTTGCTCAGCAAATGTTGGTAATTCAACGTTTAACATGTAGAAAAACAAGTAGAAAAGAAAAGGCGATTGGGCTTAACTAAAAAATGAACGATCATGAAACGTTTCCTAAACTTTGCAGACTATAATTAAATTTGAGCACCCTAACTATTGTATATAACATGTCGAGGGAGAGTAATGGGCAGAAAGTGACTAGAGAATGTAAATAGGTTTCGCTCCAGTACCAGTGCACTTTCCGTCGAGATTATTGTTCTAAGGAATGTTTAAAGCTTTTCCTTGAAAGAACAACAAGTCTTTAAGACGTTTGCGGATTCACTATCAGACGCTCTTAGAACACAGTATGAAGTAGATGTTTTCTAGATTCCTGTAAACATATACAAAGGTATGATTTCCTTTTACAACATTCTTTGACATCTTTTTGTGAAGCACAGCAGGTTATTGTGCAATATATCGATCCCCTGATCTTCCTCGCCACAAACGTTACAAAGAGTATTTTAAAAATACCCTCCAAAGTAAATTTTTGCGTTTATGTCTCCTTGATATATCGAGATAAGGGAATAAATATAGTAATTGTAACGAGCATTAATTCGTAGAATCAATGTGGATATGGATTACTGTGTTGTTCTACAGATTACGTGGCTACTTTTTCTGTGTTGTTCTACAGATTACGTGGCTACTTTTTCTGGCAGTGAGAGACAATGCTTTCAAAGAATGAAGAATATTACAAACTCTGTTGCAACTGTTGCACCAACTCAATCATGACAATTCTCAAATAATTCAGAGTGTTTTTGCTCTTAGAACATAAATGTACGGCAGCGATGGGGTCGTTGTGATGAGCCTGTGCGAACTGACGGCTGACTTTGCTTCGATCTTCAGTTGAATTGAATAAATTATTAATTATCAATGATTGTCGGTCAGTTCTTTGTGATTGTCCGTTAAAAAATAGTTTTGCACGGTCAGGTCCAATGAACCCTCGAAAAATATATATGATAACGATAATTATGATAAAAATATCACTTATAAAAAAAAACCAACCATACAATTGACTTACGCCGGAAAGTAAACCTCATTTAAAAAAAACGTTTAATCTTAATTTGCTGGCTGGAAATGACGCTGATATGAAGAATTCTATCATCTGGTTGATACGGTGGTTGATATTGAAGAAATGTAAAGTGGTTTCCGTGTTTACATAGCCTGATGTAAACACGCGGGAGGTTGGGAGAACACTCGATAAGCGTAGGAACCACGACGCGATCGTTTGTCAGTTTCGGGTTTTGCCTCAATATTAGAGGCATCGTTTTCATAGTCTTTATTCAGGTAAACGTAAGGTGTGTCCTGCGTCATCATGTCGTCCGTTCTTGTTATCAGCTGTTCAAATGATGGTCTCTCCTCGGGTTCTGCCTTCCAACAGTCTTACGTCAACTCGAATCAGGTAAGATTAGAAAATACGCAATCTTTTTATGTACATTTTTGCCACAACGAAATTATCTGTAACAAAATGACTTGATACCTGTTTTTTTTACCGTTATCTTTGTCATAATAAGTATTGAATAGGTAGTCAACATTGGTAAAGTCAATAAAAATAAATAACTTTTCTAACAAATTAAAAATATCGATCGACCTTAATAGAATAAGCATAGCATTCTACTCTTCCAATTTTGTATTGAGTGGCCTAACCTTTCCTGTGATTACTATACGAGACTAAAGACAACATGATTCACCGAGGTACAAAGAAGTGTAGAACTTTCTACGAAATTACCGTTTCCTCAAGTGTACTTTTCTCTCTGCAGAGGCGGAGTTCCGTTTTGCTTCTTGTTCCTAACATCTGTTTAAAAATTACATTCATAATTACCAACTGGTAGAAAACACTATTAATTCAAAGAAGAGCTGATTCCTCTTTCAGAGCCCCAAAGCTAATTTGTCCAGAACAAACTTTGAGGAGAAAAACTTTCCACTTTCATGATGTTTTCTTAATTGATTTGGGAAACATATCAGTTATGTTTTGTTTCATCTCGATATCCATGGTGATTTTCTGTAGAAAAACAAGATCAGAGAGAGAAAACTATGCCCCGCTCGCCACACAAATGCGTTTCGGCTTGATAACATTTTCCCCCGTTTTTGAACAGAATCCGTTTCCACACGTCGTGTTTTTAAATCTTTGTTTGCTATCCATTCACTGATTTTCTGAAACCCTGACAGAAGACACTACCAATTTTTTTTTTAGGCGTTGTATTTAGAATAGGGGATAAGCATTTCCTTCGGCTTCTACACACTCACCGTTATCTTTAGATGACTATCAAAGTTAAAACGCCTTTTACCATCTTGATCGTATGTAATAGGCAATCCTATAGAAGGGAAATTGTAGTAACTTAGCTCTTTAACTCCCAAGATCTCATTAGTAATTCTCCTCACGGTCTGCCATATAAATCGTGTGATGTTAGTTCAGAGCATTTGGTATTGGATCAACTAATAATCAACTAATTGATATTTTATCTTTGTTCTCATCGCTTGTGTGCTTGATATTGTTTTGATATTGTAAAGAGAAATGCTGTCTTGGTCACACATGGGAGTTGAAGGGTTAACTACACGAGTAGACAATAGTTATATTGAAAGTCCAATATTTAGCAGTAATATATAATGAGCTGCTCAAACTGAGCCTACTGCGTTGCGCGCACGTGTTATGATCTATTAATGAGCTTTAAATCAAGTTGATTTACAAATGATGCTTTTTATAAAAATTGAGCTAAGTACCTTCTAGCGGACAGCCAATATACTCTTAGATCATCTAGAATCGAAACTTCATCCTGTTTCCATGGCGAAACAGACTTTCACCAACTTTTTCTACATAATAAGGATGGTACTGTTTTTAATTTGAAACTGTAATTGATTCGACAATTATTAATCGAAGAATACATAGTTCTGCGTCATAAGTAAGCATCTTGAGTGGTTTTTAATATCATCGCTTAAACAGTTCAGCGCTTAAAAAGCTATTAGCCTTTTCTTTAACGCTCGAAAGTTGTGTTCGATGTTCGCGCTGAAGAGAATTTTGAGCAAAAAAATTAACTTGATACAAACCTTAAAGTGTAACATCATGTTTAAGTCTATGTACAGTTTTTGCACGGGATCCACATTCCACTCAGGAATTGCATTGAAAGTGAAACGCAATTCAGCCAACAGCACAGACGTGCTGCACGGCTTTCCTCGCTATGCCTTCTAATAATCAAAGAAACTTAGCCTCAATGTATATCGTACCTTCTTGATGTTGGTAAATTTCCCTCTAGGAGTTTAAGAGGGAGAGCCACAGTACTTCTTCCTGTTTACTTTCACAGGTCTTTAAGGACTATATAGTTACAAGAGAAAATAAGGTCCCTTTGTTTCCTCTTGATAGATATTTTTTCCAAATGTTGCCAGAAAGATTGCCGATACATTCAAGCTGCCACGAGTGGGCTGCAAAAGAACATACTCTCTTGTATGTGTGGAGTGGTTATGTAGCTCTTTAACATGGGCAGCGGAGCAACGGAAGTAGGTAAAGGGAGATCTACGCTCTTCGATCGAAAATTTTGAAGTGTGGGTAAGCGAAATGTCTATTTTCTCCTCTCCTTTTTTTTTTTTTAGGGAAATTATCGAAATAGCAGCACAAAACAGAATCGGTAAAATATTGGAAAATTAGGTTTTTATATGTTTAATCGTTTCATCAGGATCGCGCCTCGCGAAATGATTTTGCGTACCACTCTTCATTGAAAAGCTGCTTACTCGTGTACTTTCGGTCACAAATCGATCAGAAAGACACTAGACATGACTAAGATTGCTTAAAAGTTTGCGTGCGCCAATCAACTACTCAAATTTAGGGACATCAACCAAGAGCAAAATTTTATTATAACATGGCCAAGTTTCTGAGAGCGATAATGAATGCGAGTTATAACACTCGTGTGTTTTTAAAATATTGATTTATAACACTAATCTACGTATTCGTATGTATTTGAGAAACAATTAACACGGTCCGTGGCTCCAAGCTTGTATTCATTAGGAAGAGGCGATGAACGCGGGCTCACGGTTTCCTGAACAGCGGCACGCGGCTCTTGATAAATACAACACAGTTTCTTTACCTTGTGTCAATTATATTTATGATCGCGTAATAATGGTACGAAGATGATAACAAAAATGGAAATGGAATGATGAAAATTGTACAGATCTCATTTCTCAGGCATTCAAGTGCGCAATTTTAGTTCGAAAGTTTTTTGGAAATTTTAAAAAAAATTGTTGTTCTTTTGAATATTAAAGTCAACGTAAAATCTTAAGCTTTGACGACAGTGACTTCGAAATCGAAATTCAACAAATTTCGTCAATCTCTCTCTTTTTCCGATATCTATTTCACACCACGACCATTTTTTTTAAGATTGAGAAGGTCATGTGACCAAGTCGTGTTAATATAGCCAGGTTACAAGGTTACTGATATTAATTGGCAGGCAGGCAGTTCAACACCTGAAGATAATCACGGTCTCCATGAAAACGAACCTTCTAGCCAATCTTTCTCTGCACAGAAATTTAATTTTACCAAATTTTAACTTGAGTCGCACCGATGGCACCTTTCAAAAGCTTGAAAGTCGTAACAATCTTTATCCGTGCGCGAATTTTTTTTTCTTAGTTCGCGTCAAAAGTCAACTTGTCTTTCCCGGTTCCATTACCAACACGGTGAGAGGGCATTGAGTAAGGGTTTCGCCGTTTATTATAACGTTGACTTCATAGGTACCTGGAAATTTCGCTACAAATTTAACTTGAAAAGTTCCGTTTTCTTTTTCGCAGATTTTCAGGCTTCCCTCAGCTATCTGCTCAGCGGGCTCTATGTGAGCTTCAGCCTGAGCTTTGTGCTTTTTATTTCTGAATTTACCTTTTTGCAGTTCGGGATAAATCGATATCACTGCTTCTTCACCAGCGTGGAAACTTTGGCTTTCCAACGTTGATTCATTTCCATCTATATTGATTGTTGCGAATCCAAGGCTCAAATCTTCAGGTGACCATGCTGGAACAAATTGAACAAACGGACTGACGGAAACTGTTGGTACTTGGGTTTGACTAAGCTCTTTTAATCGCTCTTCCAGATACTTTTTGCTTTGTTCGACGTCTGAGGTTGGTCTTCTCTGCTGCAAGTCGTTACCGAACTCAACTGTTTGGTTTATTTGCCTGACCAAAGACTGGGCAGATTCCCTTGCTGAAGTCAGTTTCTCCATCCTCGACGCGCGCGTATTCTCGAGGGATGTCATGGCTTCACTCTCGAGTGCTTTAACCCTCGCGATCATTTTTTCCGTTGCTTGCGAAACTTGCTGTTTCGCAGCAGCTATGCTAGTTTCGAAGTCTTGTTTATTCTTCTCCATTTGTTGAAGAATTTCAGTGCAAGCCTCTTTTCCTTTTTTCATCGCCTCAACTTCGGACATGATTTTGGCTTTTTCGGCGTCTGCTGCCTCGTCAAGCGGCACGACATCATGGCTTCTGTGATCCGTGTCGTTACAAATTTGACAAATACAGCTTTGACAATCAAGACAGTAAAACTTCATTACTTCTCGCTCGTGCTGCTTCTGCGAGCAAAATGACGGCCGTCTTAACAAAGCTTCGTAGTCTTCAGTTTTAAACTGTTTCAAAAGCGTCACTTTGTGCCCTTGAAACGCAGTTGTGCGGAACAATTCATGAGCTTTAACGCAATTACAGCACATAAATTTCTGGCAATCAAAGCAGTAGCTCGTTTCGGCGCTGTTTTTCCGACATATACTACAATCTACCGCACTTCCTTCGCTATTTCGTCGAACAGCAAGAAGATTCAATAAGTTATTGTGTTGAAAACTGCTTGGCAAATCGGTGAAATGATTTCCTTCGGGGATGTCAAGGTCTGCTTGGCACTCTGGGCATCGATAGCGCCCCTGTTTTTGAGTCGCCAGAGCATGTCTTTTCAAGCATTCACAGCAGAAGGTATGAAAACAAGCTACAGTCTTTGGGTCCGTGTAGGTATCCAAGCAAATCGGACATGTTACATGTTCGACGAGGTTTTCCAGAAGTGCCTCCATTGACACAAAGCCGGCCACCTAAGTGTTTGCATTACAGAGAAACTTGAATGCATTGCGTGCATTCTATTTTTAACTGGCAACTAAAAATTCTCGACCAATAGACGACAGCTATCAGACTAGCGCGTGAACCAATTGGTCACGCGTGGAAAAAAATACTAAAGACCTCAGAACGTGGTAGAAGAAGAGATTTGACGGTAAGAACATTTTCTAGCCGTCCTCTTCGAATCAGTTATTACGCGAAGTCACCAAAATTGTCGTGATCTGAGAATGGGAACCCCGACTGCGAGTTATTTACCTCAGTCTGCCAGTCTGCGTACATGTATCATGCTGGAGTTGAGATCTGGCGCCGTTTCAAACGGTTAGCACATCCAGTCATCTGCGAAATTGTTTTAAATCGACGTTTAACACGGCTTTCCCTTCCTGACCGCTTATTATTCGACCAGAATCGGACGCTCGTACAGCTGTGGTAAGATGAAGAAAAATATCAGAAAGTGTGCTCAGAAACCGGCCAAAGTGCAAGGTAAATCATGACTATTTTCTAATTTCAAAAAACATTTATTGACAGTTACGGTATAATTAACCTATAGAACAAAAATATCATTAAAAAAAATCCTACACCGTTTTAGCAAATATACTTTATTTATTGTATCTTTGATACATTCAGTCATTTTATTGTTGTTATAGTTTTTTTTCTTTTCGTCGTGATCATCGTGACTGTTTCAACATTTCTGTCGCGTATACTGTTTCAAAAACAATAACAGCTGTTGTTTATGTTTTATTTCAAAGCCGTGATATCCTTCCATGAAGCTTTGGCCGAACGGAAGTCAAAGTCTGTAGCGCTAGTCGAAATATTAGCCCATGAAAGTTCCCTTCGCCCCACGCCTTGCAATCTTCAAATTAAAATTGGTTAACGGCTGAAATTGGTAAAGCCTCGAGGCTTTAACAGCCTGGTCAACTGCGCTAGCTCGATAGGACCTCAGTAGACGAGCTTAAATTTCCCTTTTGAGCATAAAAATAAAGTTCGTTTTGGCATTAAAAGATCGAGATTTCTCGGTGTAGGGGGTCTGGATACTAGGAAATTTGAAACCGCTGGTCTATTGAAAGCCCTTAGAGTTTCATAGCAACGGAAAAACCAATCAGAAAGTGCGATAGTTGCTATCCGACACAAACTAAACGACAAAGTATTATGGCTTCCAAAGAGCTGTGGATCTAAAGGCGTTTACATCATTTAGTTAAACTGAATTCGATTTTAAAAGGAGCATAGCAGTTTGTTATGGCTGATAATGAACTTGAGGGTGAAATCAGTGACAATGAGAGCGATTTGAGCCTTCGGGGAGAGAGCGAATGTGAAGGCGAAGATAGCGGTGGGGAAGATGTTCGGGAGCCCGTTACTGGAACGACATCAGGCGATCGAGCCGCTACTCCTAAGAAATCAAAGGCTAAGAAGAAGAAGAAAAAGTGAGAAACATATTTAAATAAGGATAATACTCCGAGATAAATTCTAAGAGGTTTCTTTGCACGCTCATCGCCAGCGAATATTGTTTTGTTAATAAATGCGTTTATGTTTTTCAGATGGATGAATGTGTGCTTGACAAACTGCAAGTATGAAAGTGGTAAGTATCTTCGTGTTGGAAATACAATCAGCACCTCTTTCCTTTGATTAATCGAGATCTTGTCCACGTTTTCTGTGCCCTAATTGATCATCTTAATTTTCTTTTGAACAGTTCGCAGGGTAACGAAACGATTCGGCATGAAGGAGGTTGGTGAAGATGAAGATTGGGCTTTGTTCTGGACAGATTGCTCTGTTGCTTTGGAACGTTGTATGGACATGAAACGTTACCAGGTACGTATTAAATAAACGGATAATAAAGTAAATTATCGATATTTCTATGTCTTAAGCTTCGAAATTTATTGCAAGTAAATTACGGGCAAGCTTCAGCCTCGCGTACCTCTATTGTTCATGCAATGATTAGTTCTTATACTCCATTGTTTATTTGATATTGAACATGAAAATGCAGCTACAGCAATAGGCTTTTTGCAGCGTGAGGCATTGAGGAAACTATACCTCTTACAAACTGGAGTTCCTTGCTAACATGGTACATTTTGGAGGTTGGAATGTCTTCGATGGAAGCAAAGTTTAGTCTTGTAAAATGTGGCCCCTAATCATAAAAGATGTTTTAAGTGCGTTTAATGGTACCCTTGTTGCCAGCGACCTTGTGATTTCTTGTTTCACAACATTTGTATCGGGAATTCATGCAAAGAAAGGGAAAAGCAGAGATGTGTATCCATTCTTAATGATCGTCTTGCCGGCAAAGTTTTAAATGTCTCTTAATGCTATAAAACACGTACACTCTTTAGTACATCGCCGTTTGTTGACATGATTTGTAAACAATAGGAAGTTGCTTTTATTAAATATCTTCTATTTGGAATCGAGATCTTGACCCACAAGAAAGTGTTATTTCTGAACTGTTTATCTAGAATTATTACTAAAAAGAAGGGGTAAGTTTCTAAAGAAACTATGGTGCTGCGTCGGTGGGAGAGTATAGCAGGTAATGTAGTGTTAACAACTGAATTGAAAACGTAAATTAGCCACCGTAAAGGGTAGAAAAGCTGATGTTTCGAGCGTTAGCCCTTCGTCAGAGCGTCAGCTTTTTTACCCTTTACGGTGGCTAATTTACGTTTTCAACTTAGTCGTTAACACTAAATTACCTGCTATTACTAGAAAGGTTTGACAAAACAACGATAAAGTATTAATTTTAGCACAATATGATTAGTGTTAAAAGCACTAGTAACGTGATATTTTGCCTAAACCCTGTGAAATCATGAGCTAAAACCAAATACAATCGTGGGAGCTGTAATGGCTTAGTGAAAAGGATGTTGAGCTACAGATGGTCACATGTAGGTGTGGGTTTAACCATTTGCCTGGCAAGAAACTAATATAAGTAAACTTTTGTATTGCCCCTCTTCCATTTGAGAGTAATGAAGAAAGGCTAAGAGGTAACTTTTGTGATGAGCTGACATCCCGTTCAGGGGTGGAAACTATACTTGCAGTTACTTGATACTGCGGAAATCAATTTACAAGTGGTTTTTAGTATCACTCATGAGGGGAGAGAGTAGATTCAACCTTTACCAGATAAATCTAGTGTTATCAGTATGTAGTTGGAGTGATATATCTATTAGTAATTGCTTTCTCTCCCTTTTCCCTCTTCGCAATTGAGTCACCTTCACCCTGTAAATAATTATCTTAAAGATTTACTAATTCCCTCTCTCTTCTCAACTTTTAAACAGAAAATAAATCATTTTCCTGGTATGAGTGAGATTTGTCGCAAGGATCTTCTGGCAAGAAACATGAACCGTTTATGGAAACAGTTTCCCAAGGAGTATGCTGTGTTTCCTAAAACATGGTGCTTGCCAGCAGAGTAAGTGACTTGTTCTTCCCTTGTTATCTAAAAGGACAAAGTAAATGTAGCTCAGCTGTAAGAGTTTGTGAATTATTAGCAGTTACTTAATTTTCACAAGCATATCATGTTCATTTTAGACTCTGAATCATCGGTCTTTCTAGCAGAATTTTCAATCAGCAGAGCATTTTTATTGGCATATTGTAGTTAAGTTGGCTCACAAGGAACACATTTATTTAAAGAACACATAATAACGAAGAGATATGCAAAATAAATCTCTTTGTGTGACCCTCCATGAAAGCCTTGGTTCATGAAAAAAAACCCTATAAATTCTCCTGAATACCCCTTTTTACCAGTAATTTTTTTGTATTTCCATGTGGAGCACAAGGAAAAGTTGAGATAGTTAAGAAGATGAGCCTAATATTCAATATCCTTTTTAGCTGTATCATTTAGCAGTGCCTAACCAGTTTTTGGGAGACATTACATGAACTAGTGACCTTTCTATACCCTCATTTACATGTAAGCCTGAGTTTTTTCACATTACTGGCTTCAATTTGTGCATAAGCTCAGACTGCAGTCTTGATCACTGACTGTGATGAAATGATGGCTTGAAAATTAATACTGGTTGGCTTAAGTAATGGTATTTTCTTTCAATGACCTTCAGTTATGGAGAATTGCAAGCCTACTGTCGACAGAAGAAGAATAAAACATTTATTCTCAAACCAGATAGTGGTAGCCAAGGAAAGGGTATTTTCCTGACGAAGAATCCAAAGGTCAGTTCTAACTCAAGCCTGAAAGTTAAAGTCAGTTTGTTTCTAGTAACAGTAGATGGGACAAAACTATTTAAAAAAAAGAGTTCTCCTTTTTTTAATGATACAATATCTTAAGTTTACTGTGCACTGTGAAGATTCTATAATTGTCTTATAGTCACAACATGGTTTTGTGCTTTTTTGAAGAGCTTTTTCACTGTATCACCTCAATGAATTTACATTTAGATTTTTTTAATATCATGGATGCATTGATATTTGATAGTTGATCTGAAAATGAAAATATCAGTGTTCTGTATCTTGAACTGAAAAATTACAAAAATCGCTTTCCAGCAGAACTATCAGACATTACAAGCTGCAATAATTAGTTCCTAACCAAAAAAAAGGCTAATTCCCAAAAGGCTTTTCTGCTGTGTAGTAAATTTTTGGCTTTTTTCATTAAATACAAAGGTGAAATTTCTCTTGATGCAGCTTAGTAACCAGTTTAGTACATTTGGATGTTAATTGCATGCCAATGCAGTTAACAAGTGAAAGGTGTCCCATAAATAGTATTAATTTAGCATTTATTAGTTGTTCTTTTATACTGGTCAACAGGATATTAAGCCAGGTGAACACATGGTTTGTCAGCAGTATGTTTCCAAGCCTTTTCTTATCGATGGATTTAAGTTTGATCTGAGGGTGTATGTGCTGGTTACATCTTGTGATCCTCTGAGAATATTTGTTTATGAGGATGGCTTGGGAAGATTTGCTACTTTAAAGTACATGGAACCAAGTAACCACAATGTGGTGAGTGCAGAAAAAAATATTTCTCAAAATTGTTGGAACCTACACTGTACAGTACATTTAATATGTATGGTTAAGAATCAAGAGCTTCTTGAATTGGTCACATTTCCTCCATTCTCATGACCTTAATTTGGGATTCAGGGATGATATAGTGAAGGGAAATGAGAATTGCTAGTAAGTCTTAAGAATCAAAGGTTAATAATTATACATTAATTGACCTAAAGTTTCCATTATAATTGTGACTGCTGGTACACTTGGGATAGTGTGGCCTTGCATGATTCAAAGGTATTCTGCAACAAATATCAAATGTTTCCCAGGTGGAATACATGACTGTATAATTGTAATTGAATGGAACCGGATAGCCTAGGGAGCAGACAGTGAGTCTATTAAAGCAGTGATATTAAAAATGTATAAACTCTCAAGAGAGTTGCAAAATCAATCTACAAACTGATTTTTAAGATGTGGAGAATCTTAAAAAGATGGGAATAAGGTGGCAGTCTTTTCCAAGCTGCATTGGCTGCTAATAATCGCTGGTTGGTATATCTTTGGTAATTGCAATCAGATCATTTTTAATTTTTGGGAGGCATGTCATTGAGAAATAGTTCAAGTATATTAAATGAAAACCATGTTTTGAAGAATGTCTTGAAATATCCAAATTTTCCATAAATCCTGTTATTGATAAAACTAATTGTATTTTATATTGTAAGGAGACTTTATGCTGTTGTTAAAATTTTTTCTAGTAACAAAGCATGTCAATCCTTTTTTTTTTAGGATGACACTTGCATGCACCTTACAAACTATGCTGTAAACAAACACAGCAAAGATTTTATCAGAGATGAAGAAACTGGGAGCAAAAGGTGTGTTTGCACTTCAAGTATTTTAATGTGACTGGCAAATGAACCTGAAATTAGTTGTTGAATAATTTTTAAAGTTTTGTGAAAACAGGTTGTTAAACTGTTTAGGCAAGGTGTGCGTGCATGTGATTTTCAAAACATTGTTCTGGTATCCTTTTAGTGATATTACAAATTATTTATACTGAATGATTTATTTCATTTCAGACGGCTAACAACAGTAAACAGGTGGTTTACTGACAATGGTTATGATGTCAAAGAAATCTGGGCATCAATAGAGGTAGGAAATATTTTGATATCCTGTATGAGTGGATCATGACTGAAAAATAAGGTCCACCTGTGTACATGTTTAAAGCTCACAAAGATATCAATGTGTAAACATGGGATTGGATCATATAATTATGTGCTCAAAGGAAAAGTTGCTTTTTAAATGATATATGAAGTTCGAAAGGAAATGATGAGCATCAGTAACACTGCTAGTCACACATGGTATAATTTCACTTTATCTGCTAGCTTTATTTGCGATATGCAATGCCATGAGTACAAGCTTGACATCACAAGAGAGTTTAAGAGCCCAGTTTCTTATTTGTTACCATCACTGCATTCAACTTTGTGAAACAACTTCTCAGTGGGGAATACTGGCAGCTGATACAGATTTTCATAATTCACATTAATTTTTAAAACCTTTTAGCTGCAATGAGTGACTAAGACAGAATTTCTCCTTTGAATATTACCTCAACATCAAGGAGACAAGTAAAAAGAATAAAAAACAATTAGGGGATTGTTAGTTGATCCAATACCAAATTCTCAGAACTAACATCATAAGAATTGTATGGCAGACAGTGAGGAGAATTACTAATTTAATGAGATATTGGGATTGAACTTGGATAACAGACCACATGCATTTTACTTTACATCATGCGGTATTGTGCTATTTAAGCTTGCAAACTTTCATGTAGTGAGTTTCATTTGATTATGATTTGTTTTATCTTAAATTGACTGTTTTTGTTTCAATTTGTTATTAGGATGCTATTATTAAAACTTTAATCACAGCCCATCCAATACTGAAACACAACTACAGGACCTGTTTTCCAAACCACAACAAGGGCAGTGCTTGTTTTGAAATCCTAGGCTTTGATATTCTGCTTGATAAAAAGTTGAAAGCTTGGGTTTTAGAGGTAAGAATACCAATTAAGAAAGATGTTTATGAAGAGAAATGGATGGTACTGAGCATACTGTATTTAATGTGATTCAACTTTACCTTAATGTTTTTAAACCACTCAGACAAAGTTAAATCAAAGAAACATTAGTTTAACCGATTTTAACCCAGAGGGATTTTTAAACCACAGGACATGTCATAAACATTATTTTGTAATTTATTGATTTTCAGGTAAACCATTCCCCAAGTTTTACCACTGACTCACCCCTTGATAAAGAAATTAAAGAGGGACTGATGTTGGATGCCCTCACTCTTCTTAATTTTGGGGCATGTGATCGCCGCAAGATACTCGAGGAAGACAAAAAGAGAGTACGGGACAGACTTCTACAGAAACAGAGGCCTAAAGAGAACAAGTATGTTGAACAGTTTTTTTTAACTCTAATGCAAGTGAACCATAAAGAATTGACTAACCCTTTTTGTAACATCTGCTTATCCCTTTAACTTCCAAGATCTGATTGTTAATCTCCTCCCTATGGGCTACATATTTCCTTCTAAAAAGTTACAAAAATATGCTATTACATGTAGATTAAGAAAACAACTTTTAACACTTTAACTTCCAAGGATCTGATTGTAAATTCTCCTCTCTAACTGTCATACATTTCCTTTAAAAATAGCAGCAAGAATTTGGTGTTAAATCAAGATAACAATTTTAACCTGATAAGTTTGCATATTCTTTTCACCTGCATGCTGGATAATGTGTGGATATTAGGAGGAGAAGTCACATGTTAATCACTTCTGTGAGTTAAAGGGTTAATTGATGAGTTTGAGTATTCTCATTACCTGTTTGGTGGGTGTTGTATATTGTAGGGAGAAGTTACATGTTAATTACCTCTAAGAGGGTTGAAACATTTAAAGGCAGGTTATGGCACCAGATTTTTTCAGTAAATACATGTACATCAGGAACTTTCAGACACCAAATTTTCTCAGACAGATTCTTCATGTTATAGGCAGTTAGTTATAAATGTACAGCATATGATTTGTACAAAATAATTTTCAGCAAGTTTTTACAGTGACCACCAGCTTCACCATTTATTATTAACTTCTTTTTTTTTTTTTTTCAAGGAGAGATGATTTTGAAAACCAATCACAGTATATTGAGTGGTTGAAGAAGTATGAAGACAGTCACATGGGTAAATACAGGTAGGAAGTGTATTGTATTATAATTAAATGTGTTTATATATCTACAAAATTAAATTCTAAATGTAAAATTTCATTTTATCCTTTTTCTACTTTAGACGTATCTACCCTGAAGGAAATGAAGAAAAATATGCTGTGTATTTCGAGAACAGTTGTTCTTTGTTTCAAGAGACGGCAGCCTCCAAGGCTCGAATAGAGTGTGCCAGGTAAGATGTTCTGTTACGCTCATCATTTTAATGGTAGGATTCAAGACATAACCGAGTCACTGTCCTGTGATCTTGAATAAGATACTTTACTCTCTCCGTCTCACCAGGCCTCTCGACCAGCATAATGCAAAAGACTGGGCCCTAATTTACCTTTTCATTCCACCTGTTTTGCAAACGAAACTTTTGTCTTCTAGCAAACTGGTCCAACTTATGGCGTGTAGTTGCTCTCCCATTTTCCCTTTGGAACGACAAAAAATTTCAGATCATATTTCTCCCACAACTTCATTTTGTCCTTAAGATTATTTGTAACCTAGATTGATGATGAAATCTCTCTGTCATTGAAGAACCATTTCCAGAGAAGAGGTGGTCTCTCTGTTCGATCCTGAGTTCAAAGTGTTTGTCTTGAGGTTGACATTGCCGCGGGGCCTTGTCGGGAGTCGAGAGACATCTGAGTTAACTACACGTTAAAAGAAAAGATCACAGCATCAACAGTAGTTATAAGCGTAATGATATCATAAGAACTTCAACAACTTTAAATTCCACCTATATGTCAATAACTTTTATCTTCAAATATTATACAAACTTGTATTTGAAGAAATGTTTTGCTTCATTTTGTGTCATCTCCTGGTTTGTAGGGTTCAACGTGAACAAATCATGGCCAAACAACAAGAAATGGAGAATGCAAGGCTCAAAAACAGTGGGAGGGCTCCCAAGGGATCCAAAGATGGTCTTAGGCCAGAGAGTCCTCATAGTCGAAGGCCAAGAAGGCCCCCGGTTAGGAAGATGGTCCAACCTGGTAGACCAAAATTTGAGGTAAATGACAAGTATAAATGATTATTATTATTATTACCCCAGCAAACTTTCCGTCACTATTATGCAAGGAAAGGAAAAGTGTGTTGTTGTTGTTGTTGTTGCTGCTTTTTCTCTCACGTGTTCGAGCCCAATTCAACGAAGCACGCACGAACAGTTACAAGGGTGCTTTGTCGTCGAAGTTCTGTTAATATAGGTAACAACATGATTTCGAGTGCAATTTGGTGTTAACAAGCACAAGTAAATTTTTCAAGGACAACAAAATTGCACGAGCCCTTAGGGCGCTTGCAATTTGTAGTCTCTGAAAAATTTACAAGTGCTTATTTACACCAAATTGCACGAGAAAGCATGTTGTTACTTGTTAATAAATTACATGAAAAACGCATCGCAGAAAGTCAAGACAGACGAAATTTTGGCAGCGCGCGCTCTTTGTAATTTGCACTCGTGTTACATGAAAAATGCACTCATTTTCAGCAAAAGAGACGCGCGTAATTTGTTCATTCATATTATTACCTCAGATATACAAGCAGTACTATGTTACAGATCTTGCTGTAAGGAACGCGGTGGCGTGATAGCTAGTGCGCTGGTTCGTGACCTGACCGGGTGAATAGGCTGTGTTTTGGGGTAAATACTTAACTCATACATTGCCTCTCTCTCAACCCGGAGCACAAGTGGGTACTGGCAATTTTTCAGGGAAGCTTGATGAAATGCTGGTAATCTTGCGATGGAGTAGCATTCCATCCGGCGGGAGTAGTGATACGCTTAGTCGCCCGGTTAAGCTCCGGCTGGGTGCGCCACTGGAGTCTAATACAGACTTCAACAGCACCCTGCGAAACACTGACACGTCAAATTTTTATTCAGGTTGGCAGAAGAACTGGCCAGGAGCAAACGGACACCACCAAACCAATGACGATATCAGAGGAAGAAGAATTGGAGAGAATCACTTCCCTTCTTCAGCGGGATAATCTGATAAGAGGGCTGGGTGTGGTCGAGTTTGTGTACAAACTGTTACACTGCACACCCGGAACTGGAGGGCCACAGAAAAACTGCTCTTTACATCACTCGGTGAGTTACAAGCGTAACCATCAGAAGGGAAAAATAACACCCTTGTTAAAAGAGATAGGAAAAGACTAAAGGAATGATTTTCGTAGAAAATACTCATTAACTTTTATTCGTGGATTTTTAGAGATAATCCTTAAATACTCTGTTATTCCCTTTTAAGTATATCAATTGCAATTCTCGTCATCCTTATCCATACATGGGCTCTTCAAATTTATAACCCTTTCGGCGGAATGTCCGTGTATATCCTATCATATAGAGGTGCCCTCCCGGGAGGAGTGGGGGCATCAGTTAGATGGACATGTATTTTGCTGTATGCCACTCGGGTGGAAAAAAAAAACCACAAGGTACATCTGTCATGCCAAACAAGACCATCCGGTGTAGACAGAAACTATTTTGAAGTACTGAATCATCACTCTTTTTCTTCTCAGAACACCAATAAAGACTCGTCTTCCAAAGGTAGCTCTGTTGGCGGCCGTGAGATAGGAGGCAGCCTGGGTGACAAACATTCGGCCATGTATGGCTCTATGGGATTGCTGTCAACATCTGGAGCAGTAACCGCTGTTAACAATACAGTCGCAGCTCAGTTGTCTCGGTTCCAGACCTATCAACCCGCCTCTCTGTCTGCTGTTATGAATTTGAAATCCCTCAATCAACAAGCCACTTTATTACGAAACGATCGTCGTGCTCTTGCGTCAGTCGGTATAGTACCATCAGCTCCCACGGGGTTGCCCAAACACAGATACGGCTCAAGAAAACTTTCCACAAGTGGCAGAGCAGTTAACGGCAATCCAGATTACGACTGGAGATCAGGATCAACGACTGGTATCGAGGCCAGTAGCCTTGCTTATAGTTTGATTGATCCTAGACTCGATAACCAACCAAACACCTCGCTCAGACGCCGGTCTTTGAGCGCTACAGGGCTTAAAACTTGTGGTGATTCCACTCAAGGAACACGCGTGGTCAATCCGCGCGTTTTGGCAGCGGGTGGCGTGGCAGGGTCACAGACCAATCTCTCCAGTCCAGGAGTATTGTCGCCTGGTGTTAATGCGCAGCAGTATATGTGTTCGATGTACGCGTTTCCCAACGTGCTTAAAGTGGCACCGCAGCCTCAAAATGGAATGAATTTATCTGTGATATCTGGCCCGGCGCCCGTCAATTATCGACCAAGTCCAGCCAGTAGTAGTATATCAGCCGAACAGTCTAGCTCGTCCCACAGGTTTACAGGATCGCCATCAGCGCTCATGAGGTGAGCTTCGTTACAAACCACCCTTCAGAGCTCTTACCGATGGGGTAGCGTGAACCAAAACCAAAGTAATTGTAAGGACTAGTGATAGGGAATGAAAATGTTTCAAAGGGCCCGTGAGATCTCAAAGGAAAAACAAGCAAACTGCCAGAAGCGCGGGAAGACGCGGGTGATCAGGTTGTGATTGGTTTTAATTTTGAGTCTGATTGGTTAAGAGGGCGGCGCGAGTTTTGTGGACCAATCACAGGAAGCAAAACCAAAACAATCCTGGATGACTTTCGGCTTCCTCTATTGCCCAGTCCTAATCAGGCCAAGTCTAGATTGTTTTTCGACGTGAAACCCCCAAAGTAATTTCAACCGTCAATCAGGGCAAGGGTAAAGAGAAAAAGATAATATGGTTGTTGAATGATCCTGGGTGCGGGCAAACGTTCGACATCAAACGTTCTAGTTTCACATCTGATTGGTTTAGGGAAGATTCTTCGATCACGGAAGCAAAACCAAAGTAGCCCAGGATTACTCAGTCGAAAATCCGGATGGTCGACACTTTGAAGATTACTATTTATACTTGATTTTTATTCTCGAAGCTTCATGCTTAACAGCCATAGAAATGAATGGTCATTCTAACTGTAATTGATCCCATGCAGATCAACTAAAGCTCAAAGAGCCCGCGGAGCTACCAACAATATGCGCCTGAAGGTAATTCATTATTCTTTGACTATTTATTAAAAGTAGTGCTTGATCTGTTGGGCTTCTAACCTGACACGAGCAGGTAATCGATGAAACCTGTACGTCATTGTTATAAACCGCAAATGGAGAGGACTTACTTAGTGAAGGAATTATTTCCTAATACTCATTTTGTACGGGGTTCTCAAGCGCGATCATACGCTCGTCCCGGGAAGGAGTAATGAAGCGCGCTTATTTGCCGAACAGCGGCTGGTAATCGTGCAAGTTGTCACCCAGATACTTTTTAACCGTCGTGCTTGAGTTAGTCGAAATATGATAGTTCGAAGCCAAATTGGCAAGAAAGTTAAAGGAAACAGTATTTTACTATCCTCCCAGAGTACTCAGCTGTCCGCGTAAGAAGCTAATTGTTATTTCCGTCTTTCTCTCTAATTACAGCAACTTGAACTCCGTGAGAATCATGCAGTAGCCTTGAGCTAACGCAGCGGGGGAGCAGCTTCAGTTGACGTAGCTTGTAACAAAGAGATAAGGGTTTGGATTTGGCGTGTTTGACATGAAAAGAATCCCCGGAACAAAATCATGTCCATAGATCATTAAAATAGTGCTTCGTACTTTATGAGAAATGTTAAAGTGAAATTTTTAAGAACCCCATCGAGGAACCTGGATTCAGTGTTTTCTACCTATCCATACGTTCATATCGTAGTTAGTGTAGAAAGTATATAATTTATATAGTAGTTAAGTGTGGAATTTGAGCAATTTTTGAAACATTGTTTGCGAGAATTACGACTGTTTTAATACAATTGTATATAGTTTGGTAATATCAATAGATTTCATATCTGACTGCGTGGTATTTTTGCTGAAAATGAATGACAATTCTCTGTTTATGGCCAAAGACATTTTCAAAAGTACAATGGTTTTAATCTAAATATATTTGTACAGACTAAAAAGATTCATGGAGGGTTAAAAGAATGATTAAATCTTTATTAAAAGGATGTAAATAATCGTCCTCATCAGAATATGTTTATTGTGTAGAGTAACTCCTTTGCTCCAAGAACCAAGACCCCGTTGGAACGAGGCTGAGCCCGTGGTACACGCAAATTCGGAGATCTACCCCGATCTTTAGCAGTTCAAACATTCTGCCATGTCTGTGTTTGAATTGAATTTTAAAAAACAAAATTTATTTAGAGATTGACGAAAAAATTGATTTACTATGCGCAGAAACATTTTTTGCAACCGCCACCGCAATATTTTGTGAACACCACGTAAAAAGCTTGTGAATTTACGGCAAAACCTTCAAATAAGTCAATTAATCAACTTAGTTTAACGAAAGTATTACCAGACAATAATTCAACTGAGAAACTAGTGACCCTCTTTGTGAGCATAACGGCAAAAGTTTGTTCATCACGGCGTTATAGTTAATGAGCATCACGGCCGCACTCACGATTTGAAAACGCCACGGCTGAACTAGAATTCTTGGGAGGAAGCGAACAAACCCCTTCTCATATCTGGCATAAATAAACAATCAGCGGATGGGTACGTACTTGAAAAAGAGAAGGCGATTCGCGATATCTTCAAGAAGGGATGCATTCAAGATGAAATATTTGCGCAAAAGATGTATACCAAGGTATTCGAACGAAGATAGATACGCTGTAAAGGCGCATTAACCCTTTAACCCTTAAGAGTGTCTAACATCTAATCTCTCCGTACCATATCACCCCAGAATCAAACATTATGGTTAGGAGAATAAAGGAGCTGATCACCAACTAAAGCAGCTCTTGATTGTTAGACAAATTCTCCTTGTCAGCGCCCTAGGAAATGTTTAGAGAACAGTATGGAGAATATGTATACTGATATTAGAGTTTAGAGGGGGATACGGTCTGAAAAGAAATCCCTGAAATCTTTGAATGCTGTAAGAGAAAAGACTAGAACCCTCCTGAATAGACCCGTCTGCATGGGAGGGCTTTGACGGATTTTGCACACGCTCAGAATGCACGGTATATGTAAGTGTTCTCTGATCTGTTGTCGAAAGTTTTCTAAGAGAAAAGTAGTCTTGAAGGAGCGAAGAAAGCAGAGCGCACTGGCTACATAAAAGAGCCCATAGGCTTACTGAATCTCACTTCCGCCATGGTGTTTTCAAACGTTTGCTGTAATGGTTATTTACTTCTGGCTTGTTGGTCACCTGCCTCTACCTTGCATGATTATAATGATTTCATATTTCCCGTGATATTCACAAGTTTTTGTAGCGGTGTTCACAAACGTGAACTGGTGAGGAAAAAACTTTTTCTGCGGCTTTGAATCAATTTTGAAATGAATCATATCTCCTATTCCCCTTTTTTAGTTCAAACTATAGTTTATTCTAAAATGACTTTATCAATCGTGTGTTATTGACTTGAAACTTGAGGATCACCGTTCACACTTGTGATCTGGCGTTTTTTTTGTTTTTTTTTGTTTTTTTTGCCGTTACGTTGGTAGGAGAATGCGTGACACAGTTTATTCAGCTGCGTGACCATCCAAAATTCACTCTCCAGTGGGAGTTGAAACAAAATAGAGGAGGTATAGATAAAAGACATTGAATATATTTTAACACATCAAGCAATCTGTAATCTTCTTCCTTAGACAAATCCAACTGGGTTTTGTCGTAATTTGCAAAATGGCGGACGAACAAAGCCATGTGCTATCAGTAAATCGGGAAATTGTGGATCAAAGAAGACAACCACTTACATGGCGAACACGAATTTGTTTTGGAGTGGGACATGTGCTCAATGATTTGTGTGCCTCAATGTGGTTCACCTATCTCCTGATATATCTTCACAAGGTGATAAAATTTTCAAACGCGAGCGCTGGAACACTATTGTTGATCGGACAAGTAGCAGACGCTTTGTGCACTCCTCTCGTCGGAATCGAATCAGACAAAACAGGCCGTTTCAAGTACGGACGACGAAAGATCTGGAATTTGGTAGGAGTTGCTTCAGTTACCCTCAGTTTCCCGTTTGTGTTTAACCCCTGTTTAGGCTGCGAGAACTCTGAACATTGGGCGCAATTTATTTACTACACACCGTTCATAGTAATTTTTCAATTTGGCTGGGCGGCATCGCAGATATCACATTTGAGCCTGATTCCAGAACTCACAGACGATGAGCATGAGAAGTGTGGTTTGAATGCAATAAGGTAGGAAAAAACACTCGGTTGTAATTAATAACACAGGTTTATAAATGCGGTTTCAAACAGAAAATTTCGAAAATACCTTGATCACCATCAATAACAATTGATCATCTCTTGCATACATTATCGAGTGATCTTCAATACAAGCACACGTTTTACACGTGAAAATGGTCGGGCCACCTGCAAGACCTCTCATCACCGTCTGTTCAGCGTGCGTGTAGGATTAGGATAACTTGTAAAAGTTTTGTCCCGGCACGCCGCCTAGGTTTCGTCTTACAGTACAGCCGCCTATCACAACACGGAAAAAATTATGGAAACCCTGAATTTTATTTTTTTCTTCTTCTTTTAGTTTCCTGTTTCTTTCACTGATCATGGGTTCAGTCGCGCGACGAAATGTATAAGCCATAACAAGCAACTTGATTTTATCAACTGAGTTGATGATATGTTAATGGCCACAGGAAAGAATTCCTAAGCAAACGTTTCGAGCGTTAGCCCTTCGTCAGAGCGTCCTTCGCCCTGACGAAGGCGTCATCCTTCGCTCTGACGAAGGACTGACGCTCGAAACGTCGGCTTAGAAACTCTTTCCGATGGCCGATTCAGTTGATAAAACCAATTATATTATAACAATTCCCACTAACGCAGGACCACAGTTTCTAAAGGCATTTTCCCCGTTTTAGCAATTATCAAAGAATGGTAACGTGCGTCTAATTCCTGTTTCTGAACGCGTAGGGATTTGCAAGAAAACTATTTATTTACCGACTCTCTGACGACTCAGCATAAAGTAACCTGCGATAACACGTTTTTGTTTCCTAATGGGGACTAGTAAGTAGAAAAAGAGAACGCCATACTACCAAGACATAGAGAATTAAATTTGGGACAGGGCGTGCTCGCAGGCCACTTGACTCTCGACTTCGCTTTCAAACGGTATTCTACAAACAAAAAAACTGCTTTTCTGCAAAGGCTTTTGGATTTCGAAAAGAGTTCCAGTGTGTTGTTCACTCACCCGTTAGTTTACTTTTGTGGCAGTCATTCGGCCAAATGCGCAAACAAACACGCTCCTAGATAAACATTTGTCACTTTCTGATTATCCAGTGACACACGAATGATTCTTTCATTAGCATACAGAAAATAACCAATAAACCTGTCGTTTCCGATAATCAGTGACATCAGTGACATCAGATCATCCGAAGGCTACAGGTTCTTCTAATGAGCCATTGGAAAATATGCGATGAGAGTGAAGGGGATGTTGTGAAAGAATGTGGAGGCTTAAGCCGGTCAAGTTGTAAACCAAATGGCTGTCTTTTAAAGCAACTCTTTTTTCGCAGTGCTCAAGGAAAGATAGTTATACGATTATTTCTTCTACAGATATGCAGCCACCAGCTCATGCAACATATTTGTCTTTGTTATCACCTGGCTTTTCTTGGAGACAAGTGACGTCAACAGCGATTCAAACCAGCTGGGGACAGGAGATGCAACTGCTTTCACGGTAAATTATCCTGGAAAACTTTCGAAGCGGTCTTCTTCAATTTATGCTTAGGGGCCTGTAAGACAAAGGGGTTGTGAAAGCATTTATGAACCCTTTCGATTCGTGTGTTTTTTCTTTGTCTTCAGTCTTTTCCCGGAACAGTTTTGTGATGTCCGTAGCAAACTCTTGCTTTGATGTTTTCTTGACAATGAGACGTCTGAACGCTGTTTGTGCCCGTCCCCCCCCCCCCAATAATATTTCTTCGGGTGTCCCTGACAACCTTGTGGTACTCATTTACACCTTTGAGGGGAAAAAAGTTCTGCCTGGCCCAAGAACTTATCACAAACGATACCATTCACGCTTCCAGCCCGAGGCTCGCGGTGCTGACCATTAGACCATTGTGCGGTTTCCAAAACTTAAAAAAATGCCATCAATTCCTCAGCTGTCCCACACATTCTATTTGGGTCAGCAATCCCTCAAATTCAGGCTTAGCGTTGTTCGTACTTCTAAGTTAATCTGGCATCGATCTATATCTTGTAACTAATCTGCAAATCGTCGCCGTTGCCGCCATTTTTAAGTATGCATTTGTAAAACTTGTACCTAGATAGAGTCCATTTACTTTTGAAGTTTAAAAAAGGTGTTGACATGCTTTTCACTCAGGCGTTCGTTAAGTATTTTTCTAATATGTTTTATGCCTTTTTCAGTACGTGGTGTTCATAGTTGTCGGCACAGGAGTTTTCTTCACGGTTGTCTTTCATCTCGGAGTGAAAGAACCTTCACGTGACTGTAGCGTTGAATTCGCAACCCAGTCCAGCAAACGGTCGGCTGCTAACTGGAGAGCTTGGTTTCGAGAGCCTTTGTTTTATAAGGTGAGGTAACCTGTGCTAAAAGTTGGTTAGAAGAGACGAACGAAACAGCGGGCGCGCAGCAAAAAGTAGCGCGGGGGGCAGGCGGTCGTTTCCCACACAACCGCAACCGCCATGTGTTACTGAGAAGGCTGGCCCACTCTTTCCGCTCGTCTCCATTGACGGAGAGCCAGGAAGTTACAGGTGAGAGTGACAATTCATTAGGGCATACTGATGCCATAGCCTCACTGATTTATTGACTTTTTACTTGCACCTATCACTCTTTGAACTTAGGGAAATTGGCTCTCAATGCACGACAGAAAAATAATGGAGCTTTCTTAATTGTTCATACAGAAAGCAGTCGATTGCTTTTTCATTCTGTGTAGTTCTCATTGCTCTGCAAAATCTCAGCTCTAGTGCAAAAACTCGTTTTGTTTTGACTTAAGAAGTTTACATGCCTCGTTATATCTCGCACTTTTAGCGTCTCTCCCGCCTTATTCTCAGTCTTAGTTCCCGCACCGCGTTCCAACACAATGCTTGTGACCAAGGAAAGTATTTGTTTTTAGGTTGGAGTGTTGTACATGTGTGTCCGAGTTATCATCAATGTCACACAGTGCTATATCCCGATGTACACCTTAGAGACACTCGATTTATCCAAGGTGGGTTCGAGTCTTTTTGGTCATCATAAACAGCTAGGCTCATATGGGTGACCATTGAAACAGCCCTTAATGGTTAACTTTCTGTTGCTGGCACCTCTCTGTTTGGGTCAGCGAGCGAGAATTTTCCGCTAGATCGCTTAGTGAGTCACTGAGATTTTCAGCGAAGCCGAACGTCTAACTCTAACAAATAGAGATATCATTCCTCAACATCCAAAAGAACGGCTGCAAATGAGGTTAACCTTTTCCAGGTCTTTTTGTTTAGTAAAGCCAGAGTGGCGAAAGTAAAACGTGCGAAACTTGTAAGTTTGAGGTCGTCTCCTTACTTACAGGAGACCTGGAAACAGAACGTTTCATCCAACTCGTTCAGTCATGTTGTAAACGAATTCAGCTCAGACTTCCATTTGCATTCATTTTTCCACCAGCGAACTATTGCTATCATGCCGTTGGTTGTGTACCTGAGTGGACTGGTATCTACACTTTTTACCAAACCGTTGAACAAGTGCCTCGGTAGAAAGGTCAGTGTATGTTTGAAATTTGTCAGATCTTGGGGAGCTATTCATTTCGGTCCCCGGACGGAATAAGAAAAGCTGCATGGTTCGACATCGTGGTGATGTAAGTGGATAGCGAGACACCACTCCCTGTTTTGTAGCTAAGAGTATGTCAGTTGTTCTCTCTCACGTGTATCCAATGCCAAATGGATTTTAAATGATTATGCTGACACCTGTCATATTTGGCAAGAAGAACTCATGCGTATGTCGGAAGTCTTTCGCACAGGAGCGGGAAAAGTGACTGGCCATACTCGAAGGATCACGAAACAGTTCTATTAATTTTCAGAACGAGCCCATTCTATTTACAGACCGAACGTTTCCACGAGCTAGACCTGATAAATGAAAATCAGGCTGAAAATAACACTGGAATCGACTGACAAACATTCTTATTCATTAGGTAGATATCACTTGTTGTAATTTTCTTACATAAAGGTATTTATTACTAGCTATTGGTATTTTTTTTACTTTTCCATATAGACAGTTTTCCTTGGCGGCCTTTTCATGATACTTGGAACAAGGTACGTTAAGTCGTAAAATAGGGTGTGAGTTATTCATCGTGGTAAATGACACTTCAAAAGAGGAATATGGCTTCTCTTTAGCTTGTTGGCACGAACAAACCTCCCGAAAGTATATAAAGAGCTGGTGATCGATAAAAGGCAGTTGTTCACTGTAAAAGTCCTACAGCTTATTGTTTGATTATCTAATCGTTGGTTTTTTCTACAATGTAATGTGGACCTGGGTTACCCTTCCACAAACAACGCAAAAACGAGGGATGTAATTACAGCAGCGCTTTCTTGATACTCTTGATACGTTTGGATATCTAAACGTCACCTAACAGTAAACTACCTACGGCTGTTCTACGCACCTAACAAAGGATACGATTGATTGTCTAAGGGTACAGCGGCGTATTGAAACGCGCGTGTGATAAAAGCGTGTGCGAGGGTTGTTAACTTATTTTGTGAAGTAGCTGTTAATTCTCGTCGTTGGTAAAGTAATGAGTCCAGTTTATTTCCTTTGCTTACAACTTAAAGCTGTTTCTCAATTTTGTCTTTTCAGTGTTTGGCTTTGGCTTATTCCTCCACACAGCAAACAGATTTACTTTGCTAGTGTAGCGCTAGGATATGGAGGTTCGACACTGCTGGTGACTGTCTTAACAATGTTGGCCGATCTGATTGGAAACAGCGTTGTAAGAACCAATGATTTAAAGTTTAGTGTTAATAAAGATGCTTTCCATTGTTGGAAATTTGAGGAGTAGCGGTAATTATGGAAATTTGTAACCTTTTTCAAGGAATATCCTGGACTCGACCTCCGCCCTAAGCTGAGCGTATGTTTCCGCTTTTTAGAGAGCTTAAATACGGCTGGAGACTTTGACTGTTTAGGAAGCAGCTTCCGTCGAGGAATTAATGAGAATTTATTTTCTATTGCTTCCACGTTATTGTCCGGCATCATACGTTACAATTCCAAAGTGTAATCTCTTACCGTGATGATGCTATTTGTTGCTTTTATCTTCTTCCGTTAACCTCTCCGTCGTTTCTCGGATCACCAATGCGAAATTATAACGATTCCTTTTTTTGTGTGTGTTTTGCAGGAAACTGGAGCTTTTGTATATGGAGCGATGAGCTTTTTAGACAAGATGTCTAATGGCGTCATTATACAGATCATTCAATTGCTTTATCCCAAAAATACTGATAAAGGGTAAGTTGCTCTCTGGACGGCAAAGCTTGCTCCGGAAATCAAATATTTCTTTTCACCGCCAATAAAAGTGCACATGAAGTTATGACACCGACTGTGTTTTTATATTCTAAAAAGAGGCTAATCTTTTGGGATATGTCCTCAGATATCCAAAACATTGGCTTAGAAAGCTGTTAGGTTATGACTTGCTGATCAACCAGGCCGCCCACCAGTTTCGTAACAAAATTTCACTCCTTTTTTTCCATCCCACGCCGATTTGTTTTAACCGTTAAGAGCGACACAAAAAGGCATTCGTGACTGAGATTAGTGATTATTTATTTTTCTTTTTTTGCAATAATTATAGCAGCAACCGTCTAAAATTTGTGCGTTATGTTTTAATTCATATTGCTCATTAACTCGCAGGTCCAGTGCTGGCGGTCTGTATTACAGAGAGGTCATGGTAGTCGCTTCGGGAGTGGCAGCGGTTATCGCTCTTTTGGTTCTCGCCACGCCGGCAAAAAAGAAGTTAGGTAAAGCTAACCAAGGTATGAAAAGGATGAAACCTTTTCCACCGTTTTGGGATAGTCTGCCCACGACTGTTTGAAGCGCAACGGATGTGACCGTGTTTGTCAAATCCCTCGAGAATTTTATTTCGCTCGCGCTCTAGAAAAAGATCAAGGGAAAATATACCAACTCAATTTTCTGCGGACAGGTTAATTTCGGAATTGTATCCCAAGAAAAGTAAACTGTTGTAGATTTTGGCACGCTTAATATACAAATTTTACAAGATCGTTTGCGAAAGAAAATGATAAAAGCACGCGTTACGTAAGTAAGTGCTAGAATGAATCTGTCTCAGTGTACGACTAAGGAATCGTTTTCGTGATTCATGTTTTGATATTCGCAATTGTTTAGCTGTTATAGGAATACGTGACCGTTATTCATCATGGTTATTCAGATCACGATTTATTGTCACGATCAATTGTTGATCGCGGGATGAGTAGTCAGTAGATCTTCTGAAATAACAAGGAGGAATACTCCCCGGATATTTCTTTTTTAGCGACATGACAGACGCTTTAGTTGTGATGTGTTGGGCTCGGTCGTACACGAGACATACCACTACTACGCTAGACTGACTGGTATTGGTATGAATCATATAAAGCTAGGTGCTTACTACAAAATCCCATTTGCACTGAAGACCACGAAGACGTAAATGCCAATTGCAACAGCTGAGAGAGAACCTGCGCGGAATTTGGAAAGACAGTAGCACTTCTACTATTTATTAACGACGATTAAAATGTTCTTTGCCTTTTGAAACTGTTGTATCCTAAAAAAAAGATAAGGTTTCACCTGCTGTCGAGCCTTGGAACCGTGCTCCTTAATTGGTTTAAGTTTACAATTGACCCGTTTCTCCGTGCATAGCAACTTTTAACATCAGACGATTTCAGGGCTACAGCTGTAATGCTCATCCTTACTCTGTCTTTTCTCTATGAGGCCTAGAGGTTGATTCTATTCAGAATACTTGTTTCATCTCTTCGACAGCTGAGTCGTCGATATGGAGTATGAGTCGAAAGAGGCCTTATCGTTCTCGATAGTGATTTTTGACAGCTGTTTTATTTTCTCGCTAACATGCGTAATTTTCTTTTGTATCCTAGAACCACATGGAGCCACATCCGATACATGGTTACAGTCTAGTTCGTGGTCTTTAGTCTGCTCATCAAAGGATCCATTTTTTGCTTCATATGAATCTCCAGCTCAATTGGTTCTAAGGAGAGAGGCAACTAAGGATGCCTCAGAGTCTCTAGCTTTTTATGGTTCTATGGAGCTATGATGTAATACCAGAAGATCAAGCTTAAGGAAATTTCCGTCTACACAGAGTTAAAATGTTACAGTTTTCAACTCTATTAACCCTTTGTCTCATAAGAGTGACCAGCATCTAACTTCTCCCTACAATATATCGCCCCTGAATCGCACACGAGGGTCACAAGAATAAAGGAAATGATCACCAACTCAGGAAGGTCTTGATCGTTAAACAAATTCTCCTTGTGAACACCTTGGGAAATGTATAGAAAACACTATGGAGAACATGTATACTAGTGTTTCGGTGTAAAGGGTTAAAGCTTGCTCTTTTAATCGAAGTTCTGCTTATTTTCCTTTTTCCCGCACTGTGCTATGTAAAAGGAACCTACTCATGCTATACTTCTGAGAACAATTCCTTCTAGTTACATTCGTTAGTAGAGGAACTAATATACCTTTCCTCGATTTCCTTGTCCCTCCAAATACAGTTCATGGAGTTTCCATTGTAACCGGCGAGCAAGCTCTTGTTTTCATTGCTTCAGTAGCATCTCGCAAGTTTCTCGCGAAACTCGCGAGGAAAGTGAGGTCAACTTAACCCTCACGAATTTCGCGAGAAGCCCGCGAGATTCTCGTGCGTTAGGGCCAATAAGAGCCTGCTGGCATCATAGCTGTTAGTATGTCACGCAACTCTCTTGCAGAAAGAGGCCTTTTAGTAAGACAGCCCAAAGAACGGCTGCGAGGGAGACTAGATAGCGTGGCATGCTCATGATACGCTAGATGGTCCAGTAGCGCATAAACCTTACTACCATGCGGGACTGTATCATGCGTTCTAACAACTAAAATGCAAGGAACAATAAGCCAGTAATGTTCGACCAGTTCATGTCTTCTGTCTAATTCCCTTTCTAAAAGGTTCGTTAAAAGTTCTATACAATACAGACATCATTATTAAGCAATCTTTTAGTGACGTTGATTTCCCAACAGCAACAGGGGACATAGTGTTCTCCGGAAGCCCCAGTGGCCAGCGCTGTCGCCGGCTTCTTGCTTCTGAAGCGCTTGCCGCTTTTAAAAAGAGATAAAACAGTTTAATACCTGTCTTAATTGAAAAAAAATGCTATCTTTGCTGGCTCCTGCTTTTGATGGCTGGCTTCAAAAAAACACTGAAATCTCGGGAGAACACTGAACAAGGTGGCATGATCGTCCTCAAAGTAGGGTTTCAAAATTTAACTTATGTCAGGCGAGTAAGTGACGTCAATTGAAAAATGGGTTGATTTCTGTGCGTGGTGTGATGAGAGATTCTTATTGTTGTTTGCCAAACTTGCATTACCATCAAAGGGAAAAGGATTTATCAGTAGCCTCGTGATTATCGCATGATTGATATTTTAATCATTTTGAGAGTGGAAAACAGGAAAGAACAATAATTTGTCTGTGATCTAATGCACTACGTGGATTACATGACTTAACGTAATTGTACTTTACAAAATAAGATAACCACAGGCAGCCAGGTTTTTTCTCTTCATTAGCTGTATTTCGTATTTCCTAAAATGCAAATCGACACATAAATAGCTAAGAAGAGTCTGGTCAACTGTTGTACTGGTCAATTTTTTGCAAAACTCGATTATATGGTTGAGAACGCGCACCTCTATCCACAAAAACTCTTCCCACCCCCCAGCGGGGTAGAGATTTTTTGTTTATCATATGACAAAGCACGTGACTTTCTTATGATGTCTATAAATATTATCAGCCGGTAGAGTAGAGTAGTAAGAAAATCAGTGTTAGGTATCGAACTTAACTTAGCGTGGCTGGCTTAACTTATGATCTTAAATCAAGATTGTGTGTTTTAATTGAGTCAGCAGAGAGATAAGTTATCCTTAACCGACGACAAAATTTTCGTGACGGGAAGTCGATTTCTAAAGGATCGCAAGTACAAGTAATCTTCATCGTGTAGTCGTTCCTCATCAACTGAAAAAAGACTTTAGCATGGCCCAATGTATCGAAGGAAAGATGAAAATGACCTGGAGAACTAGAATTTGCTACGGAGTCGGTCATATTCTTAATGACCTTTGCGCTTCAATGTGGTTTACATATCTTCTGCTTTACCTTCATAAGGTTGCTCAATTTTCAAATTTGGCTTCGGGAACTTTGCTGTTGATCGGTCAAGTCGCTGATGCTCTTTCAACGCCGTTTGTTGGTGTGGAATCCGATAAAACCAGAGATTGTAAATACGGTCGCAGAAAAGTCTGGCATCTCGTTGGAGTTGTGTGCGTTGCTTTTTCTTTTCCATTCATTTTCAATCTCTGCATTGGTTGTGAAGACGCATCAACTTGGGCCTTGTTCGTGTACTATGTTCCCTTTATTGTGATTTTCCAGTTCGGCTGGGCATCAACGCAAATTTCTCATTTAAGCTTGATTCCAGAACTGACGGATTGCGAAAACGAGAAAGTTACCTTAAATGCCATCAGGTAAGTTCAAGTTTACGTAACGTTGCCCGTGGATGCGTGAGAAAACATCCATAATTATACTTAAACTAATGCACAGCGTACTTCTAAATGGTACTTTTAAATGCAAAGCAGCCTTTTCTGTTTTTGCCTCTTTTCTTTTTTATTTTTTACTATCTCAACTCTCAGTTACTTTTGTATCGTGGAACGTGACGTGATTTCACAACATAGAGGTCTACTTGTAACAACAGTAGTAAGGCCGCCTATTTTATAACAGCCACTAGTCGACCAGGAAATCACCAGGTACATTATAGGCTAGAAGTAGGATACAAGTATACACACACACTCACACAGTGTTCTGGCAAAAGTTGTTTTGCCTTAAGTCTAACAGTAAGTCAGCATCAACTGGAACCAAGAAATTTAGAAGGAGACATGGTTTGATGCTACTCTGGTTTACAGATTAATGAATGTAACAGAAGAAGTTATAATTCATAGACCCAACGTTTCAACACTCCTGTCTAGTGCCTTCATCAGGGGTGATCTAAATGCTGCAACAAGAGGTCCTTTTAAAGGATCACTAATTAGCTGCCTTTTTCCTGACGAGGTGTAAATAGGTGTCAGGAAACAAGCCACCATTGTCACAATTTAAAGGAATGTGGGCGGAGTTAATATGCCATGTCTGATTGTCCACCTGGTTGCCGTGTGAACTTTAATATATTTTAAGTTTAGAAGAAATTTTTACCCTCATTGGTATGGATGAAATTTCAAGAAAAGTACCTGTCCTTTCAATAGATTAGGAAGTGATTATAAAGCATAACTACTGAGGTCTGTGGAAGGAAGCACATATATAGACTTATGCAGAGAATGTGCGTGGAAAAATAGTTTGGCCTCTAGCCGTACTTGTAGTTTGAGTCAAACACAACTATGCAGGTACAGCATTGATCTAAAGAAGGGAGCACATGCATGCTAACACAGAAATTTCTAAGCGCATCTTTGGATTTAGTCTCAAAAAGATGAATAAGTATAAGAAATGGTGTGGAAGTGGGGAATGCCACTGGAGGCATGAATCAAGGGCCCTGATCTGATCTGATTGTTAATTCTTGCCTGTTTCCTTTCATTTCCTTGTAAATTAGTTATGAGAACTTGGTTCTAGATCAAGATAGCAGCTTCTACCTGATAAGTTTGAATAGTCTGATTACCTGTTTGTTGAAGAATGTATGGATATTGTAGGGAGAAGTTTTACGTTAATCACTTCTGGGAGTTAAAGGGTTAAAGGTTAACTCTACTCATGGAGGCCTCTACAATCTAAACATAAAAAATTTTTATTAATCAAAACATACTAGATGTGAGAATTTTAAGTGAATTTAAATTCAGGATGATGCTGCTTGATAAATACCAGATTAAATCCATCTTGGAAATGTGACATGTGAATTAGAATGTGCTTTTTCTAAGACACAAATGTTTGTCTCATCTGTTTTATTTTTTTTCTGTTGCATATCAAATTTCAATATTAAGGGAACTGATTTATCTAGAATTCATGTAGAATATTACCATAGATTTTTCATTCCAGTTAATATATTAAGCTTATGCAAATATATGAACACAGAATTTTGTAACAGTTTATGCAAGTTCTATGATTAGTGTTAGCCTTAGTTATCTTTTGAAAACTGAACACTCTTTTTTTTATCACTGACAATTGATTTAATAATCAATGTCCCAGCCAGAGTTTGAATTTTATATTTTTTCAAGTAAAGATAGGATTTCATTACCTTTTCAGATGTTACATGTAAAGGATCAGCAATTTAACTAGTTGGTTCAAACCTTCTTGTTTTTTTCTTCTTCCCCAGATATGCTTGTACAGTTTCATCAAACATTTTTGTCTTTTTGGTGACATGGGTTCTTATAAGTACAGAAGGAAATGGCACAGACAAACTTTCTCCTTCTGACTCAACAGCTTTTATGGTCAGTGAATAATTTTTGTAATTCTTAAGTCTTTGCAGCCAACAATAAGTTTTGGTGTATTGTGGTAGTGTTTAGTGAATAAATATCCACCAAAGTGTAAACATACTGAAATATGGTCAGAAATGAAACTCTTCCCATGATCTTTTCTCTTCTGCCTCTTGAAGGTGAGCAATACTTGCTAATCACTTCTGAATTAGCCAATCAAAGAAAAGCACCTTTCATCTGTGTGGTACATACTATACCCAGATATCCCAGCCCTAGATCTCATAGATGAGATTAACATTACAAATAACTTCTCTTTGCAATTGACGTATATCATGCAGCAAACAACATATGAAAACAGAAGCACTGATTGGCTGCTCATTGGTGATATTTTCCCTTTATAACATAATTCTAAACTAATCTCACCATTATTTAACTAACCAGTTTTGATAACAGAAAAAGAGTTACCAGCTAGCAAGGATGAGAATCATTAATTGATTAGGTGTTGACAGTTGAGAAACAGCTGATTCTCAATTCTTATTTGTGTGTCAAGGATCAAGAATTGATTGTTCAAGATTAAGAATGCATTTTTTTTTTAGTCATCAATGAAAGAGTTGGGTACCTTAAGTTAGTGATGAATTTAATCTTTTGATTGTATAGGACTCGTAAGTCTTCAATTTATGACATATTCTGTTCCAGTATGTTGCATTTATTGTGGTTGGCACTGGTCTCCTGTTCATGTTGATATTTCATATCGGACTGAAAGAGCCTCCAAGAAGTTGTACATATGTGTTTGCAAATGAAAGAAGTAAAAGAAGTGCTGGAAACTGGATGCATTGGTTTAAAGAAATCCAGTTCTATCAGGTTTGTTTGAAAATTAGGAAAAAAAACTCTTTTAGTTCACAACAGATATACAATTGGACAAAAAAGGGGCACTTGACTCAGTACTAACAATTAACTATTACTTATGATAATTATTTCCTCTTATAACAGCAGGCACACAATTTACTATTTTTATTTACTATTATCATTTAATATTTATCTTTTTTATTATTATTGCTGCAGCAGCTTTTATCTGATGGTAAGATCTTTCAAATGGACAGAGAGCTGCAAAACATATAATATTGTTGTTTGCAGCCTGAGAATTTTTTTCACGCAGTTAATTTTCATTTTGCCTTGATGAATGTGCAATATCTAATCATGGAATTGGAGAATAACTTGAGTTTGTTTGAATACTAGTCATGAGGATGATGATGTAACTTATTTTCATTGATTTGGCAGGTGGCTGCTCTCTATATGTGCACTCGACTGATTGTTAACATCACCCAAGTTTATATCCCCATGTACGCTCTTGAAACACTGTCGTTAAGAAAGGTGGGGTGAACATTCACTGTTTTAAAATACAGTACTGTAATAGATCCTCAAGACTTATAAGTACCCTTTAAATAATTTAAGCACCCCTCTTATGGGGCAGTATTTGAATGAGCACTCTTCCTGCTGTTGTACACATGCATGCTGGTGATAATATAAAAAAATTAAAGCAGCATTTGTATCTTGGCACTATCTACAAAGGATTAAAGCACAGGGCATGCAGATTGAAGTGTTTAAGGTAGTAGAAGATGTCCTTTTTCATCAGTTACATCAGGGGTGTGATATTTGTGCAAATAAGTGCTGAGCCACTTATTTAATTTTTTTCACCTCATGTGGGATAAGATGTACGTCACCCTGAAGTAAGCATCCAGTGTCTATAAGTAACATTTATGGGGGGAGAGGGGGGGGGGGTTGAGTAAGAGCCTTGGTGTATGTGAGTACCCCCAGAGGTCTTTTAATGCTCTGTAAACTTTGATGTTCAAAGTCTTTCCTTTAACACTGCATTGATTCTGTCTTTGTAACTTGGCTCACTTTTTTTAAAACAATCTACACCTTAAGATAACTTTTCTTTCTGTTTCAGGACACCATTGCTATAATTCCTTTAGTCATTTATGTATGTGGATTCTTGTCCACATTCCTTTCAAAACCATTGAACAAGTGCTATGGTAGAAAGGTAGGGGTATTTTTTGTGATATTTAGTTGATTTATCACTGATTACCACTGACTGTGATGCTCTGACCTGGTTGATTTTAGACTAATAACACCCTCATATGTAAACAAGTGTTTCTGCGTACTTTGTATTGTTGGGTGATGATGATAAACAGATATGCCTGTTCAAATGATTACACACAGTTGATTCTAGAGATCTATTTATTAACTGATCTCATTGGTTGATTTTATGTCAATCTAAGTTGCATTCATTAGCCTATGCAAGGTGATTTAACAATCTACATTGTTCTCATCAACTCTTTTGAGTAAAGGGGTTGAGGGTTTTGTCTTTCAGTGAGTCTCTAGGATTTTGCTTTCCTATGTTTAGATTTTTTTGGAGTACATTCCAAGGGTGTTTCCTCTGGGATAATCTATATCTAAATTATTTCAAAAGAATGCTTTGTAAGTCTTTTTACAAAATTTGTCTTCTAGGGTACATTTTTCCTTGGACTCCTTATGATAGGAGGTGTGAGGCAAGTTGTTGAACCAAATTTTTTCTTTGTGAGATCAGTATTTATGTGTTTCAATGTTTAAACAAATTACAGTACATGAAATTGTTGTTTTTGTTTACATTTTCCAAAGGCTAACTTATAAAATATGTGTTAAGATTCTTAAGGATGGAGATTTATTACAATAAAGCAGCAAAACACTGGATGAAACAGCAAATAAGATATCAAAGGGGAAAAAAAGTAAAGCAATAATGTAGTCTGAATTATTGAGTTATTGGTGAGATTTTTCCAGTGTGTATAAGAATGAGGGCTTGATGAGCAGATGTGACGCAATATTCTTGAAAGTTGTTTGGTTCTTGCATGTATATGTTTTGGAGAATTGATCTGTTTTGTTGGTTGTTTTCGTTTTTCCCCAGTGCATGGATGCGTTGGATAGGAGAGAAAGACTACATATCAGCATATGGAGCCTCTGCTTTATTAGGAGTTGGTGGATCAACTTTACTTGTCACTGCTTTGACTATGCTTGCAGATCTGATTGGGGAGAATGTGGTAAATGTTGTCTTGTTTGGCCTGATTAAGATTTTGGTGTTGCATTTTTTCCCTATTTATCTGATATGATAAATTGTTTGTGTTTATTCCAGGAAACAGGTGCATTTGTGTATGGAGCAATGAGTTTCACAGACAAACTATCCAATGGACTTGCAGTACAACTCATACAGATATTTCATCCATGTAACAAAGTGGGAGAGTAAGTATTATTAACTAATGGATTATAGTATTTTCATTGACCAACTTTGTATACATCATATTTTGTGAATTCACAACTGACTGGTACCTGAGAATTCTCACATGAAACTTGCAATGCTTTGATTTATCAAAACAATGTCAATTGTGCTGCACAGTGATATTGTTTTGAGGAAGCATTATTGATCTAGCTTGTCATCTTGGTCAGATGGCATCAGACACAAACTAACTAGTAAAAGGCTTGTGTTAGTCACATGTACTTCTTACAGTTGTTCTTGTAATAACTGTTTTGCAAGAAGACATATGCCCAAATAGTCAAATGTTGAAGTACTGTATATTTGATTAACAGAGGAATAGTGTGCTGATGCAACTCAGTAGACTTTGCCAAGAGAAGTATCTCTTAAATCCATAGTCAAGGTGAAAATGTGCCATTTTTTCTATTACTCGCTTAATGCTTTGGACATAAGTGACATTTGTGATCCCTGCAGTATGCAGGCCGCTTGTCACATCTAAACCTGGCATACACAACCCATGTATTCTACAAATGTAGTTCACTAGTGAGTGAGTCCTCTACATCTCTGGCAAAGCAATGAAGTGTGAAATCCAAATTCTGTGGTTGGATTCCTCATGGGGTACTCAGATTGGTTTCTTTGTTCCACGCTCATGACAAAACGGATGACATCCTTCTATGTAGGACTGAAGACTAACGTGAGGGGTTTTATTTCTTTGGAAGATCTTACCTTAAAATAGCAGTAGTCTTTAAAGGTATATGGACTATTCACACGCCTAATTTCATGACACCAAGCATCTTTTTTTCGAGTCTCTAGCTGTAATGAGCTTTCAATGTCAACTCCATCAAGATGGTAATTTGTTACACAAAAGGATATCCTTCTGTTTTATCTTTGAATGATAGTCGGTGCTTGACGTCTCTGTATAACCATAATATGACGAGTTTGATGTCCAGGGAGAAAAACTGGCCTTAGATCCAGGTGGCTGAGAGCTCACGAGTCTTTCTTCTCTTGAGAGCAACGTCCTTGTTATTAATCTTTGTTGTTACTGCTGCAAATGCTTTGGATAACCTGTGCTTCTTATCAGTGCACCCTCTGCCATGAAAGAGTCGCGTTTGGTGTCTCTGCTTCCTAACTGGTGGTTTATTATTAAAGTAATGTGACTCTGTGGATTGTTTCGCTTTTCACCACAGACTTCTTTATTTTCTGGCCACTTTTTCGCTCCAAGCCGATTCTTTGTAACACTGACTTCTTACGAGTACTCTGACTCGCTCTTATTTTCTCGGTAGCTTATTAGAGAACTCCTTTGGTGTCACGGTGTTGTCTACTTTAATAGGAAATTTGTGAAAATAAGATTTGACCTCGCGTGAAATTAACACAGTTGAGACAAAAACTTTGGTAACTGTGTTGTGTTGTAAGGTGCGCCATTTACCCTGATGTGGTATGTTTATGGCAGACCTCCTAGTGAGTATCTTCCTTGGAAAGGCGTTTAATTCAGTGCGGTATTGTTACTGTGCTTTCAGAATTTTCTCGCCTTTCCATTCTACTAAGAGGTTATGACGTCACGCCAAAGTAATATTCTCTCACCGATTGGTAAATCTTCGTTTTCTTACACGAAGATTTGCCATGAACAGTATTTATTTCATCTAGAATAAGAACGTGTTTATTGTATTACGTTATTTTTCGTTTTGATTAGAATTCTCATCAGAATATCATAACCTGGCTCCGCTTTAACTTGTAGCTAATGAATGCCATGTAACAGCCTTTAACCAGCTCCTGCTTGCTTGCTTGTACGCCAGCGTGCGCCTTATCAGACTACTGGTAGTTACTTTATTTTCAATTTCTTGTTTCTATACTTTTGTTTGCTCGAAAGTCATGTTGCAGTACATAGTCCTTGGAATGGAAACTCTACAGCTTCCCCTCATGGAATAGGACTCAGTCATTCTCACATGTACGAGTTTCAATCAACCAACTTCATGGTCAAATAATTACAATTACGCTGTAATAAATCGTTTTTTAAATGCAAATCTTTAGTCGCACTGTGAGCAGCAAGTACACCTTCTATAACTTTCTGCAGTATTCACGTCGTTTTAAGACGTCTACCCGTTGAAAATAAGCTATTTTCGTGATTTCCATTGCCTCTCCTTGAAAACGGGAGTAAGTGAGAAGCCATTTCACGACAAAGTTTATCAACGTAGCCTCGTTTTGAAAGTGAGGGTTTTGTAGAATCGTATAACAAAATTAGTATACTGCGTTAAAGAGTAGTTGATCGGGAACGTGAGCGTAGACATTTTTGAAAGGTGGACGGCCTTATCAAAGGTAACGCAATACTCCTAGTGCGCTTTGGCTTCAAACTAACAACTGCAAAGCCTTCGCTTGAGCGCGTGAAACTGAAAGGCACGGCAGAAGCACTGTAGTGCGTGTGGCATACAGGTGGTAGAGAGCCTTCACCTTTCGGCTGCTAAAGCCTCGCTTACCATACGTTTAAACCTGAACCATTAGCGTTAACTGAACTTTTTAATTTGCTGATCGGTTATTTTTATTTCCTTAGGACCTGCTGCGCAGGCTGTGGTCCATACTACAGAGAGGTTATGGTGTATGTTGCTGGTGGGGCTACCATAATATCAATGCTGGTTCTAATCAGCATGTTGAAGACGAAAATAGGAAACTTCGAAGGTAAATTTTTTTAGTTGTGAGGAAAAGCCTCAATTGTATTTTAATATATTTTTATTTGTTTTTTTATTTATTTTCGTTGGAATAGACTCTCAGGCTCTCATAATTTTCATGTATCTTTACCCAATTCTTCTGAACTGACTACGCAGTGCATAAAGCGACCAGTTTTTATTATGCAGCATCAGACTAAATCCCGAAAGTACTTTCGAAATTGGTAGATTCTTAGAAACGAGTTTTCTTAATGTTGAGTTCGAATCAGCAGCATTGCATCCATAAAATAAACAATATCCTGAAAAAAAGTAGTAATGTAAAAAGGCACTTGAGCGAAGACGTGTCTGAAGTTTTGAACTTTTTGTGGTTCTTCTTATAGAATCTGGGAAAGTAGAGGCGAACGTACAAGATAAACTGCTTGGTCAGAACGTTTCAGTGAGTACCAGCGTGTCAAGATCTATAGGATCGCCGCCCAATCAATCGTGCCTTATGTACGATCCTACGACCTCGCCCAAGTATGGATCAATACAAGGGTCACCTCACGATGTACCATGCTCCATACAAGAGGATTTCGGTAGTCCACAGGAGAAGGCAAGAAGGAACTGTGAGCGGTGATCATACGCTGAAACATCTGAAATGTGATTATTGATAAGAGTATCACTGTTGAAAGGAATGTACACGAGAGGCAATACGTTCCTAAATGTGAAGCTAATGTGTTGCCCATCTCATAGGAAGTCGAGAGATATGGCTGAAATTTGGAAGGCACTAACTCGAGGTGTTCAAGCGATCGATCACCTGAGAATTTTATATCAAATCACAATTCCGGTAACAAAAATTTTGCTGGCACTAGCTTAAGGTATTGAAGCGATTCTAAAGGAATTATTCTAAAATCTTAACTTTAAAGAAAGAAATTTTATAACGGTTTCGTGTTTTGGAGAACATGGAATGTGTTATTGGCTTTTCTTTTTTCTGTATTTGAGTAAATAATTTTGAATACAAATGGAAACTACATGGAGAAATATCTACAGCCGGTCTTTTTCGGAATCATATGGCCGGTAAATATAAATAAATGATAAAACGGTATATTTAAATGAGAATTGAGAAGAGAAGAACTCTTTCATTCTGAATTGAATTGAGTTGAACTTCATACAGAAGAATACAAATATCCCAAGACTGGAAACGATAAAAGAATTCGTGTTGCATCTTTTGATGCAGAGAGCTGGTTTATATTTTCACCAAATTTTAATGGTTTTCTCCCTTTCACAGAGAAAAGCTCACCAAATGCATGGAACTTGATTAACCCTTAAACTCCCAAAATCTCATTAGTAATTCTCCTTGCTGTCATTCATACAATTCTTGTGATGATAGTTTTGAGAATTTGGTATTGGATCAACTCAATCCTTTAAGCGATATTTTTATTTATTCTTATCACTTGTCTGCTTGATATTGTATTGATATCGTAAAGAAGAATTATGTCATGGGCATTTATGGGTGTTGAAGGGTTAAAAGTTTAATCAGTCTTTATAATGAAGCTTCGCCATTTATGGTTAAGCATCACTTCTTGATACCTTTTCATACAACTTGAAAAAAGCGATAATTTTCAGAAAGTAGCGCAGTATTTAAGGAAACAAAGAAATGAGATAAATACAATTACATAAATAAATTATGCATATTTTAATATATTGGTCTCTGTCGTGTAGTTTTTCGATAAATTTGAAATTCAACTTTTCTTGGATGATGTTCATAATTCGAACATAGCGCGGGTAAGCGCGAGTAACCAAGGCGTGATTGATTGTAGTGCTTCTCCTCGTTGGATGGAAGGACAGCACAAGTTTTCACCTCTTTTTGAACAACCGGGGAACAATGTTCACTTAATTACTACCCCTTCCGTACTTTTGCCACGGAAAAAATTTAACAGACACCTAACGCGATCGCCCGTATTTACGGTCAATCAAGTTGGAGTCGCACTGTGATGTAGATCCATTTTACTGGAAATACGGTCGGCAACGACTGCTTTCCTCCCTGCGTTACATGAAGGAGGGGGGTGAACTCCCGGATATAAGGAATATAGCAACGTGTCGCCCCAAAAGATGTTATTTTTACCTTCTTTAGTCTGATAGTCTGAAAACGGGCACAGATTTTAAGCACTTTCGTCGTTAAATCAGGTATATTTCTCATAATTGCTATGCGATAAAGCCGACTGAGAATTTCTTTTATTTTTCGCAAATTTTTTATGCCATAAATTGGAGGATTTTTCAATAGATTAGAAATGGAACGGTCTAACCTAAAACATCAAAATTTGAATATTGAAGATCCAATACTCAAATGATAGAATATCAAGAAACGAAATTGAATAGACCAGCCTTTGAGCTACGGCCCGCACTGCCATCTAAGATTTGTCTTCAGCCCCGTTTAGTCATCGGAATTTTTAGAGAAGCGTGTAGAAAATGGCATGCCAAGGTTCGAGCTGTGGTCTGGGCTACGAGAACCCAAAAAGAAATACAAGGAGCATGTTCGTCACTTTATTGTTTGCTAGTAGCCTCGTTTCAGCGTCTGACATTTGCATAACGAGGCCCTTCTGATGTCAAAATAGGTAAGTTTCAAAAGAAACTGTGGTGCAGCATCGGTGGGAGAGTATAGCAGGTAATTTAGTGTTAACAACTGAGTTGAAAACATAAATTGGCCACCGTTAAGAGTGAAAAGGCTGACGTTTCGAGCGCTAGCACTTTGTCAGAGCTAATTTTGGTTAATTTTGATGTTACACATGGTGACAGATTTCTTGAAACGTGTGATTTCTTTGTAACTTAACAATCCCCTTGTTTGCCCCGCTCCCTCTCTCAGTCCTAGTCTGCTACTGCCATGCTAGCGGAGAGGTGTATTCACGCCTGTTGCTTTGTGAGCTTACGCTATTATGCGCACTATTTTGTACTTTATGGCTAAATGCTACATAGACGACAAAATGATATTATGATAAGAGCAACCACATAAATCAGGGCCTCTTGGCTCCACCCTGTCGGCATGCTCTGAAGAACGAACGAGGCAGAACATAAAAGGATCTATCGTGATTCAATGAGATGTGAATGAGTGGCCCTGTATTCTGCAGCTTTGCAAATACATATTTTTTAAAACTTTCAGCGGAGGCGTCTTATTTAGGTCGATTGGCGTTGCAAAATCTCGATCATTTATTCGCCATACCATGATTGCCAAACCTCACCTGCTCAGCCTATGTGAGGATATTTCGAAGGCTGCTGGTCGGATAAAGCTGCACGTCAGAAAAACTCCCCTGGAATACTCTCCTTGGTTAAGTGACATTGGCAAGTCGAAGGTCTATATTAAACTGGGTAAGTATAGTAACCAACCTTCACTGCTTATCCACGGTAACGAATTTCGTCTTGGTCAATCGGCAATAAGCAGTGTTGGAGTTTGATAAATAACAAGATCGTCACTAACTCAAAGGGTTTATATATGACGTTAAAAATAATTTAGTACAAGACGCGTGAATTTTACAGAAGGCAACGTAAAGTGCCAAACATTCACGCGTGAAATGGGATCAGGCCCCTTCACTCCCCTCCCCCCCTGACCTTTGCTACCCTCTTCATTCTTCGAGGATTTTGGTATTAAGAGTTCCACACCCAATCGACTCATACCCCGACCGTTCCCCCTTTGATTCATTTTGTTAGTGGTAGTCTATAATAGGGTTGAATATTGAGCGATAGGGATTTGATAATAGGGTTCTACAACTTCATCATGCAGATTTATTATAGATTTGTAGAATTTCTTGTCAAGTGAATTGATCTTTCAGGCATGATTAAACATATTGCAATTGAACGCTGTTGGGTTTCGTTAAAAAACGGTTACCACCAGTCCAGTGCTTCTTATAGGTGCTCTTCTTGCCTTCTGTCAAGATTTTATTTATAGGATTTGTACAGCTTTTTGAGTGATCATGGCTGTATGTTTCATCATTGGCAGTTGCTTAATAATTATGAAAAAGGCGGTCAAAACCCCTGAAAGTGTTTGGAGAAGATAACTTCTCTTTCCTTTGGAGAATTTTATATAGGTCTTGAAAAGGCTTTGTACCCCACCTTTGCAGGGGACCAAAAATGTTCTGCAAAAATTTGCCAGGCTAATTTTTTGCTGGCATGAAACCTCAAATATTACATATTTCTCCTAAGACTAGAGATGAGTGTAGGTACGGTGATATCTTAAATTGTGTGGCAATTCATAACAACCATTCACATCACAGCTTGGAGAAAGCTCAATTACTAGCCGCTGTTTGGAAACGAGCTGACACTCACCCTTCTTCTTCTTGAGAGGATCGAGGACTAGACCCAAAAAAATGGCAGAAATCAAGCCCAAATCTAGGGCTAATATATTTTTAAATATATCATGATGAATTGTGGACTTTTACTAAATTCCATTTTGCATATTTATTCTCTGACACATGAAAATAACCCTGCTTAGTCTTAAATGTTGATTTTGACTTAAGTGTTGTTTGTTCTCCTTTGGGGACAGTAAAATGTTTTTTTGTAAATAACAGTTATCTATTTTCATTAATATAGAGAGTGAACAGATTACAGGATCTTTTAAACTGAGAGGAGCCTTCAACAAACTCCTCACCCTTAAAGAATCAAATGATGAGGTTTTTCTGACTAATGGAGTGATTACAGCTTCTACTGGAAATCATGGAGCAGCCACTGTAAGATGAATTTTTTCAATATGGTTGGTCTTAATATTTAACAAGCCATTGTTATTTGATGGAGAAAACTTGTACCTGTATGAGGAATGACTAGCTTTACTTCAAGAAAGTGGCTTCATGCTTCATGCTTGTAGGGAATTTAAAGCTTTGGAAATCATGGGCCAATTCACAGACTTAAGCCTTTTAATTTCTATATTTTTTTTTATTTAACTGGTTATATCTATGATAAAATGTCAGTAAGAGTCTGCATGACTGAGGGAGAGAACATTTGTGGCCATTACTCAGATTAAAGTATTTTAAAAGTGGTTGTGAGGTCAAAGACACCCTTTGAAGTCAGCCCCAGTCCTTTCAAGTAGTTATAGTGGAGCCAAGAATGAAGGTGGTTGGCAGTTGTCCATTTAAATTAACCCTGATATTATGAAGTGACAAGTTATTTTTTAATTTAAAATGTTTCTTTGTTTGTTTGTTTTTTATGTAGGCATATGCATCAAGTAAAGTTGGCACTCCAGTTACTATTTATGTACCAGAGACCACTTCTTATGCCAAGCTGAAAGTAGTAAAACAGTTTGGTGGGTCTGTGAAGTTCCATGGAGAAGACTGTGTTGAAGCAGAGGTGACAGCCAGGAGTGCTGCTAAGGTTCAACAACATTGCTGCACTCCTTATGTTAATGGAGCTTCTCTCTCTCAATGCTAACAATAGAAGCACAAAATAATCTGTGTTTGGCTGACCACAATAGTGTGGGAAGATGGTTGAAAAAGCCATAATATATACTTAGATAAGTTTAGTTCTAGCTCGTAAGTAAACAATGTCCAATTGTGTAAAAATCTACCAACAGGATTGCCTTGGATTCCAGGAGAGTAGTAGTATTTCTAACAATTTTGTGCTGCTGAAATCATTTCCAGGGCTGGATGAAAGCAATGCAACTGGTCATTCAGGCTAGCAAAATCCCTCTCTGAGAATAAGCAACTTTTTGTGTTAATTTGCAAGTACCCTAATTTTTTTCAACATTAAGAAAACAAGCCAAAGGAAAGAAGCTTGATAATAAGACAAACAGGCTACAAGTTAGTGTCATAGCTGTTAACCCTTTAACTCCCAAGATCTTCTCCACTCTACCTACTACACATTTCCTTCTAAATAAGTCACAAGAATTTGGTGTTAGATCAAATGACCAAATGAGGGAATACAAATAATGATGGGAATGCGTGACAAGTAACGCAAGATCTACATATCGCAACAAGAGCCCTCATAAAATGTAACAGGAAATCCCTCCTTGTCCCATTTGTTTGACAGTGTATGCTTATCCCTTTAGGAAAGTGGCATGCATTTTGTTTCGCCATATAATGACCTTGTAGTTGTTGCTGGGCAAGGAACCATTGGGTAAATATTTATTTGTTATTTATGTTGGTGGTGTTTAGTTCATATTTGTTTATTTATTATTTTCATTTAATTATTATTTCTTCAGTCTTGGCATGTGGAGAAAAATAGAAACCTTTCCTTGTTACTGAGTCTTGCACGCTGACAGCTCAGCTTTTTTAATTGTAATACTTAAACTCGACTTTTTCGATGGCGAAAAAACTTTGTTTAAAATATAATTACAGAGTCGTAACGAGGTATGTGGGCTCAGGGATCAAAGGGGTGGGATCTGGGATCAGAAGCCTGGGATCGGGGATCAAAGGCAGAGCCACGTAGAGACAGAGGGAGAAACGTAAAGAAAAACAAAATGGTGTTTTTTAAAAATATTTTTCAGATGAATGGCCATGGCCAACACATCGCATAAGCCTCTCTGACATGGCCAGCAAACAGGGATCGCTGCGTCAAGGACAGGATCAATTTTTTTTTCAGTTTTTAGATGGGATCAGTTTAGTTTTTCGGGATCAAGGATCGAAATTATCCGATATTTTGGGATCATGGATCACAAAATATAGATAAAAGTTAGGATCATTATGTATTCCAAATACCTCGTTACGGCCCTGATAATTACGTACCTCTTCCTTCCATCCAATGAATCTTTTACGATTATTTTTTTGTGTATCCTCCACAAGTGGAACCTTTTGATATGACTGTTTATATTTACCACTGAAATATTTAACTTGAATGAAATGCAAACACAAAATGAACTATTGAGTAGTTTTGAGGAATTTAAAGTGAAAGGGCAGATGGAAGCGTTGAGAGCATGAGAGTATAGTGACTTATCAGAAACCCGAAAAAAGCCCAAAACTTACATCAAATTAAAAAAATGTGACGGGGAAAATGACAGGTGACATTTTGAGGCCCAAAAGGATTTACGAAAAAACGAGAAAAGAAACATTTTTACCGAAACCAAATGTTACAAAAGAGAATTAACAAACCCAGGGTCGATACGAAAATTTGTAAATGAAACTGAAAAACAGATCTCAAAAATCGCCAAGCCAGAAAACGAAGAAGTTGTTGCCTCTTTCAGTTAATGTTTTTGTAATTACTTTGCTAAAACGTACAGCGACTTTCTCTGTAATCTACACAGGGTGGAGATCCTCGAAGACTTGGCCGATGTTGATGCAGTATTCGTTTCTGTTGGAGGAGGGGGACTTATAGGAGGGATTGCAGCCTACCTGAAAAGTGTGAAACCCGAAATAAAGGTAACAGGTCTCAATGAAGAAGGAAAATGAACCTTCCTTTTGAATGTGCATCGGATGATACGTGAATCGCATGGAATTCTCCTGGTAGGGTTTTCAATAACAGCTGGCTATCGACGTCCCACCGCCGCTTGTAAGAACTCTTACCACCGTCTGTTGAGCTTGCAATCAGGCTCTGGTGTTTTGATTTTGCCTTGCGGCTTTTTTTCCGGGCACAGACACCTATCACACCATCGGCCGCCTGTGGAAAAAGTTATTGAAACCAAAACTTCTGCATTGGATGAAAAAATATGAAAGTGGCGTGAGAATATTTAGCAGAAACTTGCCTTCATGTTCTTTTGCCTTGCCACAACAACGTTTGTGCAGAAAATACGAAACAAGTAAAATCGCTGCGTAGTGCCGCGGTTGCCACTAGTTTTCCCGCCAAAATGATCCACCAAAATAACACTCACTCTCGTGCGTGCCCGCGTTTTGTCTCGGTCAACGGTCAAACGACCACGGATGTGTTTTTCTTGTTTTTTTTTTTTGCGCGTATGTTTCCGTGTATGAACACAACAGTCAAACCCTGAGTAAGGCATGGGCGAGGGGATCGATTATGACCAGCTCTATGCCAACAACTGCTGTCTTACAAAATAAACGAAAGAAAATTGAAAAGTTCATAGAAAGGTAGAGAAAACTCGAAACTTTTCGAACAGGAAGCTTATTCAAACACAAATATTTGTTGATTTACCATTCTGTTTTGAGCTTTATCAAAAAAATTCTACGATTTTTAGACCATGTGATTTACTGGCTTGTGTAGCTTGTGTTTGTAACTCGTGTGAGATAACTTGGTTCTGAAAGCATGAAAATACACCACCTAGTCATTGTAGGCGCATTCGTTTGAGCGCTTTGTTGTGTGTGTCTTGTTGTTGTTCGTTGCTCGGAGCGGGAAAATGTGGGACTGAGAAGGAGATTTAAAATACCTAAAATAGACTCTGCTCATGCCGACTCAACTGTTGATTTTAATGCAGATGATTGGATGTCAGCCCTCACAGTCTGCGGTGATGTCAGAGTCAGTGAAGGCAGGAAAAATTTTAGATCTTCCATCAGGTGACACGCTGTCTGACGGTACAAGCGGTGGTGTCGAGGAAAACTCAGTGAGTATTAACAAGTAAGGTGATCTTACGTAAAATTCTGATGAGGTGTGGCATGAGCGCAGGCTTGTAAAACTCTTTACATGTTGCGTCCGTGTTTAGTTAACTATTTCACAGATGAGGTTCACGTTTTATCTTTTGTTCAAATTTTAATTTCCCTAATTTTTCTGGGTAAGGTCATGAAGGAAATTTTTATTCACGCTCGTTATACCCCGGCTTGTCTTGCATTGATGTAAATGTCATGGGTACATTTTGTCATGTGTTTTCTTCGCGGAATGATTATAGCTGAGTGATAAAAGTTTAGAAAAAAGCATACTATTAAGACATGGCTGAAGGTTTAGGTGTGGAACCTAAGCAGCTCGCCTTGACAAGACCTGACAAAGTCGGCCGATCGAAAGAACTCTTACCGTTCTGACGTTAAAAAGATGCATACGCTTTTTTCTTTGTTAAGAGAAAAGGACAAACACAAACCTTTCGAGAACGATGATTCAGGAAGTTCATAGAAGCCGTTGGATTAATTCTAGTTTTTCAAATTTTGCTTTACGCTTTATTTTTGGGACATTTGCTGAAAGAAAGAGAGTTGTGTTTTTTCATTTCCTTCGGGAGAAAAATTATGTGTGTGCTTTCATGCATTATAAAGTAGAGTTGTATTTCCACATTTTTTTGTACTGGTGATAAGGTGACGTTTGATCTTTGTAAATATCTTGTCGACGAGTGGATCCTTGTGTCAGAGGAAGAAATTAGTAGAGCAGTTTACCAATTTATGGAAAATCACCATAAAGTGAGTCAGTTACATTTTTTTTATTGCCTAAAAATTTGTCAGTTACATTTTTTTCTATGTTTATTAAATCGACAAGCTGCTGCAGCAGGCGGGTGTGGACCACTAGCATGTTTATCAAAGACTATTATTTCCCCCTCCCTGTTCTCCCTTCCCCTTCGCGAGACCTGATTGATTGTTCTATTCCAGGGCAGGAAAAAATGCGATTTAATCATGAGTCACGATGTTGAGGGCTAGTCAGATTGCAAAGGTAACCACTCATTTCGAAAGGTATTAACTTAGTCATCTGTTGGATTGATTTTTAGATCGTAGAAGGTGCGGCTGGTGTTGCCATTGCTGCTTATTTAAAGGACCATAATAGATTCCAAGGACAAAACGTGGTAATAATTTCTTGTGGAGCTAATATAACCATGAAAAAGTTGAAAGAAGTAATTCTTCAATGGGACCAGATATAATCTGAGCTTGAATTTTTATAACCAGTGTTTCCTAGATGTAGAATGCATTTTAATTTTAAAAGTTACAATGGCTACTTAGAGGTGAAAAGGAACTAAGCAAAGGGCCTGAAGCGCGGGGAAATTCGAGCGTCATCTTTTGGTTTTGTTTCTGATTGGTTAAGAGCGTGGTGCGAGTTTTCTTAACCAATCACAGAGCCAAACAAAGCAAAACGAATGCAATCCAAGATAACTTTCGACGCTCATCTGAACATTGCATGGTGGAGAGCCTAAGCCAAGTTCAGGCGGATGAAAAATCCATTATGCTCGCATCTCGAGCACACTGCAAACTTCAGTGAATTACTTCTGGCCAAAGAACCACTCAGCAGTATCAAAAGAGATGCCTAGAGAAAAATTGTTAACTTGCATGTGTGTGTTTAAAAACCTCATTCGTTGAGACAAAAGGGAAAGTTAATAAAATTACATGATTTGTGGAACTAACAAGAGTGAGTTTCTAATTGCAGTTTCTCACTGTTGAGTAGATTGTCCTTGTTTACTAAGGTCCCCTCCAAAACCTTGGCTCGAACCCGTGCTTTTGCGTTTGCATGCAATCCTCATTAATTTAACTCATATTACTTTACGTTTACAATATCCCGTGTGACAAATAAACGTAGAGATCCTCGATTCTCTGGTTCAAATCATAAATTCCAGATCTTTAAACATTACATCGACGCATAATTTGCGAGTCTCGATAACAGTTTTCGATTTGACGAAAGTGAACGCTCGGGGAAAATTCGCGATGTGTGACATAAGTAACTTCTCCCTCGACTAATCATTCTTAAGAGTTTCTTCCACAAGTGATCATTTCTTCAGCGTCCGTTGTTTCTCTGCATGCTCGACAGTTTTCTCTTCCACATAGAGTCCTTTCCTTCGCCGAACGCTGTTCATATATTTTCAGGCTTGATTTTCTGAATCAGCTTTCTCGCCGAAATGTGTGTATTCCCCTCTGTTGTGGGAACCCAAAACGGGTCAATATCAACAACCTGCGATGAAAGAAGCAACAAGGATCAACAAAATTACTTCATTAAAATCAGGATGATGACTTTTTCTGACCTTTGTTGGTGGGTGTCATTTACAGGTAGAAAACTTGAAGAATCTGTCTTACTGTCATAAACAATATCTTCTTCACTAGCAACAGGACCAAAATCTGGGAGGGGAGTTTTATTATCATCTGTTGTAGTGTCATCTGTTTCTATTGAAAGAAGTTCGCTGGGAACATCGTTTTCTGGTTAAGAATTTAATGCGCTATAATTTAATTCAATGTCTGAATAATGTGGATTATTTTTAATGAGCCAGTGAATTGCATCTGATACCACTTGCCTTCTTACTGAAAGGTTTTTAACAAAATTTCCCTTTCCTTTAGCTCTAACAATAGTTATTGATAAATCTTTAGGGTATCTTGGAAGTGATTGAGCCAATTCACTGACATTTTGAGGTAGTTTTATTGTATGTCCAGAATATCCTCTTTGTCCTCCTGGTTTGATATAAATATGCATTATAGGAAGAGCTTTAGCAATTAACATTTCTTCTACCTGCGTTAAGCCAGGAAGTTGTGTGGGTACTGCTGAGGGTATCATAAAGTTTTCCTTGGAGAATTTTTTTGGTGACTCTTTTTCTCTTGAGCACCTCGAACATGTATAATTTTGTGGACGTTTTGGTGTCACTCTTAATGGCCAGGCTTCAAAACAAACTTTGCATTGGTAAATGTTATAATTATTGGAATTATGGAATTTAGTTATGTTATGTTTTGCCCAGTCTTGTTTGTGAATATCTCCATGTTTTTCTGCATCAAAAGTTAATAAGTACTGTTTCTTATCACATGTCTTTTTCACTTTTTTTGCAATATTCCTTGTAGTTTGCTCTTGTTTCCTTTTTCTCTGCCAAGCATCTTGCCTGCCTAGGTTTCTCTTCTTAATTTTCTCATCAGATTGTAATAATTTGGATTTTAGATACTTTAAGGCATTCTTATTAGTAGTATTACTATGAGGTATTGTAGAAACATAATGCAAGTCTTCTATGTAACCAACAAACAATACTTTTGCATTTTGATCCGTAGTGGATGGCGTAATTATAGAGCCTTGTGTGCACGAAAGCCTGGACTCAATGATATGAATGACACAATTAAGTTGATTTGCTACTGCTTGTATGATAATGTTGTCACACCATGTGCCTGGTGTGGCCATTCTTTGCAAATAACTTTTCCATGAATTCTCAGACACACTCTCGATAAACAAATCAGGGTGTTGTTCTAAATAGCTTACACCAGCATGCCTTACAGCAATATGATGGTCTGGAGTACCATAATACTGATGTGAAATTGCTTTGAAAAAGCAGTCACCAGAACCACCAACATCCAATGCCTGCAAACCTTTGTCGCATAATCTATTAACCAATCGGTCATAAGAACTGCTTTCAGTACTTGCCCTTGTACCCATTTGAGATGAATGTGCATTGTGTGTATTCATGCCACCAGAAAGCGATGGTAAAAGCTTAAGCCGTACAAATTTTTTCAATAATGGCTTTGAATTATCACATCTAGAGGTTTGAAAAGTTCGGTTACCAGCTGTCACCTTTTTCGAAATATTTAGCTTTGAGCGAAAGTAGTAACAAGAAAAACAGCTTTCAAAGCAGTGTCTTGAAGACCAAGTTTTAAATGTTTTGCAGAAGTAATAAAAAGCTGACGACCTAGGAATTTTGGTTTTGAGAACAAGTTTTATTTGTTTTCTCTGCCTGTGTTTTAGAAGGTGAAACAATTTTTGTTTAGGTATCCTTGATGGTTCCCTGTCTCTTTTATAACATCGAACCGATTTGGCAGAACGACCACGCATTTTTCCTAACGTGTCTGAATAGCTAAATGAAGACATAAGGTAACGGAACCACGTACACTAGTTTCAATGAAAGATCTGTACTTAGATTGTTATGGCTTGGCTGCTTAAAGAAGCTGAACGCTCGCACGTGACAGATCGTGATGGGTCACATTGTATTTGCCGTGATTTCACCGTGATAGCTCTGTGTTTTAAGCTTGACTTGTTACAATAAAATTGACTTGTCTCGTGGTGAACAAAGTGGTATAATTGTGGCAAAACTGTGCCGATATTTTATAAACAAACCGAAGTGGGTGACAGCTGGTGTGAAAATGCAAACACGCTCGACGAAAAAATCAAAGGCTTTCCTTTATGTACGTAAAAGCAGCCATAAAATGTTATTATAACCTGCTTAAAGAAACTGAACGCTCGCACGTGACAGATCGTGATGGGTCACATTGTATTTGCCGTGATTTCACCGTGATAGCTCTGTGTTTTAAGCTTGACTTGTTACAATAAAATTGACTTGTCTCGTGGTGAACAAAGTGGTTCAATGGTATAATTGTGGCAAAACTGTGCCGATATTTTATAAACAAACCGAAGTGGGTGACAGCTGGTGTGAAAATGCAAACACGCTCGACGAAAAAATCAAAGGCTTTCCTTTATGTACGTAAAAGCAGCCATAAAATGTTATTGTATACCTCACAATAAACTTAATAGGTAAAGTACCTTACTAACCTGCAGATATAGGACAAGGTTTCGCTCTAAGGTCAATGGACGCACAGCTCTCGATCGCTCTACAGTTCAAGTCTTCAATGGATCAACGCCAAGGTCAATGGACGCACAGCTCTCGCTCTGCAGTTCAAGTCTTCAATGGATCAACGCCAAGGTCAATGGACGCACAGCTCTCGCTCTACAGTTCAACAACGCCAAGGAGGAACACAGATCTCTCGCCATGGCCAGAAGATTTCGATACCCGACAACAACAGACACGAACAGGAAACGTTCCATGAGCTGCACGTGATTCTTCGGCGAAATAGACGTCGTCCACGTGATAAAATTGTGTTGTGTGCACATTCCAATTTATGGACCGCCACTTCTGCATGAACTGCACGTGATTCTTGACATTCTTAGCTTCAAGAAGGCGAAATTTACATATTATTTTAGCCCTTCAACTACATTAAAGATCATTGACTATGAAACGTGAAACAGCTATGCTTTGGTGAGAATTGTCTTCTGCTTGGTGTTGGTTTCTAGCGGTCAGAGCGCCTGTGCTCAAATTACTGCTGCTTCGTGTTTGTCTCGCGTGGTCAAAGCGCCTATGCTCAAATTACGTCCTTTCATTTCATTGGTTCTTAGTGTCCCTAGGAACAAATATTTGGAAGGACGACTTTTTTCGCTAAATTCGAGTCACTGCAAGGCTATATAAATGCCGCGCATGCGTTTGTAACCAATGTTGAGATTAGGATTTCGGGCTCCGCTGGTCGCCCGCAGTAAGAGCAATCACATAAATTAGGGCCTCTTGGCTCCACCCTGTCGGCATGCTCTGAAGAACGAACGATGCAGAACATAAAAGGATCTATCGTGATTCAATGAGGTGTGAATGAGTGGCCCTGTATTCTGCAGCTTTGTAAATACATATTTTTTAAAACTTTCAGCGGAGGCGTCTTATTAAGGTCGATTGGCGTTGCAAAATCTCGATCATTTATTCGCCATACAATGATTGCCAAACCTCACCTGCTCAGCCTATGTAAGGATATTTCGAAGGCTGCTGGTCGGATAAAGCTGCACGTCAGAAAAACTCCCCTGGAATACTCTCCTTGGTTAAGTGACGTTGGCAAGTCGAAGGTCTATATTAAACTGGGTAAGTATAGTAACCAACCTTTACGGCTTATCCACGGTAAAGAATTTCGTCTTGACCAATCGGCAATAAACAGTGTTGGAGTTTGATAAATAACAAGATCGTCACTAACTCAAAGGGGTTATATATGACGCGAAAATAATTTAGTACAAGACGCGTGAATTTTACAGAAGGCAACGTAAGGTGCCAAACATGCACCCGTGAAATAGGATCAGGCCCCTTCACTCCCCTCCCCCCTGACCTTTACTACCCTCTTCATTCTTCAAGGATTTTGGTATTAAGAGTTCCACACCCAATCGACTCATACCCCGACCGTTCCCCCTTTGATTCATTTTGTTAGTGGTAGTCTATAATAGCAGGGTCGTAGCAAGGTATTTTTTTTCATAACTGATCCTGTATTTTTGCCCCAAATTTGATCCCTGATCACAAAAACGTTGAGAATTTTAATCCCTGATCACAGAAACATTGGGAATTTTGATCCCTGATTCCACAAAAACACTGCTGATCCCGATCCCAAGTGTTGTGATCCCAGGGCTGTGATCCCTGATCCCACCCCTAAGCCATTGATCCCTGATCTCATATACCTTGTTATGACCCTGATAATAGGGTTGAATATTGAGCGATAGGGATTTGATAATAATGTTCTACAACTTCATCATGTAGTTATAAATTTGTAGAATTTCTTGTCAAGTGAATTGATCTTTCAGGCATGATTAAACATATTGTAATTGAACGTTGTTAGGTTTCGTTAAAAAACGGTAACCACCAGTCCAGTGCCACTTATAGGTGCTCTTCTTGCCTTCTGTCAAGATTTTATTTATAGGATTTGTACAGCTTTTTGAGTGATCATGGCTGTATGTTTCATCATTGGCAGTTGCTTAATAATTATGAAAAAGGCTGTCAAAACCCCTGAAAGTGTTTGGAGAAGATAACTCCTCTCTCCTTTGGAGAATTTTATATAGGTCTTGAAAAGGCTTTGTGCCCTACCTTTGCAAGGGGACCAAAAATGGTCTGCAAAAATTTGCCAGGCTAATTTTTTGCTGGCATGAAACCTCAAATATTACATATTTCTCCAAAGACTAGAGATGAGTGTAGGTATGGTGATATCTTAAATTGTGTGGCAATTCATAACAACCATTCACATCACAGCTTGGAGAAAGCTCAATTACCAGCCGCTGTTTGGAAACGAGCTGACAATCACCCTTCTTCTTCTTGAGAGGATCGAGGACTAGACCCAAAAAATGGCAGAAATCAAGCCCAAATCTAGGACTAATATATTTTTAAATATATTATGATGAATTGTGGACTTCTACTAAATTCCATATTGCATATTTATTCTCTGACACATGCAAATAACCCTGCCAATTCTTAAATGTTGATTTTGACTTAAGTGTTGTTTGTTCTCCTTTGGGGACAGTAAAATGTTTTTTTGTAAATAACAGTTATCTATTTTCACTAATATAGAGAGTGAACAGATTACAGGATCTTTTAAACTGAGAGGAGCCTTCAACAAACTCCTCACCCTTAAAGAATCAAATGATGAGGTTTTTCTGACTAATGGAGTGATTACAGCTTCTACTGGAAATCATGGAGCAGCCACTGTAAGATGAAGTTTTTCAATATGGTTGATCTTAATATTTAACAAGCCATTGTTATTTGATGGAGCAAACTTGTACCTGTATGAGGAATGACTAGCTTTACTTCAAGAAAGTGGCTTCATGCTTCATGCTTGTAGGGAATTTAAAGCTTTGGAAATCATGGGCCAATTAACAGACTTAAGCCTTTTAATTTCTATATTTTTTTATTTAACTGGTTATATCTATGATAAAATGTCAGTAAGAGTCTGCATGACTGAGGGAGAGAACATTTGTGGCCATTACTCAGATTAAAGTATTTTAAAAGTGGTTGTGAGGTCAAAGACACCCTTTGAAGTCAGCCCCAGTCCTTTCAAGTAGTTATAGTGGAGCCAAGAATGAAGGTGGTTGGCAGTTGTCCATTTAAATTAATTAAATATTATGAAGTGACAAGTTATTTTTTAATTTAAAATGTTTCTTTGTTTGTTTGTTTTTTATGTAGGCATATGCATCAAGTAAAGTTGGCACTCCAGTTACTATTTATGTACCAGAGACCACTTCTGATGCCAAGCTGAAAGTAGTAAAACAGTTTGGTGGGTCTGTGAAGTTCCATGGAGAAGACTGTGTTGAAGCAGAGGTGACAGCCAGGAATGCTGCTAAGGTTCAACAACATTGCTGCACTCCTTATGTTAATGAAGCTTCTTTCTCTCAATACTAACCATAGAAGCACAAAATGATCTGTGTTTGGCTGACCACAACAGTGTGGGAAGATGGTTGAGAAAGCTGTAATATAAAGATAAGTTTGGTTCTAGCTCGTAAGTAAACAATGTCCAATTGTGTAAAAATTTACCAACAGGATTGCCTTGGATTCCAGGAGAGTAGTAGTATTTCTAACAATTTTGTGCTGCTGAAATCATTTCCAGGGCTGGATGAAAGCAATGCAACTGGTCATTCAGGCTAGCAAAATCCCTCTCTGAGAATAAGCAACTTTTTGTGTTAATTTGCAAATACCCTAATTTTTTTCAACATTAAGAAAACAAGCCAAAGGAAAGAAGCTTGATAATAAGACAAACAGGCTACAAGTTAGTGCTATAGCTGTTAACCCTTTAACTCCCAAGATCTTCTCCACTCTGCCTACTACACATTTCCTTCTAAATAAGTCACAAGAATTTGGTGTTAGATCAAGACTACTAACTTCTACCTGATGAGTTTGATTATTCTCATTACATGTTGGTTGGATAATGTGTGGATGTTACTAGGAGAAGTTACATGTTAATCTCTTATGGGAGTTAAAGGGTTAAGACAAGTGCGCCGCAAACTCAGTGAGTAGCAACTGCATTAAATGACCAAATGAGGGAATACAAATAATGATGGGAATGCGTGACAAGTAACGCAAGATCTACATATCGCAACAAGAGCCCTCATAAAATGTTACAGGAAATCCCTCCTTGTCCCATTTTTTTGACAGTGTATGCTTATCCCTTTAGGAAAGTGGCATGCATTTTGTTTCGCCATATAATGACCTTGTAGTTGTTGCTGGGCAAGGAACCATTGGGTAAATATTTATTTTGTTATTTATGTTGGCGATGTTCAGTTCATATTTGTTTATTTATTATTTTCATTTAATTATTATTTCTTCAGTCTTGGCATGTGGAGAAAAATAGAAACCTTTCCTTGGTGCAGAGTCTTTCACGCTGACAGCTCAGCTTTTTTGATTGTAATACTTAAACTCGACTTTTTCAATGGCGAAAAACTTTGTTTAAAATATAATTACAGAGTCGTAACGAGGTATATGGGTTCAGGGATCAAAGGGGTGGGATCTGGGATCAGAAGCCTGGGATCGGGGATCAAAGGCATAGGATCAGAGGCAAAATCCGGGATCAATACCGCAATGAACATTTCGAAAGAGGACCTCAAATCTCGAGATCGCGTAAACGGTACAGGTTGATTTTTGAAGTGGCTGTGCAGCACAATGTAGCTCCAAAGAACTGGAAAGAGCGGAAGCTAACTGTCATGTTGAATATAGAATATCTATCTGACGCGGCATTTCTGCCAATCTTACGATTGTGTATAACACATATGAGGTTTCTCAGGTGTCATCACATCTCTCATGGGTTGAAATCGCTGGTGATTTCGGTTTGCGCCCATATCGCGCTATCTGTGCAGTCTTCTGCCTTCTTCTCTTTTCGCCATGTGGCTTTGCCTCTGTCCAAGGGGAAAACTTGAAACGAAAGAACAGTGATCGCCGGTACGTGAAGTTCCTTTTGACCTTCAATGAATCAATTTGTGTCAATTGCTTCTTTTCTGGACAATCACTTAATAAGACTCATAAATGCGATTTTGTTTAACTTATTTTCCCGACTTCTTCGTCAACAGGTCACGTGCCCACTCTCGATCGTCTGAATCACGCGGTCAGTCCCAGAAACACAGAAAAACGGCATAGGTCAGTAAGAATTCACTCACCGCGCACAGTAGGCGGGATTTGTGCGTATTAATGAGGGATTGTTGTAAAATAACCATTTGGTTCGATTGCGGCCGCCAATCCATATTGGTAGCACAAGAGCCTGGGTTGAACAAACGAATTTCTTTCCCCTCCTCGGATGGATTTTTTCTCCTGCTCTGATTCCGTGAATCACTCGACGTGTTCTTGGCTGGTTTGTCTTCTGTGGTGTCAATCCTTTTATTATCTTTGTTGTGGGAATCGAGAATCCTTGTCGATTGTCTCTTTTAAGGCTTTCACGTATCGATAATGAGATGCTGTGGCAGGCAGTGCAAGTATAAAAGCTTAATGAAACTGCCACAAGTATAGAGAAAAGGGCCAAAATCGGCGAAGTTGGCGGACTAAAACTATCGTTTCGCAGTACTTGGAGTAGTTTTGCTAAAATAGTTATTTTCCTCGCGGAAGGATTAAACTATCTTATTGTCATACTTTGGGAAAATTTAGCAAGAAGAATTTGTAGACTTTTACTTTAAAAAACTAGGCTTTTTGGCCACAGGCCACGGTGGAAGGGCAAGGCGCGGACTTGTATAAGCAGCAGGTAGACCAGAAGAGGGAAAAACATAGGCAAGGATTTCTGCCACCTAACCGATCGCTAAGAAAGAAGGCAACTTTCGAACGTACAATAAAAGCATTTCAAAGTTACTTATGCTTTATGTAGCTGAGTGAGTGATACATATGTTCTAAAACTGTATTCCACCCTTTTCACCGAGTATGGAAAATTACAGTAATAAACTTTTCTTATGGACTCATAACACAGTTACTATGGTTACTGCCTCATGTGTCAGGCATATTTTCTTACTGAAACAAACAACTGCTTTTCATGACCTGTAATGAGGAATTTTCCTCATAAGCTCTTTTGGTTGCGTGATGGTAGCGTGAATTATTTCATATTATTGAAAAGTCCATTTGAAGCAATCTCGTTCATGTGTGTGGTCATTTAATCCTTTTTTTTGGGGGGGGAGGGGAGGGAGAGGGGGGTACTAGAGACAGAGGGAGAAACGTAAAGAAAAATAAAATGGTGTTTTTTAAAACACATCGCATAAGCCTCTCTGACATGGTCAGCAAACAGGGATCGCTACGTCAAGGATAGGATCAATTTTTTTCAGTTTTTAGATGGGATCAGTTTAGTTTTTCGGGATCAAGGATCGAAATTGTCCGAAATTTTGGGATCGTGAATCACAAAATATGGATAAAAGCTAGGATCATTATATATTCCACATACCTCGTTACGACCCTGGTAATTACTTTAAAGAAAAATGTAACTTAAACTCACCTCCTTCTTCCATTCAATAAATGTGTTACGATGATTTTTTGGTGTATCCACCTCAAGTGGAACCTTTTAATGTAACTGTTTTTCTATAAATATTTACTACTGAAATTTTAACTTAAATGAAATGCAAACACAAAATGAACTATTGAGTAGTTTTGAGGAATTTAAAGTGAAAGGGCAGATGAAATCTTTGAGAGCATTAGAGTATAGTGACTTATCAGAAAACCGAAAACAGGCGAAAATTTACATCAATATCAAAAATGTGACGGGAAAAATGACAGAGGTGACATTTTGAGGCCCAAAAGGATTTACGAAAAAACGAGAAAAGAAACATTTTTACCGAAATCAAATGTTACAAAAGAGAAATAACAAACCCAGAGTAGATACGAAAAATTGTAAATGAAACTGAAAAACAGATCTCAAAAATCGCCAAGCCAGAAAACGAAGAAGTTGTTGCCTCTTTCAGTTAATGTTTTTTTAATTACTTTGCTAAAACGTACAGCAACTTTCTCTCTAATCTACACAGGGTGGAAATCTTCGAAGACTTGGCCGATGTTGATGCAGTATTCGTTGCTGTTGGAGGAGGGGGGCTTATAGGAGGGATTGCAGCCTACCTGAAAAGTGTGAAACCCGAAATAAAGGTAACAAGTCTCAATGAAGAAGAAAAATGAACCTTCTTTTTGAATGTGCATCGGATGATACGTGAATCGCATGCAACTTTCCTGGTAGGGTTTTCAATAACAGCTGGCCATCGACGTCCCACCGCCGCTCATACCACCGTCTGTTGAGCCTGCAATCAGGCTCTAATGTTTGAATTTTGCCTTGCGGCTTTTTTTCCGGGCACAGACGCCTATCACACCATCGGCCGCCTGTGGAAAAAGTTATTGAAACCGAAACTTCTGCATTGGATGAAAAAATATGAAAGTGGCGTGAGAATATTTAGCAGAAACTTACCTTCATGTAAAATGTTCTTTTGCCTTGCCACATCAACGTTTGTGCAGAAAATACGAAACATGCAAAATCACTGCGTAGTGCCGCGGTTGCCGCTAGTTTTCCCGCCAAAATAACCCACCAAAGTAACACTCACTCTCGTGCGCGCCCGCGTTTTGTCTTGGTCAACGGTCAAACGACCACGGATGTATTTTTTTTTTTTTTTTTTGCGTGTATGTTTCCGTGTATGAACACAACAGTTAAACCCTGAGTAAGGCAAGCGTGAGGGGATCAATTCTGGCCGGCTTCATGCCAACGACTGCTGTCTTACAAAATAAACGAAAGAAAATTGAAAAGTTCATAGAGAGGTAGAGAAAACTCGAGACTTTTCGAACAGGAAGCTTATTCAAACACAAATATCTTTACCATTTACCATTCTGTTTTGAGCTTTATCCAAAAAATTCTACGATTCTTCTGGCTTGTGTAGCTTGTGTTTGTTACTCGTGTGAGATAACTTGGTTCTGAAAGCATGAAAATACACCACCTAGTCATTGCATTCGCATTCGTTTGAGCGCTTTGTTGTGTGTGTGTCTTTTGTAGTTGTTCGTTGCTCGGAGCGGAAAAATGTGGGACTGAGAAGGAGATCTAAAATAGCTAAAATAGACTCTGCTCATGCTGACTCAACTGTTGATTTTAATGCAGATGATTGGATGTCAGCCCTCGCAGTCTGCGGTGATGTTAGAGTCAGTGAAGGCAGGGAAAATCTTAGATCTTCCATCAGGTGACACGCTGGCTGACGGTACAGCCGGTGGTATCGAGGAAAACTCGGTGAGCATTCACAAGTAAGGTGATCTCACGTAAATTCTGATGAGGTGTGGCATGAGCGCAGGCTTGTAAAACTCTTTACATGTTGCGTCCGTGTTTAGTTAACTATTTCACAGATGAGGTTCACGTTTTATCTTTTGTTCAAATTTTAATTTCCCGGCTTCCTCGGCCGGGGGAATCAGTTTCTTCAATCACGTTGTCTTGCATTGATGTAAATGTCATGGGTACATTTTGTCATGTGTTTTCTTCGCGGAATGATTGTAGCTGAGTGATAAAAGTTTAGAAAAAAGCATACTATTAAGACATGGCTGAAGGTTTAGGTGTGGAACCTAAGCAGCTCGCCTTGACAAGACCTGACAAAGTCGGCCCATCGAAAGAACTCTTACCGTTCTGACGTTAAAAAGATGCATACGCTTTTTTCTTTGTTAAGAGAAAAGGACAAACAAAAACCTTTATCTTTTTTCGTAGAAGCCGTTGGATTAATTCTAGTTTTTCAAATTTTGCTTTACGCTTTATTTTTGGGACATTTACTGAAAGAAAGAGAGTTGTGTTTTTTCATTTCCTTCGGGAGAAAAATTATGTGTTTGCCTTCATGCATTATAAAGTAGAGTTATATTTCCATATTTTTTTGTTCCTGATGATAAGGTGACGTTTGATCTTTGTAAATATCTTGTCGACGAGTGGATCCTTGTGTCAGAGGAAGAAATTAGTAGAGCAGTTTACCAATTTATGGAAAATCACCATAAAGTGAGTCAGTTACATTTTTTTTAATGCCTAAAAATTTTTCAATTACATTTTTTTCGATGCTTACTAAACCGACAAGCGGGCGGGCGTGGACCACTAGCATGTCTATCAAAGACTATTATTTCCCCCTCCCTCCTCTCCCTTCCGCTTCGCGAGACCTGATTTGTTTTTTTACTCCAGATCAGGAAAAAATACTATTTATTCATGAGTCACAATGTTGAGGGCTAATCAGATTGCAAATGTAACCATTGATTTCAAAATGTACTAACTTAATCATTTGTTGGATCGATTTTTAGATCGTAGAAGGTGCGGCTGGTGTTGCCATTGCTGCTTATTTAAAGGACCATAATAGATTCCAAGGACAAAACGTGGTAATAATTTCTTGTGGAGCTAATATAACCATGAAAAAGTTGAAAGAAGTAAGTCTTCAATGGGACCAGATATAATCTGAGCTTGAATTTTTATAACCAATGTTTCCTAGATGTAGAATGCACTTTAATTTTGTGTCGTGAAAAGTTACAATGGCTACTTAGAGGTGAAAAGGAACTAAGCAAAGGGCCTGAAGCGCGGGGAAATTCGAGCGTCATCTTTTGGTTTTGTTTCTGATTGGTTAAGAGCGTGGTGCGAGTTTTCTTAACCAATCACAGAGCCAAACAATCCAAGATAACTTTCGACGCTCATCTGAACACTGCATGGTGGAGAGCCTGAGCCAAGTTCAGGCGGATGAAAAATCCATTATGCTCGCATCTCGAGCACACTGCAAACTTCAGTGAATTACTTTTGGCCAAAGAACCACTCAGCAATATTAAAAGAGATGCCTAGAGAAAAAATTGTTAACCTGCACGTGTGTTAAAAACCTCATTCGTTGAGAAAAAAAGGGAGACAATAAAATTAGATGATTCGTGGAACTAACATGAGTGAGTTTCTAATTGCAGTTTCTCACTGTTGAGTAGATTGTCCTTGTTTACTAAGGTCCCCTCCAAAACCTACTCTTACACTGAATATGCCCCTCCAGCTAGAAATGAAAACCATTGCTTGATGGTAGGTGAGGCTCTGGAAGAGGTGAGGTAGGCGAGGCTCCTGTTGTATAACAATGTTTTCCAATTCGATAGTAGTAGGAACGTCTTTATGTTTTTCTAGAGTCACTAGGATGTCTCTTTTCAGATCGATCACTTAAAAAACACCAGGTTGTCGCACGGTAGTCTCGTTTGTTTCGAACACATGTATGACCTTGGATACTATGGGAAATGGTTCATTGTCTATCTAATAACTGCATGTGTGATTAATCTATCATAAAAACTTGTCAAATAAAAAGTAAGGTTGTAGACTTCTGCGTGTGGTCACAGACATCTGCATCCCCAAGGAAAAGGAGACGAAGTAAAGTTTCAAAGACAAATCAAGTCATTACCAGACCGTTAATTTTAAGGACTCTTGTGTAAATCGTCTTTTTAGTTACAAGCTGAGGTAGCGTTGAATTTTTCACCTTTTTGATACTTTTCAAAGTTTTTTTTGTAACACAGATAAGAAATTTTTTCTCTTTAGAAGAAATAAAGACTACTACTGCAACAACCCGAACGGACGAAACTGCCTTTTTTTTTAGCTTCTAGGTAAAAAAACTGGACTGAGAGATCTAACCTGAGGTCGAGGCAGGATACGTGCTCTCCTTTATATCGTCTTTTGAAGAGAATTAATACAACCCTTTAACACCTATGAATGATCAAGACAAAATTTCTCCTCAAAGTTATAGTAAATATCAAGCAGACGAGTGATGAGAATAAAGTAAAATATAAATTAGGGTATTATTGGTTGATCTAGAACCAAATTTTCCAAACTAATATCATAAGAACTGTATGACAGACAGTAAAGAGGTCACAGAAGTGAAAGAGTTAAGGGTATGGCAGAACCCATAAGTCTTGTATTCAAATGAAAACAAGGTTGTAAGTAGTGGAATCAGGGCATGACTCTCGAAGTTTGAGGACGTGCCGTTCCGTGTTCTGCTCCTAACACTTTAAATTCCTGGAGAGCATGAGCAGAAATCAACGGTCACGTAAAGGAACAACGAACTTACGAGAAGAAATACTTAGAGATAAAAATTTTGAAGAATTAATCCGACTGGTCAAGAGTTTGGTGGTAAAAATTGATAAGCTTGACTCAGACAGCCAAAGCCGCCATGATGTCTTGTGTGTTAAACTTCAACAACTCTAGTCCAAAACTGCTAACTTGTCGGGTGAGATTCACGACTTACAGCAAGGGCTTGATTTTACTAATGAGGAAGTTGAGACGCTAAAAGAGACCTTGAGTAATAAACTCGGGTTACCAATTTAGAAAAAAAAAATTCGAGGACCTTGAGAACCGATCAAAAAAAAGACAACATTGTCATGTGGAACATTCCTGTTGGCGCCGAGAAAGATTCTTCCTGTCAAGACATCGTGAGTAACATACTGAGACAGCACATAAAGTTGGAAGGCGACCTGGAAGCAATGCGCGCTCAATCATCGAACAAACATAAGAAGGCAAAGTACAACTGAAAATAATATTTCACTGCTAACGAGTATTTATCACGTTACACAGATAAGCAATATATTCTCCAAAGGGCTGCGTCAGCATTAAAAGATAACTCTCTCTTGGAGGCAAATCGGTACATCTCGGACGACGTAAAGAAGGAAGTGAGAGACGACCGAAAGAAGCTGAGGGACAGGCACTGTTGTACGTAAGTTGAAAGTTAATAAAGACAATTGCTAAAAAAAAAAAAAAAAAAAAAAAGTTAGTGAGCAGTGAACAATGCGTTAAATTTTTAATGCGGAAAAGTATTTTTGGGAACCAATTATTGTTCTCTCGAAGTCTTTCTTCGCATTTAAATTGTGCTTAAATTGGTGCGACAAGACGATGTACGAATTGTACCTTTCCAATTAAAAGCCATTTTGGGAACTGGTTTTCAATCCGATCATGTCTCCATGCTTAGAGTCTCAAATTGTCATGTGTATAGGTACACTGATAACATAAAAACGCTTGTTTTCACATGTTGTATTCTGTGAGTCTTTGAAACATAGATACTGTTTTTATTTTTTAAAACCATGTTAACGCCGGATTCAGCACGAAATTGGAGTGGACCTCACTTCGAATGAAGTTAGAGCTGACAAATAGTTTTGGCCTTCAGGATCAAATCAGGAGTTTACATAAACCAGTGAAAGGGAGGAAAAAACGGCTTATACTATTTTGCGAAACGAAACGAAACGAAATCGGGTGAGATAGAATGAAACTAAAGGAATAATGCAGATATATTTTCTAACAAGGTAAAGAAAACTTTCACAAGGAATTTGGAGTAATCGTTCATTAACAAGAAGGATTTTTATTCATTTCGCAAAATAGTAATTTTAGGAGGGTTACTATTTTGCGAAATGGACTATTTTCACTCTTTCAGTCCATTTCACAAAATAGCAACTCTCCTCAAATTACTATTTTGCGAAATATATTTTAATACGGTTTAAGATATAAGAGGAGGCCAAAACCTTCGGTGATATACTAATTTGTAATGTTTAAATGCATTTTCGTGACATGAAAGAGGTCACGTTGTCACCGCAGGGGTGAAAATAGTCCATTTCGCAAAATAGTAACTCTCCTAAAATGACTATTTTGCGAAATATATTTTAATACGGTTTAAGATATAAATACAAAACCTTTTAATACTAATTTGTAATGTTTAAATGTAAATGAAAGGACGTTGTCACCGCAGGGGGAGGCCAAAAAAATCAAATTTATTTTTGATATACTAATTTGTAATGTTTAAATGTATGTTTAAATGACATGGAAGAGGTCACCGCGTTAGTCACCCCTAAAATGACTATTTTGCGAAATACATTTTAATACGGTTTAAGAAAAAAGGAGGTCCATATTTAATGTTTAAATGTATTTTTATGACATGGAAAAATTTCGCAAAATAGTAACGCTCCTAAAATTACTATTTTGCGAAATGAATAAAAATCCTTCTTGTTAATGAACGATTACTCCAAATTCCTTTTGAAAGTTTTCTTTACCTTGTTAGAAAATATATCTGCATTATTCCTTTAGTTTTGTTCTATCTCACCTGATTTCGTTTCGCTTCGTTTCGTTTCGTTTCGCTTCGTTTCGTTTCGTTTCGCAAAATAGTATAAGCCGGAAATAAACAAATTAAATGGGGAATTGTCTTTAGCTCTCGCTTGCGGCTCTGTGAATACTTATTTGTACGAACAACAATAAAAAGCTTTTTTAGTTACAAATTTATGACTCGAGAAAAGAACCCCATGAGATCGCAAACGGTAGTCTGGTATTAAATTGTCCATGCAGGAACCAGTTCTTGGTAATTTATTGTCGCGCAGAAATAACCCGTTCAACTATTCATTGAGGGGATAAAATCTTGACAAACGTGGCAAAGTATAGTTGTCTTACACTTTGGACAGTGAACGTCCACACTTTTAACAATACAGTTATGGACGATTGACCGTAACCTCAAACAGCCTAAAAAAACAACTTAGTGAATACTTTAAACCAAACAACTAATATAAGGTGGGTAAAGTAGCTAAACTTAATTTGACGTTGAAAATGGGAACTAATTCAGGAAATTCCTTTTTAATCCGTATTTCTCTAAATCTTAGGTTATACAGTAGATAGTTTTACTTTTTAGCAAGGTATTAGGCTCATCCAGCTTTACAAAGCTGTTGTATCAATCTGTGTACAATTCACCAACATGACTGAGTCGGCGTATTACTGAAATGCGTATTTAAACGTAATTAAATTGCGGACAGCTTTTTCTCTCTTGGATTTCGAAATTTCCCCCATTTTAACTGTGCTTAACGAACGCATTTAGGTGACGCTTTTCCTTTTATTCCTAGAGATAGCAGCGATGAAATACTTTCATATCCTCCTCCTGATGATTTCAGGTAAAGAGTTGGGTGTCTTAAATGCAAAAAGAAAATGGCTCTAACACAGCAAGTTTCATTGAGCAATGAGGATTCTTTTATTATTTGAGGTTTTTGAAGTGATCTCGTTTAGCTAGCTTCAAGGCTTTTTTAGTTTCGCTTCATTGAAACACCGTATTAACTGAGCTCGTGGTTGCCTGTGGTAATGCCTGGCCATTGATATCCATCAGATGCTTTCCAAAGATAAAGATACTTTATCCACAATAATTGCATCTTGTCAACTACGAAATGAGTGCGGGAGAAACCTTTCTTTATCAAGAACAACAATAATCATGGATGGAAATACAGAATTATTACGTTTTAAATATTTTAAACTTGTTCATTTAGTTTGTAATTTAGAAATGCGTTTGAACTTAAGAGATTTGCCCTTAACTCTTCCAGGTACAATATCTAAGAAAGAAAGACCCAGCAAAGTCCATATCTCAGGACAAGTTTCACCAACCGCAACTAAACAAATCCAGCTAAAAAGGGACTTTCCTCATGGGCAGCAACCATTGGCCGGCCCACTTCCTGTGTACGTTCCGCCTGTAACGAGGTGGAACAGTGAAATTATGCGGCAGGAAAGAGGTGACAACCGCGGATTTGTGGCGCAACGAACAGCAAGGCCTTCCGCTCAATCCATTCCATCTCTTCCTGGCGTGAGCTCGAAAGTGACTCGGTTCCACCACAGGGGTGCTGAAAAAACGCAACCAAGGGAAAAAAATAAACCTGTTTTGCCTGATATTATTAATTCAACAAACGGTAATGAAAGCTGGTATGTTGCATGACTTGTATAATGGTGTGGTCTATAGAGTTTAAATCAGTTCCTTACCACTCGTTTAATTGTACCCTTCTAAATCCTTCGAAGGAAATTGGAGCGGAGAAAAGAGAGGGCACTATATTAAATGAAAACTGACCATAAATTTTCAGTTTTAAATGCGACTTTGTTTAGAGTAGAATTGAGACTGAAAAAAATTTGGTGAAACCTGGTTTGAGCCGTCACTAACGGAACTCAAGCAAGTGTTTGACTTTATAGAGGATGTCCGCTGAAACAGATTTAGTCAATCAGTTGCGCAACAGTGGCTAATCCCCAAATAATACAGAATATGTAATCACCAGCATCGCAAATTTGGTCCTGGATAAATGAAAAAAGCCCTTTATTGAAAAAAAAAAATGTTTTGAATGTAAAAAATGTAGTCTTGAGCACTTATCGCTTCAAAGAAATGCTACCATTTTATGTCCACTTTAATGTAGGTTTTATGTAACAATGGGGGTTAATTTTGGCGTGCGCATGTGCTTAATAGAGGAGTTTACTGTTTATAGGTTTATTTTACGCCAAGTATGAGGAAAACAGTTAAGAACTTTTGCCAGTGTTCGCTTTAGACAGTGTGTCTGCTTAATATGGGGTCCACTACAGGTTTAACAGAAAAGTAAATCAAGTAATGAGGACCTTGGGCAAACCACGACGGCGACGGCAACGAGGACATGGAAAAACAAAAGATCTGATTGGCAGAACAATAGCTCAGCACGTGCGTTTTAAAAATTTGTACATTTCTTAGTCGTCCTATGCAAAACAACAACGTGAAATCACCACAATTTGCGTCGTCTGCGAACTGAAACCGCGACGGCAAATTATTTTAATTTCCATTTGGAACTCAACGCTTCTTTTATACGTTATGCTGAAGTTGAGATGTGGCGCCGTATGAGACGGTAGACAGAAAGGCAGAAATTCATTTTTCAATCGAAGTTTTCCTTGGTGTTGCCGTCCTGACTGCTTAAGGTCCCTAATGTGGAGTTATTCGAAAGGATGAAACCAAATTTTCGTAGGCAGAAAGGCAGAGAGGCCTTTCAAACTTCGCCTTTTTTCCCTAAAAGTAATTTTTTAACCTTTAGGGGAAAGCCACGAAGGGCAGGCTAATAATTTCCAGAAGAAAAGTTCAACTACCAAACAAAGACAAAATCGTCACCAATCAACGTCTGCGAGTGACCAAAGCTCGGCTGGGAATGGAGGTGGAGGTCTTGGTTCTATATTGAAAGGAGCAAACGTTCAAGGTGCTGTTGTAGAGAAGGGAATTGAAGTGATGGGGAAGCTAGTGGATAAACAGTTACAGATCATCGATGAAGCACAAGAGAAGGCTGAAAATTTCTTAAAAAAGGAGGTTTGACACCTTTATCTGATTTCATCACATTTCTCTACCAACTGGAGGTGGATTTAATGGATTGGGGGGAAGGCTTAATCGAAGATAGTGGGAAGGGGGAGTTTCCTCTTTTTTCCATTATTTACTTCGAAGAGCTTTTTAACCTAACCGTCCTTCTAAGATATTATGCAATCTGGGTTTCATTTTACTTCATTTTCAGAGTTTTCGTTGTCTCAAATATATATTGTGTTAACAGACGTAAGAAACTTACTGCTATTCAAATCAGAGAGCCCTTTGGGCCAGTCATTAGTAAAAACAAGAAAAAGAAAAATGCTATTCATATAACTCGCCGAAAAAACCTAATTCCATTCCTTTCAGGCTTCGTAGTTAGGCAGATCGTATCAAAACATTTTGAGTACTTTCCGAACTTGTACTTTTAGTCGGCGTTCTCTCGGAATTTTGCAGGATCACCTCTGAGTTCTTTTCAATAAAAATTCTGTTTTAGCATCTTTAAAAGTTGAGCAAGGGAGACTACTTAAATGATAATTTAGGTCGTTCAGCAACATTGTTGGGGAAATCCAAGCGAGGATATTGGCTGGTTGGCAGCCAAAGGTGGTGTCGTTTTTTGTCAGTTCTCCCTAAGATAAGACAACATATGATGAACTAAGACACTTATTTCAACACAGTGTTGATAAATTAAGCAGTAACCGTGGAATATTACTAACTTGCTATCCCAACTTTGGCAGATAAAGTTAGACATCGTACCCGATAAATCCTGGCACACTGATGATATGTTCATCCCAGCCGGTTACCACATGAACTCACACATCTCCAGTGAAGACAGCGCTCCCAAGGAAGTCGGTGAGCCACCCTATACCTACCCAGCAGGCGTTGGGAACGTGTTAATGAATGGCTGTTGGGGCACTGGGTACCAAGAGGGAGATCCTTGCTACGCTGCTCGGTGGAAATTAGAAGCATGCTTGGTATGGTAGTAGTTCTGTTTTCTTCATAGCAACAGTTGGTTCTGACTTTGCAAAAGCCAGGAACTCTATCTATACCAAAGTCATCAACGCTGTAGATGAAATAGAAATTTAGTTGTGCTATTTACCAGCAATCTTATGATTCAGGTGTGGACATATCTCCCATAATTTCGCTCTCACTCGACTGATTAAGGGGCCAACATGTCGTTGCTTTCGTGTCTCACTTCTGCAGAACTTGATTGACGGCGCGGCATTTATGGGTGTTGGATTTGACGGGCGTGGTGAGTACAGCCCCGAATCAAGAAAAATGAGCATCGTGCAGCGAAACTGCGCTGGGAAAGCAACGTAAGTATGATATTGCTCTCTTTGTTAGTGCTCTGCCTCTATTATCCAGATTGTTATGGGTTTTTTGTTTGAACATGAAGTGGTACTAAGCACGTTTGATAACAATGCTACTGTTTGGACTTAAAAACTCTGCTTACTTTCATGACAGTCTGCTCCCAGTTGGCTTTATAGCTCAGTCTAGTGCTACAACAGTATTGCAGAGCAGTCATGGGTTCGCACCCCGTTGAGTCCGATTGTTTTAGGTTATGTATTCACGATTACTGTACGGGCGTGTTTAAATGCGGTGACTTCTGTTAAAATCTCAAAACTCACTCTAACTGATTTTGTTGGTTTTATTTTTTAAGATACGATGATTACGATGTCCCTGACACAATGAACGTTCATGGCATCTACGACACCAAAGCGTCCATGGTGACCTTTGAGAGCCGCAGTGAGTTTCAGAAATACTTACAGGAAGAGGCTGGGGTGTCTGGGTCGTACTTTGGCTTCTACGCGGGCGTCAAGGTGGGTTGGGGCGAGTCAGAGACTCAAGCCAGCCAGAAATATATGGCTCTCCTACACGTTGACATCAACAGGTACATAAAAACGTTGTTCGATTGTTATTTCCCTTTACTTTTGTGGTTTAAAGTTGTTCCATCATTATTATATAAGTATAGCACTGGTGGCGGATCCAGAGAGAGGGTCCGGTGGGTTCGGATTTTCGCGCGTTTGAGGCAATTTACTTGTTTTTCATTTCTTCCCCTCAGCATCTCGTGATTATGTCTTATTTTGTATTCTGATTGGCCGTTGTTGTTGCATTTCGTTTATGACGAGAGGAAATCCGACCTGCGATCGTAAGTTGTTTGGGGAGCAACTCCTATCTTCCGGCCCCCGACTTCGTTTCTTTAACAGGTATTCTTTTATTTTCGACTCTCAGGTATGAGATTTTTATAGACGAAGTAAAGCCAAAGGACTTAAGTGCGTCGTTTCTGAAAGAATTTATGGCCCTACCGACCTCTTACTTTGCGGCAGGAGCGCCCATGAAGTATTGTAAGTGTGTTTTTCATGTTTGCTTTTGTATTTAATTAAAACGTGACATTTGGTTGTCATTAACTTTCCTTAGGAGATAAACTATAGTTTTAACTTTTAAGTTAAAACTCAATTGAGCATTTTTGTGGTTAGGTCACAGTAAAGAATGTAAGAGTGTATGCCCGCAGTGTATGTATGATGTTCTCAATACACTACCCACATGTACGCTTTTCGTGCCTGTTTTTGTTAATTGTTTTTGCGTTTTGATCAATTTTTGTAGTGGACTTCATACAGAGATGGGGCACTCACTACATCAAGTCTGCTAAGTTTGGAGGCCAGCTCCAGATTCGTAAATTCATGGACGCAAGTGACGTTTCCAGTAAGAAAGAGTTCGCACGAGAAATGGAAGTGGAATACAAATCCTTGTTCGCCAGCGTTGGAGCAAAGGAAAGTAGAAGAGAGGGAGAATCGTTCAGGCAACAGGCAAAAACAACATCGACGACGATTCTTGCCATGGGAGGAAGTCAACAAATTGCTTCTATTTTATCCGACGCATATTCGCCAGCTTTTAAGAACGAGTTTAAGGATTGGCTTGCATCAATTCCTCAATATCCAAAGCCGTTTGAGTTTCAGATGGCTTTAGTTACAACTCTTCTTAACTTCCGACTTCACGATTTGTTTCCCGAAGAGAGAAGTAACTGGGGATGCGAAGGAAATGCTGCAGAACTCAAAGAAGAGATCTCAGCAAATGAAGACAGGTTAAAGTTTTATGAAACGGTAGACTCCAACGGGACAGTTCAGAAGTACTATTGTAAGTTTGATAGCCGAAAGTCTCTGGAGGAGGCAATTACAAGGAGAAGAATCAGCTTGACCAGAGCCATTGAAGTCTACATGAAGGAGGTCAGTGACACACAAACCTCCAACATTTTATGAGGATTGCATGCTTTATAGGATTTAATGGATACACAGTGCTGTGTGAAAGTTTTTATCACAGTGACTACCATTTTTCTCAGTTTCTTCACGAATTAATCACTTCCACCCCATATTAGAGTAGTATCAAGACAACTCGAGGAAACATTTTTCAATTGCTGTTTATTTATTCATTTATTTATTTATTTGGTAAGGGCCCGAATTCGATTACGGACATTCAGTTACCACCATGCAATAGAGACAGTCAAACAAAACCCGGAGCTGCACAACCGGAAACAACAGACCAAGCCGATGAAGCAGTAAAACACAAAAAAGTGGTCGGCCTTAGCTGGCAGCATATCACAAAAGACAAAGCGTTATTCCGAGTTATCTTTGACATGAGAAACGATTTGAAAGGTACCAAGGACTTCAGTGACATTCCGAGAAATATGAGTCGTTTGGTTCGCTACAAAAACGGAAAATGGTTCACGGCTGAAAAAGATGGCTCTTTTCACCTCTACAATGCCTTCAGAAATGGAAAAAGCGGCGATCCTCAACAGCATAAAATATCTATTCTTGGTCTCGTGCTTTCCTTCAATCCAAACACCGGCGGGCTGACCCTTTTGTCACGTGATTTTGAAGCGTCGAGAGTGTTTTTCCCAAACCTTCACGATACACTGGCAGGAAAAGAGCTGGGGCGAGCCGTTTTAGATTCGAGTATCTCCGAGTCTGGTGCTTCAAAGCGTGAAACCTTAGCTGACCCTCCCTGCAATGTCAAGTGGTCAAATGCTCTCCGGTTTGATCCTACTGAAGCCAAAGGGAAGTGTCTGCATTTCACAGCCTCTAGTGAGGGAAACATTTTTGTCGTGTTTGCAACTTTACCGATCGATAAGACCTCTTGGTATTACATTGAAATTACACCTCAGAAAGTGGCTATTTACAAGGTAATGATCAATGAATCTACGCAAATATGTCTCCTTTTAGAGTCATTCTAAGCAAGATAAATTTAAAAACAGCATTTTAGTCAGAAAACATGGCAAATGTCCTCCGAAAAAATTACGCCAAATTAAGTTGAAAATGAAACTACCTTTGGCGATTGAAACCCTTGACGTAATCCATGGGCATGCGCACACTACAGGGCTAATCAGTAATTGTACCATTAAAGTACAAAAGTATTTTAAGAAAATACTATCTTCAACTCGTTTTCTGCTCATACCAAAACTCAAAAGTAGCGTTTGCACATTCATCCAGTTTAAAGAGCGTTTTCAAAAACCTTCTCTTTTTCTGTAAACAAATTATCCAGAAATAAGGCGCGCGGAGTATATAGGGTGAGATCGAATAGGAAAAATAACGCACACTTTCTATTATCAGGGACTCGTACTTAAGACCTCTACGACAAACATCAATGCGAGAGGGCTGGGCGACCCAAACCTGCTTCAGTCATACTTTGTGTGCGTCACCGAGTCCGAGTCAAGCACACTTATTGAATATGGTAAAACACTGGGAACCACTCAAAGTGGTGACGTGTATCTCAACATGCTTGACCTGGAAAAGCCGCTGAATGCTCGCTTTTACGCATTTGGGAATGGAGACAAGAAGGCTGACGTCATTGATGCACACATAGTGGCACGTGATCAAACAAAAGCCGAGTGTAAAGGCGACACGTTTATCGACCTGACCACAAGGCTGTGCACGCAAGAATGTCACGAAGACTGCGATCCCTTATACGGTAATTTATCTCGTACCTATCTTCGGCTGATTTTACCTTGGAAATTATGACGCTATGTCATGCAGATTCCGTTTCAGAAAGACAAATAAATGAGATCTGAAGTATAGTAACCAACATGAAGTGAAATCCGTGGTATTACATGGAGCTGTCCCTATGCCCTTTGCCTGTTTAGGTAGGGGGTTGTGACTGGAAGTTGAAAATTAGTTGGGAAACCGTATTATACAATCGTTTCAGCCATTAGCTAGCTATGTTTATTTTCAAGAATTTCACCGATATCTTTTCTTTCCTCGCTCCCCGTCGTTTTCGGTATCCCCTTTAAATTTTATTCCCGACTATCTAGAATTTAAAACTAATTTAAAAGTTAAGGAGGATATTTTTACTTTACTCATCACTCTTCTCAAAACCGATAAAGAGACATATTTTATTACATGGGGCTTTAAGCTGGTTCTTTTTATTCATTTTTCGATTATTTTATTTTCAGGTTGTAACACATTGTCTTCGGGGAATCCTTTACCGACTGAGTGCAATGTTTGTCGAGTAGCCAAAGATAAGAATACCGGCAGCTGTCTTCCAGAGTGTCCCCCGGAAAAATTTCTCACAGCTGATAAGCTGTGTGTCGACCTCAGTTGTAAGTAAAGAGGCCGATGCCATTTAAAAGAGCTATTTTCAACTGAGAGTAAAGTATTCCGGGATTGCACGAAGTTTAATTTCTTTCGTAACTAAAATAGCTACGGTCCGTGCGAGACGACTCCTTTAGGGAATAACCAGACAGTAGCGTTACTGACACAAGCCTCACTTGAAGGCTTAGCAAGGCTTTGCCCTAGGCAAGCCAGGGCAAACAGGAAAAAAGACGCCAAAAAAAACACCGGTAGCGTGATTTCCAGGCTGAGATGAAGAAATGGGACCATGCCTGGACTACACTCAAAGGGTAGCCCAGGAAAGAACGAGGTGGGAAATTCAATTCCGAAGAGCACAAAGATGCTACTAAGTTTGACGTAACACTCTTTAAAAGAAAGATATGACGTTTATGCTGATTGAATGAACTAAAACTGTTTCAAAATTCTAGTGGAAACAGGCTGCTCATCTCAATACAAACCTACAAATCAAAACCTTTGTAACAGAATGGTTTCAATAACAAAACAAGTTTACAACAGAATTCGAAAGCACCTGAGCAATAACAATAATACAATTATTCGCCTCAGGCTCGGGGAAAATTTTTTAATAACCCCCTCGACTTCATCTTGGGGATTGTTCACCAATATTCACTTCGCCTTTGGCGAATGATAATTATACAACTGACTATGTGAGGGGATATTATAATTTTAAAACAACCTAATCAATGACAAAACTGTTTCCTAGATAATTCTCCGCCGTTACCGGAGTTAATGAGTGTTCTTTTGTATTCGCATTATAGCAACTTATGACATGGAGTTCCAAACCGAGGACAACGCCCTAAGGGCGACTGTCAGGGAGATACCTGAGTTACAAGCTTTAACCCTGTGCTTTTGGATTCGTCTTCCTCAAGGTTACAAGACAACACGTTTTGCCTACCCCATAATCGATTACAAAACTGGAAGCAATAGACTTGAAACAGTCACGGTGTACTTGTCTGAAAACCATGAGACAAAAGATATCAAACTGGAACTGACCTTTATAGTAGGAGGAGGGGAAACGTAAGTGGAAAGATTTCTTTTCGATGCACAAACTTGCTTGCATTGAATACTTTATGTACCCAAAGTAGCAGTCGAAAATCCCATATTTGAAGAAGAATGCAGAGCAGAACGGTGCGATCCTCAGTCCGCAAATCTTAGGTCTTTTGTACAGCACAGTAGAGGAGTGACCTATTTTAGCTCTTAGCAGAAAGCATTATTCTCGAGCGGAAAACTGGGGTTCAGTATAATAGCGAGCTCAATAGGGAAGAGTTTCCAGAGGCAGATAGCAATCTGGGATTCAGAGTTCTTTGAATTCCCTGGCGCATAATTTTTTTTGTAACATTTTTCTTAAAAAAGAGCACTTTACAACTGATTGCTAGCGATCAACATTTATCAAGAGTGGCCGCATCCGCCACACAATCGAAGTCCGAGGCGAAAGAGCGTCTTCGCGTCTGTGTCGTTTACAACTTTTCATCCTCGTTTGGCAACATTGTACCCTCGACATTGATGATCCTAGCGGTACACAGTACGCGTGTCGCAAGTGAAAATAGTATCGCCTTAAGTCACCAACGAGTTCTCTGCTTTTCAGCGATGGAGGTCTGAGACTCGAAGCCTCGTGAGGGATGGTAAGCTCGTGTCAAAAAAGGAATGCATTCGTTCTTTAGATGTCGATCGAGCTCGAAATCGAATTTTCTCATCAATCCTAGAAATTTGCAGGAAGCCACACATGAACCTTGTATACTAGCCTTTCTCGCTCAAAGGCTGGAGATCTTTATACTTTTTATTTACCGTCTCCCTTCTTTTCTCTTCCCTTGCTGCGTTACCAATTATTAATTTATGTAATGTATTAATCCAGGTTACCAGTAGACGTCTTATCAGATCAAAACTGGCACCAGATCTGCATTTCGTGGGCAGGCCACAGTGGGGTGACCATACAGTACCTAGATGGTGTGCGCAAGGTGGCCGACACTCGACACATAGGAACCTTGGAGGGTGGTGGAAGGCTGACAGTCGGTCATCACACAGAGTATGTTTATCAAATAACTGGCTTACATCTCTGGGACAAGGTGATTCCTCCCGAAGAGATCGCTGAGTTTGCCACAGCGTGTGAAAAAGGAAATGGAAACGTAAAAACCTGGGCAGATTTTTACGATCTTGCGGTGGAAGAAAAAATCAAAATTAACACGCCTTCAAATTGTCGGGTGAGCCCAAGTGATGCTCAGTAAAAAGTATGGAAAATCTTAGCTTATATTGTCCCAGGTCACATTCAGAATAAAAGTCATTTGACGTCATGGTATGTTTGAGTCTGCGTTATCTTACTTGGGTGATTACTTTGATACGATGGAGAAAAGCTGGGACCCAGTTTAAGGATGGCTTAGGCGCTGAATCAAAAGAGAGTCAAAATAGTACGATGGTGAACTCAAGGACATACTGTGTGGAATATTTAGAACAACAGTGATTGCACTTAAAGCTCATCCTGTGATTCCAAGAAACAGAATTGAGCCGTCATCCCCACAGAAGTCCTCCCCAATAAATCTGCCAAATTTAGTGAGATGCACGCTCTTCCCAGACTCCTAAGGCCGCGCTAACCCCACGAAATTTTCATATCCAGTCCCAGCATTACTCGTTTCATGTTAAACATATCCACGAATAAAAAGCAAAGAGCCCTTAATTACTGTAAGGACCTCGAATTCGTTAAGTAAGACTGGTAAATTTGCAGGTCTTCTGTACTTATCAGCTCGCCAAACGTCTTAAAAGCTTCGATTGAAGTTATCAAGTTCACTATTCGTTTTCAGTGCCTGAGAGCTCGAACCCGTGCTTTTGCGTTTGCATGCAATCCTCACTAATTTAACTCATTTTACTTTATGTTTACAATATCCCGTGTGACAAATAAACGTAGAGATGCTCGATTCTCTGGTTTAAATCATAAATTCTCGATCTTTAAACATTACATCGACGCGTAATTTGCGAGTTTCGATAACAGTTTTCGATTTGACGAAAGTGAACGCTCGGGGAAAATTCGCGATGTGTGACATAAATAACTTCTCCCTCGACTAATCATTCTTAAGAGTTTCTTCCACAAGTGATCATTTCTTCAGCGTCCGTTGTTTCTCTGCATGCTCGACAGTTTTCTCTTCCACATAGAGTCCTTTCCTTCGCCGAACGCTGTTCATATATTTTCGGGCTTGATTTTCTGAATCAGCTTTCTCACCGAAATGTGTGTATTCCTCCTCTGTTGTGGGAACCCAAAACGGGTCAATATCAACAACCTGCGATGAAAGAAGCAACAAGGATCAACAAAATTACTTCATTAAAATCAGGATGATGACTTTTTCTGACCCTTAAGCTTTCTCCAACCCCCCACCCCCTCCTCCCACGGCATTTTGTCAAGCTTCCCTGACAGTCCACTAGCACCCCTTAAACTCCAAGGTGGAGAGGGGCATCATGACGGTAATGGTCTTGTCCAAGAACACAACACATTGGGCGAGCCGGGGCTCGAGCCAGACCTCTCGAGTGAGTGGCCTTTCGTAGAGGTTTGACTGTATCAAATAAAGCCTTCAATATACAATGAGGTTCTACGATACCACCAGAAACAAAGTACTGAAATTCTAACCTCCCAATGGCTAAATACAAGCTGTGGATTCGCCAGTCCGCTTGTCCGCTTTCTTATTTCTTCCGCAAATCCAAAACTTTCCGCTACCGGAAGTACGGCTGTGACGTCAAACACGTCTGAACCTTCCTTCATTTCCTCCTTCAGTACCCGTCCCTCCCGTTTGGCTAAAACCGCGTACATTCGTCCCAGGACCTCCGCTGTCGTTTGAATGTCACATGTGTACATAGCTGCCATGAGGCGAACTGGCTGAAGCAAAAAAGCGCGCCTACAGCCTTCCTTGACGGCGGACATCAGCTGTCCAGAAAATGGTCCGAACCTATCAAGTCTTTGTGATGGAGCATTTTTCGAGCTGCTATTTTCAGATTCTGTGGAAAAATTATTCGGATACTCGATCTTTTCACCGCTCATTTCGTTAATTTTTTCATTGTCTTTGCATGCTTCATTTTCGTCAGTATTCCCGTCAACATTATAATCTTCCTTGTTCGATACACGTTCCTGCCCTAAAGTCTTTCCTCTGCTCATTCCAGTGATACCAAGGGTGTTTGAACCAGCCTCCAATGAAATCCAATTTTCTACGACAAAGCATACTCCCATCAAGGGTTCCTCGCAGAGCGGACCAGCTAGAGTTGCCAGCTGAAACCCACTGACGATACTGTTATCATATTCGCGGTAACTGATTTCTGATGATGGACAAGTGCTTCCTGTTGCGACCAAAAATATATATAAAAGTCACTGCAGTCGCCTTTTCAACATTGCAAAAGAGTGTTGTAATTTAGCCGTGTTTTACTACTTTTCTTCGCCGTTACACCAGAACTTCAACTTACTTTCCGATTGTGAAAATCATCAACAAAAGAACTGTAAGACAAGCAATATAAGAACGCTTAAAGGTGTGACAATTTTTTTTTAACAAATTATCTCCCTTGAACAAGCAAAATACAAGCACACGGCTATTTGCCAGCGGACCATCGGAGAATAACAATTTCTTATAATGATGATCAAAGTTGAAAGCATTCAACTTGCTTTATTTAGATCGCAAAGGAAATCAACGTCAACAAGGAAATATGTCAAACACTGAGCTCATAAAGTAGAAAAAGGAAGGGAACACAAAACAATCAGTCAAAAAGTCCAACTTACCAAATAGACCTGAACTTTGCCACATGGAAGGTCGTTTGTAGCCTGGTATTCTATTCAGCAAAACATTGCTACCAATTCTACGTGGACCAAAAGCCCAGATATCATCCGCAGCTCCATCCCACATAGTTCCCGCTTCTTTAAAAGCAATGCAGAGCTCTTCATAGAAAGCTTTCAATGCTTCTCTGGTAGGAAGTTTAACTTGATCTACCAATTGCTTCCGTTCTGCTAAGCTCGTGGCTGATGACAGTGTCACTAAGATTTTTATCAAATCACTTTCCTTCTCAAGTAATTGCGTAACATCGTCAGGTAAAGGCAAAGCCCTCACTTGGACACTACAGAGTTTGTTGGCCGTCTTGATTTCAATGATTCCTCTGTCTTTATCCAAGACGTTTTTATCACTTTCCTCTCCTTCGATGTCGATTTCTTTCGGCTGGGTCGAATTCGTTTCGCTGATAATAGCTTCGTTGACCCTATCTACAGTGGGAGGAACAACGATGGTTTCTCTGAACGGAACGATAGGCGCTGATACATTAAGTTTAATGCCAGCAAAGAGCTTCTCTAGGTCATCAATACACCGCTGAAGATGAACTTCCCCAGCGCCCACGATCACATGCTCACCTTAAACGAAATAACAAAAGATTTGTTTTGTGCTTAATATATGATGTATGGAGCTGATAATAATAATAGCAGCCTTACAATATCAATAGTAATGGTAATAATCAAAATCGTAAAATATTAATTATAATTCTAATAATGGTATTAATTCATTAAAAAGTGGTAATAATAACAGACAGACTTCACGACTTCTCCGTTCCGTACGGTTTGGTCGTTTTTTATAGCTTTTCCCTGCCGTTGAGGCGTTCCACTACAAAAAAAAAACACACCCTAAAACAGCAAAATCAAACTAAAGTGATGCTATGAGGTCACAAAAAGCTGGTCGTAATAATAAGGGAGGTCTGGTATGTCTTTTAATGGTTGCGACGCGTAATTGGCTCCTGTGTGGGAGACTCGTAATCCTATTGGTTAGTGTGCTTGGCTGCCGATCGATGTAATTGGCCTCTAGGATCCTGACACCAAGAAAACTTACCAGTTTCCTGCACTAAAGTTTCAACACAAGGATCCGCCTGGTTAAGTAGTCTCATTCCCCTTGCGAGCGCGGGCATGTCAGCCGGGTGAACTGGCTCTACTGCGACGCGAACAATGGGACGAGCCTCGATTGGAAGAGCAGTGAATGGCGGACAGGTAGCAGTGCTGGAAATTGTAGCAGACTTGAGCACGTGACTCTCAAGGCCACCAATCCCCAGGACATTCCCGGCCGGAACAGAGTCCAGAGCTTCGAGTTCTCGTCCCATGAGTAAATAGAGGTCTTGCACGGCGAAGGAAGCCATATGTTGATTTGTACCTCGATCAACAGACTTCGCCACTGAAAGGCCCTCCTTAGCCTCTTCTTTATTACTAATTAAAAAACGAGAGATGAAAAAAGAGAGCAAAAAATACGTAAGAAATCTAATAAAAGGTAAGTAACAGACGACTTTCTACAAAGACAACAGAATAACTACTTAGATTCTAACGTAAAGTATAAAACGCATTTGACTGGCATCGCATTCAAGGCCAAAGTGGCATGGACATTCTATATCTTTGAACACTTCACACAAGCGTGCTTATAAGAATTGACCTATTTTTAAATAAGCAAACCGGAATATTTCTTCTGACTCAATTGCCAAAGCTAGTAGCGCTAGCCTTGACTTATTAGTACTCTTGACGTTTCCGACGACCAAAGAACTTGTCAAAATAAGTTGCATAAAATAAAAAAAAACAGCCTATACAACGTGAAACCCTGTACCTGGAAGCGTCAGATTGGCCTTGGTCCTCGAGCGGCACCAATTGTTTATCCAGGCCCTCTCGTGGATCATGTTTAGGGCCCAGCACGTACAGCCGCTGACCCTTCTTGATGGTCCCGCTGTAAACCCGTGCGAATGCTAGCACGTGACTTTTCGGAGTCTCTTCATCTTCGGTGAGCTTTAAAACCTCGGTGCTTTCGTTCTCTTTGTTTTCTTTACCTGCTGCTGGTTCCAAATTAAGAGGAGTGCCATTTTCTAACCCAGCATTATTTGCCATCATCTCAGCATGTCTTTTTCGCGCTTGCTCGCGTCGAGCAGCAATTTCTTCTTGAGTCAGTGGCCTTAAAAGTGAATATAAAGTTGTGGCATTTGTGGCAGAATACCTCAAAAGCGTTCGTCAGGCAAATAGCTGGACATTTCAGTAAATCTTGGAGATTTCATGGAAAAAATGTAACAAACGTCAAATAATAAAGTATTAGTTCACCTCTTACGATGCTTGGGCAGAGCACTATCTTCGACAGCAAACATTTTAGAAACAAAGACTATAACTGGAGCATCGTCTGAAGACCTGCAGGTCAGAAAATCTGAAGGAAAAAAGAAAACGTATGCCATGGAGCATTTCAGAAAACAGCAAAACAGTTCTTGGCTGACTATCAGAACTGGCGCCGTGTGGTCAAGGAATGGATAACCACAACAGGGCCAGCAGAGTAGAAATTCTAGACGCATAGACGCCCAGAAACGAGAAAGACAACACCAAGAGAGCCGTATGGCTGTGGACTACAGAGGGAAGGTAAAATGCATCAATTACAGCTACTGCAAACCAGCCAATCACAAAGGGGAATAACCATAATCAAAAAAAGAGAGAGAGAGAGGTAAAGAAAACACTCACCATTTTTCAAGCGTTGTGTCTCCTCAGGTAAGGAATCAAAAGTCCTGAGCCCACTACACATCAGCTTTTCCACTCTCTCATCACTAATCTCCTGCGGATTGGGAAGCTTCTCCACCACCACAGTCAGCATGGAGCGGGACAGAGGCAGCCACTGATCAAACAGAGCCTTGAGATGTACACGGCTGTCTGTGTGCCGACTGTCTCGGGCTGATATTTTCAGATTCAGCGATTTGACTATCTGTTCCGTTTTAATTTTGTCCCTGTGAAGGAAGTCCACCAGAATTTCACCTGCTCGATTGGTGCTATAAACTTAACGCTATTTCTCTCAAAGGCAGCCTTACCCGAGAGTGCGAAAAATGCATATCTGAACGATAATTTTCGGTCATTTTCAAGTTCAGCATGATTGAACTAATTGCTCCTCCCCCCTGGAGGGGAAGGGAGACTAAGTGGCCTTGTGATTAGTTTGCTGGACTCCAAGAGGTCTAGGTTCAAAACCTGAGCAGGTCATTGTGTGTTCTTGGGCAACACGCTAACTGGTAACTCCCACAATACCTCTCTCCACCAAGTGGTACAAATGAGTACCAGCAAATTGTCAGGGAAGCCTGATGAAATGCTGGAGACGTAACTTTGCAATTGACCATCATCCCATCCAGGGTGGAGTAGTAATACGTCTACTCGCTTTGCGCCATGGAAACTGAAATAAGCTCCAGCTGGGTGTGTTAATTGGCTTGAGTACAGACTTTACCTGCCTACCTACCTAACTGAATGGGATAGTTATCCTGCAGCATTTTGCCAGGTTTTCCTGACAATTTTTCTTTACCCATTTAGACCACTGGGTGGAGTGAGAAACTGTGACAGTAAAGCGTTTTATTCAATTCAACAAACAAGTTACCAAGACCCAGCAAGGTCTTGAACCTAGAGTTCATTGCATATAATGTGTTAGGCCATCACGACACCTGCTACCAGGGTCTCGCTAACAAGAACGTACACAATCATCATCTGAGGAAAAATGCCTTAATTAATATAAAACCAAATTATGGTGAATACTAAAAAAAAAAGGAAATTTACTGACAAAAGTGAAGAGAACTACTGGTACATGTATCTTGAATGTGTGAGGATTACAAGATTAAACTTACTTTTTCAGCACAGCATCATAGACAGCCCAAATGTTCTCCAGTATAAACTGAACAAACAGTGGCTTCTTTGCTTTAGCTTGGGCACCTTTTAAAATCCTTTTGGATTTGTTATGAAGATAGAAGTCACCCCACAGGGTGTAGGAGAGAATGTGTTTGTTGATACCAAGTTTATTAGCATACATTTCCGCAAAGTCATCAATGCTAGGAAACAAATGTATCATGAATCAAAAACATGACCAAGGCAAGTGTTCAAATGTCAAGGCATTTACGTTCTTCAAAAAAATTCATACAAAGTTAGAGTTTAAACTTATTTTGTTTTTCATAAAGGAGAAGAAATAAATAGCTACACAAAATGAATCACGAAGGAAGGATTAATACTATGAAAATCAAAGCCTGCTTCTTAACCTAAAGATATAATTATAATTTATTCCTGAAAATATAGTAACGAAATTTGAGTATGAAATAGTCATTAATTTTGAGAAAAAAATGTTGTGCTACATTAGAGGGCAAGAGAAATGATTAGTTAATGATCGAATATAAGTTGGTATGAGTAGGTAAACCAGTTTTAAAAAGCTAACCTTTTTGAGCCATAGCCCTTCTTGAAATGTCAGTTTCTCAATAATTTTTCAGTGGTTTAACTGTCTTTATCAAAAAATAATTGATAACCGACCTCCTTATTGCGCAAAAGGTTTTACTGTCATGCTACTGCACCACCTGTCGTCAACCTTACCTGAAACCCCACCCATCAATTGCACTTGTAAAGAGAACATTTCCTAAGTCAGGTGAGAAGTATAAAGATGAATCATCTGTTTCTTCAAGACCTGAACTCCAGTCATCAATGGACACAGCTGCATCATCTGTAAATTTCTTTTCATTCTGGGGCTTTCCTTGTGCCTGTTTAGCAGAACTTTTCTCTAAAACCTCAGTTGTGAAGAGAGCAGCTGTTATGGCGTTAACCTGAGCACAAGATGACAAATTTCAAAGAGGTTAGTTACAATTAACTAGATCTTTCACTCCCAGGAATGATGGAGTTTTAATTTCTCCTTACAATATCACTACGAACAATATCAAGCAACTTGGTGATATCAGAGTAAAGACACATATCAATTAGCAGATATCTGATTCAACACCAAATTCTCCAAACTAGCATCATAAGATATGGGTGGCAAACAATAAGGGGAATGATGATTGAAATCTTGAAAGTGAGAGCCTTACAGGTAAAATTTTCTGTACATTGTAAGCCTGTACAGTATTTAACAAAATAAACACTTAATCTTCACATTATTCAATGTGATAAATTTAATGTTAACAGCAAACAGGGGAGGGGTGCTAAAAAGATTTTCCCTTCAAAGTAATTTCCTCCAAAAATGTTTCCTAATTAATGTGGTTCAAATGTACTCAACATCAACTTTCTCAAATTCGAGGAAATACATTGGCAAAACCAAAGGTTATTTGTCATCAGCATGTTCCTTAACTCACCAATCCCTAAGAGTGACTTGAATCTAATTTACCCACACAATATCACCCCTGAATCAAATGTTTAGGTCACAAGAATAGACAAAATGATAACCAACAAAAGCAGGTCTTGATTGTACAACAAATTCTCCTTGCCAGCACCTTAGGAAATGTATAGAGAACTGTATGGAGAATATGAATGCTGATGTAAGGGTGCATGGTGCTGTAAAATTAAGTAAAAAAATTTGTCCATGTCAAATACTTAGCATTATCATCTTCAAAAGCTTCTTCACCATTCAAAAATAGTTCCCCTCTTTAATTACAAGCAGCTATATAAGTTGAATGTTCTAGCTCCAAAGTAAGTTGTAGAATAATGTTATCAACTCAATAATCATTGTTTTCACCTTTTCTAGAATCTGCTGTAAATGAAAGTAAGCCTCTGTTGGAGAGTACTTCAGTTCAGTAATCAACCTGTCAATCTTGTTCATAACCAAACAAGGGCGAATATTCTCCAGCCAAGCTTGACGCAACACTACATGAGTCTGTGAAAGTCAGGGTCAGAGATCGTCAAATATAGTAAGGCTTGACTGACTAAAATTTAACACTACATGAGTCTGTGAAAGTCAGGGTCAGAGATCGTCAAATATAGTAAGGCTTGACTGACTAAAATTTATATTTCAAGAATTTAATGAACTAGTGAGCTTGAGACTTCTATCACATGATACAAGTTGGTTGGAAAATTAAGCCATAGAAAAATGGCAACAGTGGAGCCTACAAGCCAAGTATGTAATTTACAAGTAGTGTATGAATAAAGAAATAAATATTAAATGGATAAGTAAACAAAACATAAAAAAACTGTTTCTAACCTGAGGGGAGACTCCTTCAACAACATCTACTACAACAATTGCACCATCACAAAGGCGTACCGCTGTTGACACCTGTAAAATATTTAATATATTCAAACTAACAGACATCCATCAAACATTTTTCAAGAGGCTGAAAAGTAATCAGGGTTTGGTTTGATTTGGTTTGATTTCACTTAACTTTGCTCTGTGACTGGTCCAGAAAACTCACACCATCTTCTCAATAAATCAGATGCAAAACTAACAATCAAAATTTGGTCCTGTTTTTCTTTGCTTATTTTCACTTTAAATTCTGATTGGCTAACAATGATGTAAAACTTTGCTCTGATTGGTTGCTGGGATTACTTAAGGTTTGGTTTTTTAAACACTCAACTGATAACTGATGTAATTGTACTTTGATAATTAATTAATGACCTCTCAGTATTAAGATGTAGCAAAGTAAAGTTAATACAGACAAAGTTTCTTGTTGATCTTAACTAAAATTAAATCACTTAATTGAACTTACCTCACTAGAAAAGTCCACATGTCCTGGTGAATCAATAAGGTTTATTATATACTCTTCCTCACCTGGAAAATAAATTAAAGAAAATAAAAAAATAAGAAAAAATAAGAAAACTTATCATAACCATTATTTACATTGTACAACATGTAATGACTATCATGATGACACTAAATCAACATCTATTTGATTTATCATCTGATGACAAATCTAATAGAATTGGATAAAAAGACATCTGAGCTTGTATCACGAATGCATTTCTTTTGCATTCTACCAACCCTGATAATTAACTCTTTAACACCTAAACATCAATAAAATATCAAGAAAACAAGTGATGAGAAAAAAGACAAATGTTAACAAGGGGATTATTAGTTGATCCATTACCAAATTCTCCAGACTAACATCATAAGAACTGTTTTGTAAGCAGTAAGGAGAACCACTGATGAGATCTTGGAAGTGAAGGGGTAATAACGTAGAGGAAAGTTAGGGAAACCACTCACTATCTCAAACATTCACATGAGGTGATACAAAATGTGTGATTTGCGACATGATACTCTTGCACAAAACCAAAATTTGGGGTTGTTGCCTTCATTGCCACTTTGTCAGCACCCAATTTATTTTCACACACAACAAGACAGCACAAAGTGAGCCTTTAGCAATGAATAGCATTGCATCTGCACATAAGTTTGATGCTCATTTGTAAGTCAGATAGAGGTACTGACAACCTATTAAGCATGATTAACATGAATTGGAGTGCCACTGTCATAGTATGAAAATACACATTACCTTTGGTAAAGAGTAAGGATATAGCACTTGATTTCATAGTTATTCCTCTAAGTTGCTCATCTTCACGGCTATCCATATATCTCAACTAAAAAAATCAAAATAAGTTAGTCAAAAAAATCTCCCCACTAAAAGCCCCAATTCCTTTGTTCAATTTTACAGCTAATATACACTGAATTGATGCATCAGGGTTATCTCTGTTGTAGATGGGTACACTTAATCCCAGTGAAGAAAATCTTAGGATGGGGGTTCACTGACACCTCACTCTTGATAAGGGGGGGGAGGGAATAAAGCACATGAAAAAGTGGGGGGGGGGGGGGGTTGGGTATGACTACTACTCTTCTATGTGATTCCTCATTTTACCTAACAATCAGAATATTTACGGGCAGAATAATTCATTCTTAGCTCAGCATTGAACCTTATCCACCCTAACATCAGTATCCATATTCTCCATATTTTTTTCAACATTTCCTTTGGCACTGACGAGGATAATATATTTTAACAATCAAAGCATCTTAGGTTGGCGATCATTTCATTAATTCTCATGATCCTACTGAATGTTTCAGATGTATTAATATAAGGAGAAATTAGACGCTGATCACCATTAGGTTTCAAATGGTTATTAACTAAATAAAAGGTACTTTGTGTTTTATCTTACTTTGCCTGCCAAACGTTGTGAAATGATCCCATTACTGGCCACCAGTGCATCCGCAATCGTTGTCTTCCCTAGAAGCAGATCGATGGACGACATGAACAACTGAAATATCCAAGGGCCGGCACATGTTCGTAACATGTTTATTGCCGTAATAAATACTTAAACTGAACTCACTCACCATGATCCACATGGGCCAAAATACATATATTTCTGATATTTTTCGGATTTCTTTGAAGTTCAGAAAGACGCTGTGGTGTCGTGGTCCTCATGATTTCAGTTGTTGTGATATACAACGAAAATTATCACTGTGTTTTTCACAGTCTAATCGCTTCTCTGTAACATGTTGTGGTGCAATTTTGAGTCCGCAAATTACCAGAGGCTTTGCGCCAAGAGTATGAGTAGTACGGTTTAGTGTCCAATCCTACGACCGCGCAACGTGCACTGTCATTCTTTATCAGTTTCTCAAAATGGTGGGTAAAATTTTACAAGTTCCTTTTCTCTTTAGTTTTTTTTCAGCTACGTGAAAACGAATAATTCTTAAATATTTTAATTCATTTGTGGCTTCTTTCCGGTATCATTCATGTCGATCTTAGAAGGCGCTCATTTAGCTTCGCTTTGCAACTTGCATTGTAGTGTGGGAAGAGTGTGGTTGAAGCATCTCAAATTTTATTAATTTTATTTCAGTCTCGGCGTTATGATACCAGGACGACGATATTTTCGCCCGAAGGTAAGAACTGAGAAGATTTGATTTTTAATTTGTTTTTCAGTACATGTTTTACACCCTTTCCATGTTTGCAGAATTCTAATCTAACTGCAAGGTAGTGACAAGAAATTTGCGTCTTTGTTTCACCTCTAGTTCGACTTCATTAGACCTGACACGGATTTGTTGATAAAATTTGTATCTACATGCATTTTACATTGAGGGAATGGCAAGATTTCCTTAAAATCCCATACCTCATTATGCGTGCGGTTTGTTGATGAACGGAAAGAATGTAGACTGTACGTGATCTGTTACTGTGCAGACCCACGGCAACATAGAATCTAAAGTTCAGTATTTCATTCAGTTTGTTCTCTTTGCAAACAGGGCGACTATATCAGGTGGAATATGCTATGGAAGCTGTAGGTCATGCTGGTATATGCCTTGGAATTTTGGCAAATGATGGGATTGTTTTAGCAGCTGAGAGGCGAAACACTAATAAACTTCTTGATGAAGTGTTTTCTTCCGAAAAGATTTACAAGCTTCATGAGTAAGTTCAGGAAAAGAGATTGATGAAAGTGACCAATGCATTTGAAAATAATGTTTTTTTGCAACATGCAAGAAATATAGATAAAATAGGTAGAGTTGCTGTCTGCAGGAAGGCTTTGGTTTTTGGTATGGGAACAAGTGAAATTTATCTGGGTCTAATTAATGTAATTATTAATGGTTTCATGAAGCATATGATCAATAAGCAGAACTTCAAAAGGATAAAGAAGACATTTAATGTTACAGCTCAGTGTCCTTCAACTTAAGCTTCCTCAATTCCATATCAAAACTCTAACAAAGCCATGAGACTTGAGGACAAAGGAAAAAAAATGTGGACATCTGTTTGACCATACCTAGCTACCTGCTGTATATACCTTTTATCCTTCACACCCATTAGTACAGATTGTAACTGTAACAGGTTGCAAAGGGAAATATCAGAAAAAAAAGCATGTTAGTCACATTGGGGAGATAAAGGTTGAAGTCATAAAAATTGTTTTTCACAGTCTATGTGATAAGAGAAATTTTGATGAATTTTTTACCATTTCAGTGACTTGGCATGCAGTGTTGCGGGTATAACATCTGATGCTAATGTGCTGACAAATCAACTTAGACTCATAGCTCAAAGGTAAATTTTATTGTATGTAAGAAGTTCAATAGATATTTTCTAAATTTTTTTTTCACTCTGATCTTGAGTGTTTAATTGGACAAATTACATTTACATTTGTTCAGAAGGTAGGGGTCATTATGTGTCCTTTGATTTATCATACTTTTTTTTCTTAGATATTTATTACAATACCAAGAACCAATACCATGCGAGCAGGTTGTCAGCTCACTCTGTGATGTAAAACAAGCCTATACACAATTCGGAGGTTAGTTTTAATTGGTATTAAAAGACTTAGTTAATAGTATTGGAGGGTAGGCTCCACAAAGGTTTCAAAGGACATCAAAGGGTAGCATTCTTATCAGCAGCAGGGAGATGACCATGGCAGCTGGCCTACACCATCCTGCAAGCACCTGGCATTACAACACAGACAAACCAGGGTGTGGAACAAGTGCTTACCAAGATTTTAAGGGGCAGGACAGGGAAAGAAATGAAGCCAGCCAAGTACTAAAGCAAATTGAGGAAGTCAATGGCACTGCTCTTGCAAACCTCCAACCTCCAAGTTGTGTTTATAGAACTGTTCCTTTTTTCACAAAACTGGGTTTGAATTTCTTGATATTTACTGTCCAAATAGCTTGTTTGTGACTCTTGTGGGAAAAACTGCTTGAAATTTGTTAAAAAAAGAACATGAAAAGCTGCCTTCAAAGCTGATTTTGTTCATCATGCCTGCTTGAGGAGCCAGTCAGAAAATAGTATTCACTAAAACACTTGCCAACTTGTGGATCCTGCCATGTAATAAATTTTGTCCATGCCTGCAGGTTTGCGACCATTTGGTGTATCCATTTTGTACATGGGCTGGGACAAACACTATGGCTATCAGTTGTATCAGAGTGATCCCAGTGGCAACTACAGTGGGTGGAAGGCAACATGCATAGGAAATAACAGTGTGGTAAGTCATAATTCTTTTCTGTGAGGAATTGTGTATCATTACAAGTTGTTCACTGCCAAGATTTGAAAGTCAAATCTTCTGATTGGTGGCCTTACATTTCTTTGGTAACTACTGTAGGCCTATGCTGTATGAATTTGGGGTCAAATGCAAACAATTTCCCTTAGTTAATCATGATCTTAGAATTTCTCACTACCTGCCTAATTGACAATTTACAAACTGTTCAGAGAACTTATACATACATGTAAATCACTTGGGTGTGTAAGGGTTATTACAGGATGCACTTGTAGGTGAGTGGTATTTTAGAAAGAACTATAATCTATCATCAGTCTGTAAATTTTCTTTAGTTCTCAAGAAAGGGGTGGCTTTCAAATCAATCAGATTCAAATATTTCAAAAACAACATAAAACAATGCTTTCCTATGATTCTATCAGGCTGCAGTCTCCATGCTGAAACAAGAATACAAGGAAGAGGAAATGACATTAAAAGATGCTCTGAAACTGGCAGTCAAAGTGCTAGACAAGACATTAGATATTACAAAACTTACCCCTGACAAAGGTTAGTGTACAGACTTAACAAAAAAAACTCAACAACTTACTGTACCTGAAATAGAGTTGAACATGTAAAATGTAACTTCCATCATTTTGTACTGGTTAGATATTTAGTAAGTTTACATTTCAAGTGTGTTTTAATGTTCAGTTTGCTAGATCATTTTTTACCACTGCAACTTTCAACTTAAATATACTGCTATAAGTTTTTTTAGAAAGTAAGTCTTGCACTTTTCTGTGTTGATAGCTACAATACCTCACCAATGAGGATTTTTTACTAATTTTAACATCTTCTTGCCTTGTAGTGGAAATGTCCACTTTGACTAGGGAAAATGGCATTACAAGCATCAAGATTCTAAAAGCAGGGGAAGTGGAAGAACTTATCAAGGAACATGAACAAGTGAAAGCAGAAGAAGCAAAGCAAGCTGCTGCCAAGAAATAACTTGAGCTTTAATTTATGAAATCCACACTTCAGAATAAATGTTATTCATTATAAGCAAATTCTTGTAGACAACTTGAGCTTTAGACAGACAAAGAATATCATACAGATATCAAGGTCAAAACCTTGCCAAAGTAGCAAATCCCAGTTGTGACTTTTTTTCAACCTTTTGACCTTTTGTCACAGAAGGTATATTCAGGTAAATTCAGATATCAAGCCTGATGATGGAAAACATGTAACCCTTAAAATCCCTATAGTGACCAGCATCTAATTTCTCTCTACAGTGATACTGCTCAAACATTCATGAAAATCATGAGAATAAAGGAAATGATCACCAAGTTAAGAAGCTTTGATTGTTGAACTAATTCTCCTTGTCAGTACTAAAGGAAATGTATAGAGAACAGTATGGAGAATATGCATACTGATGTTAGGGTTTTGAGAGTTAACAGTATAACATTGTAAAGCAAAGGGAAGAAAGAAAAGAAATCATGGTTCAAGATTGATATTCATCATACTTTTCTCCTCTTTGGGAAGTGAAAAGATTGTATGAAGGGCCAGAAAATGTGCTTCTGATTGAAGGCTCTTATTTTCTTTAAGGAATTTTGCTAAAATAGGTACAGCAGAGGAAGACTTGTAAAATGTAAGATTGCAACTTTTGAGGATTTCATTACTGAGGTTTATTAGGCTGTAAAAAAGGTCATTTTGCATCTTTACCCGAGTGTGTTACATGTACTTCATCTGAGTATTTGTCATGTTTTAAAAAGTGCACTATTTCAACAGATTGACTCTTCGCTATTTTGAAATATCAATAATGCAGCTTCTTTTGTTCCCTAAGAGATTTGGGTAAGCCCTGTTTCGATAGTTACTGATTAGTTTTGAGGTGTCAAGAGAAATAAGAAAATAATGCTCATGCAAAACTTTAGGGGAGAAACAGAATGACATTAGAATGAAGGAAAATAATGAATGGTGGACTGTTTAGATTTTGAGTTCTGCTTGTGAAGTGTAAGGTTCATTTGTACATAAATGTGTACTTGGTTACCTTTTTAGTCATTAAAATGAAATTTTTGTTTGCATATTTCGTCCAAAATGTTCAATAGAAAGAAACCATTCTCTGGAAAATATAAGGCAATATGGAGAGAAGAAGTTATTTGCATCTATCTAACTATTATCAACTTGCACTAGAATGCCTATGGGTTGGCCAAATCAGAAGGGGGCTCAGAATGTTTTTCTTGCCCCACACTCACAAAGAGAACATCTCTAAGACTTGTCTTGTTGGATTGGTATGAGGGAGGAAGACACTCTTTTTCTTGTCAAAATTTTCAACCTGAATGAAGTGGCTTCTATAAAATAAAAATGAGGAAACTTTGAACCCCAGAAATACTTTTGGGATGCAATGTGTTCCAAGGAGAAGGCCAATTGAGCACAAGAGAACTGTAAACAGCAATGGGGTTGTGTCCCCATGTACCGGTACACAAAAGAAGGAAACATTAACAAACTGCGTCATAACTCCATGTATGGTAATGAAAACAATAGGAATTCCCCCATGTACCAGTACACCAGGACAGCCCCAGCTATGGGTTCATGGTTTTCTTAGTCTTGCAGTATTCACATGTATAGTGTAGTTTGAATCTCTAGCAGTGGTCAACATTTTGGATTAATCTGTGGCTCTCTCATCAAGAAGATTTGACTGAATGAATATTAATTACTTTTCCTCATCGCTTTATTGGCAACCCCTTTGGCTCTTCTGAAATATTTAAGTGATGTTTCTGCCATTAAGGGAGATGCACAATATGAAGAAAATTTCAGTGTTCCTTACTGGCCATCTAATCAGGATTAGAGCAACTTTGGAGAATAGTTCTTGTACTAGCCCAGGTTTACCAACTTATTATCAGATTTTTCTTAAAAATCCACACAAAATTTGTTCCTTGGACAAATACTGCCAAGTACAACTGAGTGCATTGTTCTGCATGATTCACCACATAGTTTGAAATACCTACAGTTTCCAAACATGTACTTTGGGATCAATATTGATTGGCATACATCAACATTAAGGAATCAAGAGTGATCTTTTTAGGGATTAAAAGTTTATCACCATAAGCTGTTTTCCATTCATTTCCTACAGTTCCCACAAGGAGAACTTGTTTAACAGTCAGGTTGATGATCATTTCCTTTATTTTCAAGAACTTTATGTTTGATTACCAAGTGATGATGTGAGGAAGGAATAAAATGCCAGTCACTCCTAAGAGGTTATCAAGTTAACCATAATTTTATAAAAAAAACAAGGAGATAAACTTTTTCCAAGTTCACTACCTCATTTGAAGTCAGCCAACAAACACATATTTGTAAAGAACTGCATAATCATAATTACCAGCACTTTTATGCTCTTTGTTTAACCCTTTAACCTCAAAGACTGACTAACATCTAATTTCTCCTTACAACATCATCCCTGAATCAAACATTAAGGTTAGGAGAATGAAGGAGATGATCACCAATTAAAGAAGCTCTTGATTGTTGAACAAATTCTCCTTGTCAGAACCCTTGGAAATGTCTAAGGAGTAATATGGAGAATATGCATACTGATGTTAGGGAGTAAATGGTTAAATTCCACTAAATATCCCAGATCTTCAGCTTGGAAGGAATTATCCTGATTCGGTTGATGAAGTTAATTGAAACCTGATATTTTTTCTGACAAAGGGCTAACATTTGAAACTCTCTAAAGTGGCATATTTGCATGATCAACTCAGATGATAAAACAATAGCATCTGGTACAACCCCCACTGATACAGCACCACAGCGTTTTTAGAAATTTACCCTTTTCATTAATTTATAAAGTTTAGTTTGTTCTCTAAGATCATTTAAGATCCCATATTGTCTGAACAATTGGCTCCTTCTTAATCGACCTCAAAATCAAATAAGTTAATTCCTGATGTAACTGTGATACTTTTCCACAAAACAATTGAAGATCCCTCATTGTGTCGGTACATGTACCTGATCTCTTACTCATGAATATTTTAATACAGAAAATATCCTACATTTGATATCCTACAAAGAAAAGAGCTAATATATCGGCCAAGATATCAGAACCCTTTTTTTGTAAGGTAACAATCAGTCTTCGATTTCTTGCAATTTGTTCCTCTCTTCTAACAATTCTTTCTTCCGAATTTTTAAAACGTTCAACTTCTCTATGATCTCTTTCACCTTCATTTCAAGGTTGACAATGTCACAGCTTAGTTCAATGGCGCTCTGAAAATTCTTTTGACCCGTTTTTAAACAACCAGGAACCAAGATTCCAAACCATTTAAGGGGATCTTGAACACAACCATTAACATTTGCATCTTCTACAGGCAAGTTTTCCTCTTTAGAGATATATAATTCCTGGATACGCGACGTTGCTTCATCGCTCGAAGCACCTGATTTTTGAGGTTTCCTTCTTCTGACTACGTTTTCCTCTTCTTCTTTTTCATTATAACCAGTTTTTGAAGTACCCTTTGCTCTTCTTGGCCGTGCTTTCTCCATTTCGAACGTTACATCAGCGTTTTCGGACTCCTCTTTAGAAATGTCTCCAAATAAACTTACATGATACAGCGCGCAGTCCATTTTATCACTGTATTGCAAAGCACCCACGGATTTGTTTCCCATCGAATAACGGGCCTTTGACAGGTTTAGATATCCATCTCTTATTGAAGCATTCAGGTATTCCCTTTTCTCCTGAAGACATTCGAGATTGTCAAAAAATTCAACGGTTAACCGATCAAGTTCCTCACATATGTCCTCCATCTTGAAAAAATTATCGAGGGAGACTGAGTACGAGGAGATAGGACACCACATACTGCACTACATAAAACAATGCATTCCAGTGCATTTCCACTTGTCAGTGACTCTCTTCATTGATCGAACGCCTTTCTGACGGCTTTCGCAATCGTAATGTGACTGAATCTAAACGGTTGAAGAAAGTCGGTCCGAAAGTTAGTGTTAATGATTTTACTGATCATTTCACTACCCGTCAACAGCCGCTATCTACCTTTCAAGACAATTTAGATTGACACAAACTGAGGCCCACCGAAAGAGAAGATAGAAATCTGCGAAAGTCGATCACTGAAATTTTACAGTATCCTTCTGCGTACAGCCCTCCTCGTAAAGTTCTATGGATTTTTGATGCATCTTTACGCTTCTTTTTGATGATGAAACGGCAATGCAATGCCAAAAAAGGTGCTACTGAGCGGCGTGTTTACGTCATATCGATGGACTCAGCACACGTTTGTCGGTCAAAGATGAACATCGGTCCCGTATGGTGGGATTATTTTTCGAACATAAATGAATCTTTTTTGATCCAAGATGGGACGGGGCTTTGTCTAGTTAATATAAAGGTTCATATTTTTGGCCTCCACACTTGTTTGCCGTCTTTCATCGCCAGTCGATGTTGTGAAAAACGGCTGAGTTCCTTTTTGCTTGAAAATTTCTTAATTTTGCTCTATATATTTGGATTGACTACTTTTCGAATAGAAACAATTTTAAAGATTTTACTGTTGTGAAGATTGGAAACAAAATTGTGATATTTAAAAGACTAAATATCAGATTCCAGCGCGCGAGCTATCGAAGGTTTCCTCGGTTCTCATGACGAAAAACTCGTAAGAGATGGTTTCCATGGATTTTCGCTCAAAACAAAATCATTTGCTTCAGCTATCGGTGCAGTCAGTATCGAGGTTCGGAGCTTCGGAAATTTGGATTGTTCACAGTCTTATTTGAGAAAAAAAACACAACACAAACTAAAAAAAACAAATACTATAAAAACTAAACTGCAAAAACAAAACAAAACAAACTCTATTTGAGTTTTCTTCGAGCGGGAGAAAACCGCGGGTGAGACGCGATGGCTTCGTGGCTTCGCCCCGGAAAGAAAGGCAACCAAAAGCATATTCTTCCTCTGCAACTGAAATCAAGAAAATGCAGTGAAAATGTCAGAAGTTCATCGTCAAAGGACAAAGCAGATAAAACAGTGCGTCTGCAAAAAGATTTAGAAAGCAAACTTCAAAGCAAGCAATCATCGCGTATTCCGATTGCGGTGAATGGGAGGAAGACCAAAGTTGATTCTAAAGATAATATACCAATGAATTTCAAAACTACTCGAAGAGAAAAACCTTTTGGAGGAGATTCAGGTATGTTTATTTCCCAGCAGGTAGCCAGCATCAGTATTTTCACTGAAGTAATATATCGGAAATTGAAGAGATTTTATAAAACGGTTTCAGGCGAACGGCTGGAATCATTATATTGTCTGTATCATAACATACGCCGTAGGTAAAAAAAACAGCAACTAAGGTAAATTGGCGGAAACCGCGTTGTACAGGGCTGAAAATAGGTTATTTCAATGTTCTTCGATTTATAAAATTCGATGTGTAAGACTTGTTTTTAACTTTAAATTCCTATTTAATGTAGAAAAAGATTACTAATGTATTAATTGTTTCTCGTTTGTCATCACATTTCTATTCGTTTATTAGTTTATTAGCTCTTTGTTCAGTTTTCCATTTTTATTTTTATTTATTTATCTATTTATTTATTTACATATTTTAACTTCACCTGAATAAAGGTTATCCTCCAGTTGTTGAGATTTTGATCCAGAATTAAAAAAGCCTCTTTCGGCTGCTAAATTCATCAGCCATCTTGTTTATTTCAAGCCACTTAGTCGATGCTCGTTTGCACAAACTGGAGGCAAATTTCTGTTGTTACAGCTTCATGACATTTGCTAAAGAAACGAAAAGTTTGGACCTATCTTTTCTGAGGGGGAGCTAATTGATAATCTTGATTTGATCACAGGTATTAAACTACGAGAAACTCATAGTAAACAAGACAAGAAGACGGAAAGTACCACTCCTTCAACCACAGCTAAACAAAGTAGTTATAGGCGCGCTCAGAAAACGACGCCAATTGTCAGGCGACGTGTACCACGACAGCTTACACCAACAGAGACACAGTCGAAACAGGTAAATCTGGGAAGAAAATGTCATTTCAGTAAATACCAGAGGTGAAGTATTTCACAGTGACAACTGTCTCTTTTGGAGGGTCTGGAACTTACTACCGTGATCAACCTTTGTTTCACATCTTCGCGAATCAAGAATGTTAGGTTTATAAGGGATATCCAGAAATATAACAGCTGCAACAAAAACAACGCATTTTGTGCTTAAATAATCAGGTTTGCAAGGATGAGAAAGCATCGCGAGAAGAAAGCTCAGCAAGAGAGAAATCATCTGCAGCCAAGGCGGAAGAGGTCACGCGTGAGGTCACCACAGCTAAACAAAGCAGTTACAGGCGCTCTAAAAAAACGACCCCAATTGTCAGGCGACGTGTACCACGACAGCTTCCACCAACAGAGACAGAGTCGAAACAGGTAAACCTAGGAGGAAAATTTTATTTCAGGAAATGCCAGAGGTGAAGTATATCACAGTGACAACCGTCTCTTTGGAAGGTCTGGAACTTAATATCGTGATAAGCCATTGTTTCACATCTTTGCGAACTGAATTAGGAATGTTGGGTTTATGAGGAATATCCAGAAATATAACAACTGTAACATAAACAACACATTTTGTGCTTAAATAATCAGGTATGCAAGGATGAGAAAGAATCACGAGAAAAAAGCTCAGCTAGAGAGATATCATCTGCACCCAAGGCGGAAGAAGTCACACCAGATTTTGAATGTAATGTTGCACCTGTGCATGAGGAAAAGCTTCGTATGGGGGCCAAATCAGATTTCAGTGGTAACGAGATTGGCGGCGACTTTGTATGTTACTCAAAATCTAGCGACGAGAAAGCAATACCCGATGTGCCCCAATGGCTAACAGAGGAGTACAAGTTAGTGTTCATATCTGCTCTTTTTTTTCTTTTACAGTCCGTGAACTTTTGTTTCTGAATTTCATTTCTGGGGCCAGTAGGGTAAAGAATTTACATGATACAACATGTAGCTGTGCACACTTTCTGGTAATCAAAACTTACTCCATTCGGTGAAACATCATGGTTGTTATATCTAAGGCGTCTCAAAGTATATTTGTGTACTGGCCGCACTGCAATATACTTGTGAGGTCAATTTGTCACAATTGATTCAATAGAGAACACACTCTCAGGACCTCCGGAAATTGAAGCAAAATAATATTTACTATTTAGGTAGAAAAAGCGAATCGGGGATTTTTTGGTTTTATAATTCAAAGTTTCAGTAAACATGGAAGTGACGAGCTTTACGGTAGGAGAGTTTTCAAAGCCTAAAGGTTTTGCTAAGTTTTAAATTTCTTTAAAAGGTGATTTTTAAAGTTCCCGAATTTGTGATGAGGCATATGATATAAACTGAGAAGCAATTTGTCTGCAGAGACTTAAGTATAGTTGACCACTATGAATTAATTTTGTGCAGGGAGAGAGAAGAAGAACAGGAAAACATAAAACTCATTAAAGGTGACACCACTGTTACAAGCTCGGCACAAAATATCAGACTGGAAACAGAGTTTGGTACAAAGAACAAGATGGAAGAAAATGTTTTGAGTGAGGAAGAGTTGGACTGTAGCTCTTTCACTGAGTCCAGCGGATACCAACGGAAAATGGCTGAGCTGAACGAAAAATCCAGAAGGCTCAAGGCACAGTTTGCGAAGGAAAACAGACAGGCTGTCGAATCTACGAACAAGACAATGGAGGAGATCAAACAGAGCCAGGCAAGGGTAGATTGCATCGCAAATGAGATTGAGGAGATGCGACAGAGACGGGATGAAATAAAAGAAGACTTGAAACGCCTTGATGAGATCGGCCAAAGACGAGATCTCGAGGATAAAAAATGGAGAGAAAAAATGGACATGAAAAACAAGAAACTCGCAAATACACTGGAGAAGATAAGAGCCAAACGACGCAAATATCAAGAAGAGACGGGTGCTGAAAATGACTCAACAGAGGGGCATGATCAACAGGATAAGAATTCAAGTGAAAGTCCGGAGAGTGAGAAAAGCAAAGATGTCACCATAGGAAACGAAACCGTTATAAACGAAGACGTTGGTAACGAAGTGTTACGTGAGCCTCACCAGATCATCGAGTACAAAAGTGTAAAAGAGCTGGAAGAGAAGCGGAAAGAACTAAAGCAGTTGAAGAGACTGGAGAAGAAGGCGATTAGAAGAGAGAAGTTAGAACAGAGACAGCGTAAGAAGATCGAAAAACACAAACTTGAGAAACTCTCAGCTAAGAGTTCAAAGGTCTCGGAAGAAACTGCAGGAGTTGCTGAGTGTATAAATCAGGACATGGAGGCTACGAATACAACGGCAAAAGAGAAAAGTGCTGAAGCCCCGAAAGTAACTAGAATTAAACCATACGTCGACACCTCTTCACATATCGCAGAGTCCAAGCAAGTCCAGGCACCTTACTATTCTGGATTAATTACGAATGGTACAAAGAACAAGGTGGAAGAAAATGTTTTCAGCGAGGAAGAGTTGGACTGTAGCTCTTTCACTGAGTCCAGCGGATACCAACGGAAAATGGCTGAGCTGGACGAAAAATCCAGAAGGCTCAAGGCACAGTTTGCGAAGGAAAACAGACAAGCTGTCGAATCTACGAACAAGACAATGGAGGAGATCAAACAGAGCCAAGCAAGGGAAGATTGCATCACAAATGAGATTGAGGAGATACAAAGGAGACGGGATGAAATAAAGGAAAACTTGAAACGCCTTGATGAGAAATTAGGAGAGACGTTTGCTGAGGTTGATAGGCTTATATTGGGAGATACAGACTCTATGGTCGACGAAACAGCGGACAGCCAACAAAGTAACCCAAAATATAACAAGGAGGAGGTGCCTCGAGAGGATAACTTTGACTGTTTTCCTGATGAAGTTGAGGGAGACATGCACACAGAGGAAAGCAGGTCTCAAGTTTCACAGAGTGCTGAGAATGAAGACAACGAGAAAAATGTCCATGAATGCGATGCCTTACCGAGATATGAGCAATCGGTAGTAGCAGTCGTCAACATAACTGAGTATTTAATCCAACAAGAGTTGTCCAAGGCTTTGGAAACAATTATCCCTGTCAGTAAAAAAGAGTATACATCGCGATCGGAAGAAAAGATCTCAGAGGAAGAACCAAAGCTCCACAAACAAAATATGGAAATGGAATTTGGGAAACTTAGGAGGGAAAATACCGAGCTCGAGATGCAGATTTGCGTCATAAACGAGGAACTTGAAACGTACCGAAAAAGGATAGAAACTTTACAGGCTGACCTGGATGGGAGCAAAGTTGAGGTAAAGCAACTACAGTCTAAGAAAGAGTTCAAAGAAAGAGAGCTGGCAAATTTAAAAAGTGAGTTCCAGAGAAAGGAGCAAAAATGGGAAGATGCAAATGAACTCTTGGAAAAGGTTATGGTGGAAAGAGAAGAGTTATGGGATGATGTTGATTACTTGGAGGAAAGCTTGAAAGACAGTCAAGAAAGCAATGAAACTCTGACATTTGAGGTCGATGAGCTGACGATAATGATACAGGAGATGAAGAGAGAGTACAGAGTGGAGCACAGTCACTGGGGATGTGGACACCTACGTGAGGAAGTAGAGTTACTTAATGGATCTCTGGAGTTGAATGAACAGCGAACAGTTTTATTAGAGAGCCAAGTGGATGCGTTTGAGGCAGAAAGAAAACAGTTATGGGGTCATGTTGATTTCTTGGAGGGAAGCTTAAGAAACAGTCAAGAAAGCAATGAAGATCTGACGTTTGAGGTTGATGAGCTAAAGATAATGATGCAGGAATTGAAAAGGGAGAATACGGAGCTCAGTCGCCATGGATGCAGACATCTACGCGAAGAAGTAGAATTACTAAATGGATCCCTGGAATTGAAAGAACAGAGAGTAACTCTGTTGGAGAGCCAAGTGGACGCGTTTAAAGAAGAAAGCTGTAGCCTTCAAAATGCTGCACAGAACATGAAAAGAGAAATAGAGATCCTTAAGAACGAAAATGCCACGAAGACGACGGAGATGCATGAGCTAGAATGCGAAACATCAAAGACTATTAGTGATCTTAAAGATGACATTGCAAAGTTACAACAAGAAAAGTCTGCATTGTCATCGGAACTATCAAAGGAATCAGAAAAAGATCACCACTTGTATGAGTTAAGATGTCAAAAATCGAGTGTGACAGGAACACTTGAAGATCATTTAACAAGGTTGAGGAGAGAGAACTGCACTTTGACTGCAAGACTATCAAAGGCTTACGAAAAGGATGACCAGTTGATTGAACTAAGAGAAAAAGTCCAACTTTTAGAGAATCAGTTGAAAAATGTAACTGAGGCGGCAACGGCGTCTGTGAATAGCAAAGAGAAGGAAATGCAGGAAGATTACCGCATCATAAAGAAGCAAGATGAAACGATCAAAAATTTAATCGAAGAGATCACGCAGGAAAAATGTGACAAGGACCGCCTCGAACAGCAGTCTAGAAGAATAAGAGAACTTGAGACTCAATTACAAAAAATGGAAGACATGAAAAGAAACACGAATCGCTCAGTGGATGCCTTGGTGCTTGAAGTGAAACAGGAAAGCTCAGAAAAAGAGCGTCTGAAGAAAAGGGCCATGCAAGCAGAAAAAGTTTCTTCTTGTAGAGAGAAAGAGCTTGAAAAGAGAATTGAACATCTTGAGAATCAGTTACGCGCAGAAGATGAGCTGACAAACGCCACTCTTATGTCTCTAAACAACAAGGAAAGGTCGTTACAGGAAGCTACTGCCACTATCGATATGCTCACAAAAGAACTGGAACGGGAAAAGTCGGAAAAAGAAACTCTGAGAAAGGCTGTCGAAGTGTCTGAGTATAACTCTCATAACGACAAAAGATTGACTGAGGACATTGAAACACTTCTGGAGCGATTACAAGAGATGAGTGACCTACGAGAGAAGACTCTTACATCTCTTAGAGAGAAAGAATGGTCATTGCAGGAGGCTCATGATGAGATCAGTGAGTTAACTCAACAAATAGCACACAAAAAGTCGCACAAAAAGTTTTTCAAGAGGAAGGCTGAGGCTAAAACGGGTAAAGCTTATCGACTGAATCTCATTCAAAAAGGAACAAAAAGATATACACAGGAGAGGGGTTCGTTAATAACAGGCGTGGGAAAACGGCTGAAGAACCTGGTACAAAGACCAAGAGGAGTGTCTGCATCGAGCCTGGTAATGAAAAAGAAGGAAGCCCACGCAGAGCGTATGTTAGACAAATTGAGGGAAGATTTGAATGAAAGAGGAGAAGTCATTCAAGACTTAAGGAGTAATTTCAAAGACAGTGCTAGGAAATTGTCGTCCATGCGACGTCAGCTCGAAGATATTCAATGCCAAAATGCCGAGCTCATAAAATGTCTTGGACACAAGGAGGAGGATCTTCAAAAAACGCAAATATACCTAAAAGAAAAGGAAGCCAGCCTTGATGTCACAAATGAAACCCTGCGTTTGAAATGCTCGCTTCTCAGAGCCATGGAGGCCAAATTATGTCTGACGAAGAAAGAGATTGAAGAACTGACACAAGTGAACAAAGAGAAAGGCTTAGAGATAACTCGCATTGAGACAACCCTCACAGAAGTGAGAAAAAAGTTGGTTATTGCTGCATCCTTCATCGAGAAGCAAAATGAACAATGTGCTAACCTTAGGACTTATGCTATGAGGAAGACCCGAGATGCGGATAAGATGCAAGACGAATTGAAGCGTTTCTCAACTCAACTTGAAAATAGCAGGAACGAGAACGCAAACCTACACAGAGCATTGTTAGCTGCTACAGAGCGTCTTACAAGGGAGAAGCATAGGCAGCTCAGCAGGACTGAGTTACTGAAAGATGGGCACGAAAGGAAGTCCTCTGAGTCATCACGTGAGGTGAGATATTTCCCTAAGCGCGAGACGCAAGAGCGATGAGAGCGATCTTGAAGCAGGAGACGATGTACACGAAGTCTACACCCTAAAATCCCATTGTCAGCTTTCACTTTCTGTTCTTTTTGGAATTAATTGATGTGCTATAATTTTGACATGCATATTTTCAAGCGAGTAATTCATTTATTTCGTATCTTCTACAGGAAAGCACCTCTAACACCCTGAAAGCCAGGAGACAAATGGATGCGTACAAAATAACATTTTTGGAAGACGAGTGTAATGTGGCAGGCAGTAATCAGGGAGACACTGAAAATAAATGGTCAGTAATATATATTTTTTGTTACTAGGATATGTAACAATCATACCATTAGTGCATTTTGGATATGAGATGGTAACTAGCCAACGAAATGCGTAGCGTCGAGTGGAGTATCACCAGTCTCGTATCGAACAAGCGTCTGATGAGATAATTGTTAATTATTCAATTCAATTAAATCTCGAACGTTTGGATATTTGGAGCTTTTTTCAGCTTCGTGCAATGTATTTCCATGTAAAATGACTAGGAATATGAGCTGATAACCGGAGTTGAATAAACCAATCAGAACATTAGAAATGCAACATTCGGGGTTGAAAATTTAATGACATGATATAGCTTTAAGTAAAGCTGCAGCCCTCGTCAAAACTGTTGCAGAATGAATCTTTTTCGCCGCATTTGAAAGGCTAAGTATTTGAAAGGGGTTAGTGATAAATCAAAACTAGACGAAGATTTTTTGCCAGTGAATGGAAACCCTTTTAGCCTAATATTTTTAAACAAGGTTATTCCTGGAAATAAAAAAATTTCAAAAAGAGCCAAGATTCATTCATTGGGACTTACGCATTATTAAAGGTCACATTTTCACCAGTCATAGCGTATCGTCTTCAGTGGTACTTTTTATACTTTCTTCAAACTTCTCCCTGTCATCTTTCAACGGGTAATTTAGAAGTAAAAGTGTCTCTCACTTTTAATTGCAGGTTCAATACTTTTAGATTGGACGAACATCAGTTTGAGACACGGAGAGATCGACATTTTAACTGCGCTGGTACTATCGCTAAGGTTGACCATACTATGCAGAACTTCTCAACACACGGATCACCTAATTCAGTTTCGATGCATCTGTGCAATGGTTAATGTTTTGCGGGAGAAGTACCAATGAAACGAATTGACAAACCGAAGCCAAGTGTGATGACATAAGATTAATTTTTATCATTGAAAATTTTGGATGCAATCGAGATAATCTTTTTTTTTCTTTTGGAGAGAGCAAACGGTGTACTTATTAACTTCAAGTAAGCATTCATGCCTTGACATTAAGTGTAAATATATTAAAATACTCTAAAAAGACGTTCATTTTTGTCCTGTGTTAGGGAAGGGGACAGTACATAATAAGAAAAGGAGCAACCTTCTTATTGTAACTCACAGACCCTTATACACAAGCAGGGGATTGGAAGGCAAAGTTTCCCACCTTAATCACTCTGTTTACGAACATGACAATCTCGACATTGCTGATTGTAACAGTGTGCACTTGCAAAACACGAACCTAGCATGTGCTTGGCTTATCCCGAAGTCTGTGCTGTAGCTCAGTTTTGTAGCATTGGAGCAAAATTTAAAAACGTCCGGTTCTATGGAGTGTAGGGGCTCAGATTCTTCTTTGTCCCATGATCTTACAAAACGAACAGCACTGCTCGAGTTCATGATGTTGAAGCTAAATCGAGAAGTCCTGGGTCAAGTTCCTTCCATCTGCCATCTTGTCAATTTCGGGGCTATGACAAACAGTGACGCATTTGTTCATTGGCGCTGATAATGATAGAAAACTTAACCATGATACTTTGATTTTATTAGAAGTTTTACCAAGTAATAAATTGGTTGACCCTTGTTGAAGTTGAATGTGACCTGGGCACTGCTAATT